CACCCAGTATGGACTCGAACAGATGGGCTATCCCCTCTTTCAGGACGCCAGTAGGCACTGTATTCTTCGCAAACGTGCTCTGGAATCCGCATGCCGTTAGAATATCTACAGCACACTGTAGCTTGACGAAATTTGAATCCCTCATTCTGTGGGGGATCTGTGTATTCCAACCAAATTGGAGACCTAATTGTTCTCGTTACTGCACCTCTTCGAGTTTGTCTTCCATCGTTGTATCGAAATCTGTTGCAAGAGCGACGAGATTCTTAAACACACGCTTTTCGTTATCATTGTCATACAGATCTACCCATTCTGGGGTCACCACTTCAGGATCTTGTATTTCGTATGTCCGTATTAAAGCATGCTTATGCACCGCCAATTTCTCGTCTTTCTCGAGCTCTGGTATCTCGCACAACTCGATGAACTGGTCGTGCGTTAAGTCCCTGGCGTTCACAACATTCTCGCAGTGTTCCTTGCGCAGTTTATCGGATATTTCTTCTCGTTCTCGGACAGGCGGGTGAGATTCGTTGCATTTTCCTCTTACTGCCGAGATGACGCATCCTTCGCCCGCCATTTGCCTGATGAATCTGCTGAACAATCCGTTTAAGGACAGGTTTTTTCTAATCTGCACGATGGTGAATAGTCTGTTATAATAATCGTCGTGGTCGATCTCGATGTGTTCACCGTAGATGTATTTCAGCTTGACACCTGAGAGTTTGCTAGTGGGCCCCGTAACGGTGGAGTACTGGCTATCCATCCAGCGCTTGATACTCTCTGCGGAGACTGGGAGGTTGTTTGTATGTTGGTCGATATACATAAGATATTTTTTCTCTTTGGCACTCCTAACGCGACGCATCATCTGCCTGCTCGACTCTGAGTTGACTTCGCTGCGAGAGCTAAAGAATCCAACTACCAAATCAACGCAGTCGGGGACATTGTAGTCGATTCCCTGACTGACCACTGGGGTGTGTATAAAGTATTGCAGACCAGACATTAGCGTGTTGATATTCTTGGCCATATCGCTCTTGGCGTAGTCTGTCGACTCGACCGTGATACACATCCCTTTGAATCCCAATTTACGGAGCTGTTCGTGCATAATGTTTGTTTTGTGAGCACTAAACGTACTAGATATCCACAAACGCTTGCCTCCCTGCAGTGAGTTGACGACCTCGTCATTGAGGACATCCGGCGACTGGTACATTACAACCTGATCACCCTCTTGTGGCTGGAATGTGTTGTGTATGACATACACATCATCTCGAAAGCTTTTCACGTAATTTACATCGTCGTTTGACATGTCTGCATCAAGACAAACGGCTCTTTCAACTCCCTGAATAAACGCTCTTAGAACTTGGTTGTTAAGATCATGACGCTCTTTCATGGTATCAGTGCTTGTCATCTGTGCAAACAGAGGGCTGATTTCATTCAGTATTAAGATGACTTTTTCCTTGTAGTAAGGTCCATACAGTCTGCATAGTGACTCGGCTTGGACAACGACTCTTTTACTCGCGATTTTGCCCTTGCGAATCCAAATCTTTCAAATCTTTCTACGAATGCGTCTGCCAGAGTTCGTCTCAGTGTCATGAAGACGATCTTATGGCCAGGGTACTGCCTGATAATGTCTGTGCATAATTCTATCTTACCTGTTCCTGTTGCAGACTTAATCATTTGACTGAACAGAAGCTTGTAGGAGCTTCTCTTAGAGCCAAGCGCTGTTTTTAGATGACGAATTGTTTGATTCGCGAGCTTGACGAATCTGGTGCAGTCTACCGTATCTGCTTTAAAGTTATCATTGAGACGAGATTCGATAGTAATCGTGGCTGCTGTCATGTCGACGATGGCCTCGAAATCGATTCGTCCAACACACTTACTTGTCCCACGGGTAGACCTGTAGCAGTGGAAGTACAGAAACCCAGTAGTTCCGAGTTTCAAAAACGCATTTTCGGAGTCATGCTCTCTGTTACACAGCTCGCACTTTCCTTTCTTTATTCGCTTGATACTGAACCGCATTCCTCTTCCATCGTACTGCATTTTATACTAGCCAGCATGCTTGTACTTCCTGAACGTGTCTTGCACCGAGTCAACAACAGACTGCGGCAGCTTCGAGTCCTCTCGAACTTGAACCTGTTCGCTTTCTTCGGAAGATGCAGATCTGTCAGCCCTCTTTCTCTTGGACTTGACGGACTCCACTGGAGCAACCCGCGTGCTTTCGTCCGACACATTTGTGATATAGAACTCTTCGTCTTTAGTATTCTTTGACGCAGAGTGCCACTCTGCTTTCTGGAGTATTCTGTCCGGGCTGCTGCGTTTGCAGCTTCCAAGGATGCGAATTCCTCTGTTTTTGATGTACACTGCAGGGTCAATGTACTTCGTTAGATTTGTAACTTCATCGCTGCCTCTGGCTTCTTTGGAGTTGTCCATAAACGCCTTCATGTGCTCGTTATTGTTCTCAAACACATACTTCGGGATGAGGATATGCAGCGACACTTTAGAGCCAGACGAGGAAGTTAGAACACGGCACATCTCCTCTGTGACCGGATACTCGGGCGCGAACTGGTTGCGTGCTTCCAAGAACTCGGCGAACACACACTGTTCAAGCTCCGCGACGTTTTTCCCCTCCCAGGAGGTATCGAGTTTCCAGTCGATGTCGTAGTACTCAACGCACTCTCGGCCATCTCTGATTGTTTCGTTAAAACATCTGTCTTTAGCTGCAATGTTGCTGTACGCCGTTAGGAATGCCGGAAGATCTTTGTAACTTGCGAACTCATAGTACGAGGTCTTTCCATCGCTTGACACACCACTTATGTATGACACAAAGAAGGTGTTCGAGACCTTATCAGCCCATGCATAGGATCTGTCTTGTGGACGTTGGGTCTGGCTCTTTTCAACTGCGAAGTAAGCGGAATCGAATTTGCTGTACATGTACATTACAATATTCTTTTTTTACTGATTCACTTAGACTCACTCTTAACCATTAACTTTCTATTTCTAACCAGTCTACCGACGACAGGAGGAGATCTCTTCAGCGCCGCTTCTCGAGTCTAGGGGGAAAATGGACACTCAGATCAGGAACTGTGGTCGAGGATGTGCTGTTCGAGGCGGGACAGAGCATTAATGAATTGCAATAAGTTTCTTTTTAATTTTTTTAAAAAATTTATAGGCTAACTTCTGTGCAGTCCAATTCATCCTTTATGATTGATTTGAGCGACAAGACAACGCGGCAGTTGTTCTCAAAGGACGATTGGACCGAAATTAGCAGCGATCTCCCACACATTCCGCCCTATTCAAAAGAGGCATCGGAGTATCTCGACAAATTCGACAGCGTGGCCACGCTTGAGGACTTGCAAGATCTACTGGACAGGCGTCCTCGAGATACCGAGAGTCAGCTAATTTATGAATGCTTGCTGAACTGGTAAGTTGTTGTAGTCCATCGAAAAAAATATACCCCGGGCACTTCTGATCATGCTTCGTTTCTTCATTTTCTAGGCTGTGTCTGTATGAGACTGAGGATCCGTTGCCGTTTAGTGTTGCTGATAGCCTGTCGGAGGGTTGGTGGCTTAAATCGGCGTGGGGCGTATGCACTAACATGGCATTAGGCGTGCCCGGATGCTTTATAATACCAGGCGAAATCACCGGCCACGACTCTTCCGCGAGAAGAGACAAAGATCGAGAATCGGCAATTGGGAGCGAGAGGAAGAGGGTTGGAGTCCGCGCCGACCTCATATGGAGAAACATGAAATTGCCAGAGACTGACTGGGCAATAGCAGAGGCGGCGAAGGTTTGGTGTTCCAACAGTAACAAGTACATATCGGAGAGCAAATTTAAGTTTCCGAGGCAGTTACACGACGTCTTGGTTGGGCGATCAATGGAGGTTGGCGGAGCGAGCGAACTGAGAAACGCTTTCGTTTCTGGGTTAATAATAGGAGGTACCAGGTTTTATTTCTTGTCTACTTTGTATTCCACATCTGGCATAGACATTAATACTAACAGTTGCAATTTTCGGACCTTAAGACCATGTCTCCAGTGGATTGGGCTCTGTTGGGGAACATCTGGGGATAATGTTACAAGATTGGTGGAGATGGAGGCGACGAGGCTAGAAGCAAAGGTCATCAACCTCTCGGCTTCGCTTCTAGCCATTCACGATCTGCTCTTCTTCAGGGTACGTTGAGGTGCAAATTCGATGGCTCTTTTTACAATTTTGATACCACTGTTCTGATAATAGTTTTAATGGACGTAGACATCAACCATCCGGTTGATATCGGAATACGAACAGGCCGCAAAGCGACATACCGGCAAGAGGAAGCGGGATCGGCATTCAGCCCTAACTGGCGCCTTGTTGGAGCCGAAGAGCTCATGGCGGGACCTTCTTCAGTCTTCCCCATAGTACTTGCCTCCTCTCTTGATCGCTCCCATCGGTAAACGATGATGTAGCGCGTTATTCTGGATATGAAAGGCCATGGTTTGGAGCAATACACGTAACAAAAAGGTCTGAAACAGGGAACCTAAAAATGACCGAATGAAAACGAGTGTGCATCACCTACTGCACTCGACGCGCGTGGATCATGCCCGAGACGATTGGAGACCTTTTGGATTTGGGGCAAGAGACCCGTTTACTCGAGTAGGCACAGGACACGATTGCAGCAGCAGTTGACTTGAATGGCGTAGTCTGGCTCACGCGCGACAATAGCGGCAACTATGTAATTCAATACTGCATCTTTTTTTTATTTATTTATTTTTATTGAAGACAGGTGTTTGCTGTGCTGTCCACAGATTTCATCAGCATCAAGGGTGTGCTGGCTGATCGCGTCCCTCTCATAGTAGTTTTAAACATAAAAAAGAATAAGAACATGGTATTCTTACCATGCTTTTCAGCAGAGGAATCGCAGATAACCTGAATGAAGAGAAAATTCTTAGGGTAGAATGACCTCAGACTCAAGCCTTTCCATCTTACAAACTACTCTGGAAATCCCTGCAAAGGCGTTCGAAGTAGTTTGTCTCGTCTCAACTCCACTCAGCGAGACAGGTAGCGGTGGTAGCTAATTAGAGAGAGTTAATCAAATATTTCTAGAAAAAAATGTACCAGATTGCTTCGAGTGTCGCGCATTGACAGCATTAGGACACTCTTGTACGAATTGCGAGCCATCTTTGGGCCGGCTCTCGGTCGCCTACTTGCTAGTTTATTACTAAGCATGTGCACGGACCATTGGGGCAAGTCGCCCTTTTCTTTTCTAATGAGAGAGACGGGCGACTTGCCCCATGGTCCGTGCGCCGGTGTGGTAGGATATTTTTTAAAAAACAAGACGCCAATAGCATATTTGAACCCGACTTGCCTCATAGTCCATGCGCATGCTTAGTAATTGAAAATTCTTATTTTAACAAGTAGATGAAAAATGGATGCTGAGCTAGACAAACTGATTGCAGCACAGTGGGGTTTCTTGCACCAAGACTGGCCCGTGGTAATGCGTACCAAATTTCACCGCACTGACATCAAGCTCATTCAGGACATGAGGAAGGTCAAGGACTTTGTGCAGCATCGTCTCGGGATCATTCCAGTGTTCTTCTTCTTGACAGTACTATTTGGAACAAAGTGCTACACAGGTCCTTATAGGAACGTCGAGAAAGGTATCCTCATACTCTACATGCTGCTGCAAGGGACCACTATATCAGACATGGACGAGTTCCTACCAAAGAGTTCCTTCCATGAGATATTCAAGGGCTTTTTCGGCACCAACACCTATGCCCTGGATGCAAAAATCACGTCGTGCTTGGCCGAGATGTGCTCAAGTATCAAGTTGAGACTTCTGTGCTCTCGATCCACCAACCCAGAAACATTCAAGCACATTACTCTGCATTTGGACGGCCACTACAGTTGCGTTGCCTATCGTAATGCGGACAAAGCAAGTATGTACTCCTACAAGCTGCGAAAGTCTGGCTTCAGGACACAGGTATGCTGCGACATGAACAGTATGGTGGTCTTTGTCTCACAGCCTGCAGAGTGTCGCGACTTCAATGACGGTACAATACTCTTAAAAATGGCCATTGACAAGAAGATCCACCACCTTGACTGCCTTGCGCTAGATGGAGGATACACACTGCACCTGGAAGGCATAATAGCTGCCAGCGACACGCTCACGTCGTCTACTTTCTGCCGCCCGATCCGCAAGCGCAAGGGCATTGAGTTGACAGAAGAGGAGATCAGATACAACGCAGTCTTTGGCAGCTTTCGCTCCAAGGTTGAGAGTTATTTTGGAGATATGCAGACAACATTCACAAAGTTCAGTCATACCGTGGTGAATAGAGCGTCTGATAAGGGCATCTTCTCGCTACAGTACAAGCTTTGCTGCCTACTCTCAAACATCAAGCGTATGGTCGCCTTGCGCAACATTACAATGGAACTATATCACAACTACTGGACCCAGGACGACTTCGATTACCCCAATGGAGATGATAGCGCGAACGATATGCAGGCTACCGCACCCTCCTTCAAAGCCAAGGCCAGTGATGCAAAAAGCATCTACGTATATCGGCAAGATGCGGTTTCCAGGTCCCACAGCCGCACTGTACCATCATGGCTCCCAGAGGCGAGCTGTTCGCCATTCGGAGAATACGCAATGCACAGGATCATGTCGGTGTGGCCACTGAATTTGCGACGGCTCGCTCCAGATTCGATGTCCCATATGTACAATGCACAGTCTTGACCTCCGGAGAGTAGTTGACCGCCCTCTGGAGAATATATAACGCACCGAACTGCCCAACTATGGCCGTTCAGGAGGTGGCGACACCCTCCGGTTTCAACATCCCATAGCCGCACTGTGCCGTCATCACCGGCAAAAGCACCCAGGTCGCCTCTCGGAGAATAGTTTATGCTCCAAACAGCACTTTTATGACTGAAGGTCTGAAGGCAGACTCCAGTTTCCACATCCCATAGCCTCACTGCGTGGTCATCGCCACAAGAAATCAGTTGGTCCCCTGCGGACGAAAACATCGCCGTCCAAGCCTTGTCCTTATGACCCTTCAAAGTGTGGCGGCTCCCGCCGGTTTCCACGTCCCACAAGCGTAGCGTTGCATCTGAACTGCAGAAAGCAATCAAATCGCCTATGGCCGAATAGACGACTCTCAAAACGCCTTCACTATGTCCGCGCAGGATGTGGTGGCAACATCCTGACTCCATGACCCATAATCGCACGGTCTTGTCCGAACTGCTAGAGGCAATCGCATCGCCTTTTGGCGAATAGGCGACGCTTGTAACACCGCTGCTATGGCCCACCAAGGCTTGGCGACAGCTTCCCGTTTCAGCATCCCACAGTCTCACTGCCTTGTCGGTACTACCGGAAACGATCTCCTTGCCGTTCGGTGAGTACATGGCGCCCAGAACAACGCCCTCATGCCCGTTCAGGATGTGGCAGCAAGTCGCTGTTTTCGTGTCCCATAACCGCACTGTCTTGTCCTCACTGGCAGAGGCAATCTTATCTCCCCATGGCGAATACACGATCCCTGAAATTGCTGCGGTATGTCCACGTAATACGTGGCGGCAGACCCCGGTACCCACGTCCCAAAGCCGTATCGTCATGTCATCGCTAGCGGAGGCTATCTGATCTCCTTTCATCGAGTACTCAACAAAATGAATCCAACTGACGTGGCCACTTAATTCGCCACTACAAAGTCCTGTTTCGACGTCCCAGAGTCACACTGTCTTGTCATCACTCCCGGACGCAACTTGATTGCCTTTTTGCAAATACGTGACGCTATTGACCTCACCACTATGACCGCTCAGGATGTTGAGGCAAGTTTTAGTCTCCATGCTCCACAGTCTCACTGCTCCGTTACAGCTGCAAGAGGCGACTCCTTGTCCGGACTTCATAAGTCTCCGTTGCTAACAGCGTATCCATCCTGTACAGCATTTTCATAACTATCGTCTTCATCTTCATGGATTACCCTTGCGGTTCTCACCAAGCTCTGTGGCTCTACCGCGTCGTGGGTCAGATCCTCCGTCTAAACCCCGGGGACCAAGTGGCACCAATGACATCTTTTACGAGCCTAATCTTCCAATGTCGCCTCGGCGTCCCCAGTGCCTGTGCTACTAAGAAAATCTTTTGTTGCCTGGAAGTACCTTTCGCATCGACCCCATCGTAATCGCCCATACCGTGCTGTTTCAACTCATTCGCCAGCTTTTAAAGGATTCTGGATTTCGTGGTAGCGAACTGTTGATACTGTAGATTTTTATACCAGTTGAGACTCTCCGTACTGGCCCAGTTCTTTGCTCGGCAACCAATCTTGATTTGGATGACCATGCTACTGCGGCGGAAGCAGTTGAGGTTGCAGTTGATGCAGTGGCCCCTAATGCTGGAACGGTGTGTGTTGCTGCTGCCAAAGCTGACACTGAGGCGGCAGATGCTGCTATTATTGAGACTTGGAGCCTCCAGCTTATGGGAGGCCTTATTAAGAATATCGGTCGTTGTTTGACAAGAATTTGGTCCTAATCTGCGGCAATGTATTCGAGTGGAGCTGGAGGCGTTGAACATCCACCGGGATCGGTACTGTGCTCAGGGAGTTCCTCCGAGAGCTCCTATGTTGTATGCGTAGATCCAGTCTCCAAAAGTACGTCTTGATCAAAGGTTGGTATGTAGTGCATAGCTTATGGGCTTTGTGCTTCCGCAAATGATTAAAGACTCGGAGATAGTGCGGAGTCAAAAGAATGAAGGTGGTGAAACGAGATAGAAAGAAAGAACGACCTGGTAAAAAAGACCATTTGGGGAAATGGGAAGATGGGGTGCTTCCAGTAGCGTTGTTTATTACTTTTGCAAAAAACACGATAAGTTGCCAGGTAACGGTACGGCAGCTGATGAGGGGGTATACGACAACTCTCTGCAGCTGAGGATGGAACAGGCAGATTCGATGAGAGTAAGCAAAAGGCTCGACACTTCAAATTTATTCTTAAGAATAAATACGAGGTCGTCCTGGGAGAACTGACGTGCACTTACACTTGATATAGTGTTTTTTATTCTCTTACTATGTGATGTCTTTTGCGATCTTGAGCCGCACCAGGTCCAGACAGGTTTTTGCGTCCTCAAAAGAATCATGCCCCTCCTCAGAGTCCTGGATATGAACTCGAAGATGCTCCCGTGCAAGGCTCTGGAGCGAATATCGATAGTTTTGAAGATGCTGTGGGTGGAGGTACAGCTACAGCAGTCAGAGTGCAGAAAACGTTAGGGCACAATCCGGCAGAGTGCATGACAGCATCACACCTTACCCTAGGCCGTGAGAAAAGATGCCTACCATGGCTGTGTCGATGACACGCGTGTGAATCAGCCGCAGGACTTTGAAGTCGTTCTCCAGGCTCTGGCCGATAATGATGGTGTCTCTGTTGATAAGCTCAAGAAACCGACTCCGTGCCTGTTCCAGGCTGTACTTGGCATCGCTCAGAGACGTTATACCACTAGCATAGAGGTTTGATCCAAAGATATGTCAGAGTGAGATGTTCTGAGCAAAACGAGATCCGGTAACCATTCATATCATGTAAGTCAAGACGAACCTAAATCGAGAGTTCAGATCTAAGACTTCCTGCTTCGGTTTGACAAGCTCGTCCATGATGGGCTTGCCGGCTATGTCTACCACCGATATCCTGATCAGCTCGAACCCGCCCGTTGTGTAACACTGCATTTTGAACAAAAGAGCGCTGCGTGTCAGTGAAGTGTCTGTTTTTTGGATACTCTTCTAGCAAAAGACGATTTATACCATTTCGCAATCCATAGCCACAACTGCATGAGTCTTCTGGCCCCCAGAGCTACTCGCTCTTGGCGTTTCAATGAACGGAATCCGAGAGTGAAGGGACAAAAAGTCATCTTCTTTGAACACATGGGCCCCCTCTTTGCAACCGAGACTTCCTTGTCCAGCTTCACAGCATGGAAAGACCCTAATCTTTTCACCTAGATTAATTGGACAAAGTTATTTTGTTAGCAGCCTTTGATCTTGGACAGTATAGTATTCAAAAGACGAGTCTTTGCTGGTGATATGCGCATAACCTCCAACATCTGCTTACCGTGGACCTTCTTTGTTCTTAGCCGGAGTTCGTGGTAGAAACATGCCTGCTTGTCCTCGTCGGAGAGCGCATCCTTTCTGACGAATTTCTTTTGACATCGGTCGCAAATCTGGGAATCGTCTAGCGGCACGGGTGCGCCTGTTGGTAACGTAATTGGGTAACCGTTCGCCTCCAGCTGCTCCAGCGTCTGAACGTATTTGGATGCGCCTCTCCAGCTCTCGTCCAGGGCCGAAATCTCCTTTGATTTTAAAGTTGGATCAACCCATACGCCATCGATCCCGATATCATCCTCTCCGGTCGTAAGCGGCCTCTTTTTCAGTCGCTGCAAGATTGTTGCTGCCAGACTGCGATAACTGCCTTGATTTGTCTTCGAGTGAACGGCTTTCTCTTGCTCAATGGCATGTACGGTTGCCGTATTTGCGCCAACATCGGACAATGGTGCGTAAATGCGACAAAATTCGCTGTAATACTGCATTGCCACTGCTTGGCGAAATTGCGGTTTGCTATGAGCTCTAAGATCGATCTTGAGAACCGGCGGCCCCGATATTGTCGAGCCCAACGCAGACGCCTAATATTCACCGACTCTTTGTTATGAAATGTGCCATATCCAGTTACAGCGTTCTGTGTTTGCCGAAAATCGGTCCCGTACCTTCTTGAATGAAGACGCACTGGCGACGTCGGGTCTGGCCAAGAGGACAGCGCTACTCTTAGATCCAGCAATTACTCCTAGTGAGGATGAAGAAGGCAACGTGGAGGTGGTATCTAATGCCTGTCGGCGTCTCCTGGCAGCCTCCACAGCGGAGATCGGGGGTTGATTCCTTGATGTCTCTTTAACCGCTTTCTCCTCTGACTGAGACTTCACACGGTTCTGTTTGGCAGGCCGCAGTATAGCCTCTTTGGTGGCATCCTGTGTGCTTCCTGCATTGTCAAGTTTCCGCTTGGCGGTGCGTGCGGTCTCTGCTTCAGGAACGGGGATATGAGAGTAGAAACAGAATGATTCGCGCGGACATGTAGGCGTAAAAGGACATGGGATCGCCGTGAACAATCCCGAGGACGCGAACATGGTGCTTGTCGGCAGAGGGACCGGGATGAGGAACCCTGCATCAGCATCAAGATGAGGTCGTTGAAAAACAAGGTTTGCAGCTTGAGTGCAGTGGTTCATTGCCTCCAATTGGCCCTCCTGGACTGTCTCCTCTTTCCTCTTTTCCTCCTTTCCTTTCTTCCGTTCCTTTCTTCTTCCTTTCTTCCGTTCCTTTCTTCTTCCTTTCTTCCTTTGGGTCCGTTCCTGGCTCCCCTACCCGGCCAAATACCTCTGCACCTCACCCTCATCCGGATGACAAGCCCAACGCCGCGCGCCATCTCTCGACTGGGCGTCGGTGCCTACCGACTGGCCCTGGGTGTTCCTGAGCACGAGCGTGTGCTCTACAAGGCCCTTGAGCGTCAAAAGGATCCCAGACACAACATCAACCTCATAGATACATCTTCCAACTACTCCGACGGCAAGAGTGAGCTGCTCATCGGCAAGGTACGCATTCTGTCGTTTTACTATCAGTACTCAACAAACTCTATGCAGACATTGTCGCCCACACCTCCGTCCCACACTTCCGCCCACACATCCTCCATGTAATGATCCGCATGCAGGTACTGTCTCATCCACGCCGCGACACACTGCGTCGAGACGAGGTTGTTATTTCGACCAAGTTTGGCTATATCCAGAACAAAAATATGCGGCTTTTATCGGAAGGTGTCTTTCAGGTAACAAACACCTTCATCTGCCGGAGTACTCACTTCTCTGGGTCTCTGAGTATCTTTCTCACACGTCTGCTGCTTCATCAACCTTTGTTATGGGCCGCTGTTCGACAATGCAATAGAAGGTTCCGCCCGAAGAGATTGTGAAATACTCGCCAGAATGCTATCATTGCATCCATCCGGAGTTTATGAGGTACAACCGAATATAACACAGAACGTGCTCATTGCCGCCTGTGTGGAGCACAAGTAAATATAGGCTGCTGACCCCTCATTTGCCGTGTAGAGATCAGCTTACCCGCTCCCTCGAGCGTCTGCGGACCAAGTTCGTTGATATTCTCTTTGTCCACAACCCAGAATATTATCTCATGAGCAATATCAAGCATACAGAAGTCAACGTCAAAAGTAAGCTGGCTGAAGCACATATCTAATGGTACGCACCTGAAAGTGTTTTTTTTACAACCCTTTTCATCTCACCATCATTTCGCCTGTTTATTATTTACCTTTATCGAAGAGCATCAGGATATTCTCCTAAACCGCTTGTCGGTACTGTTTGAGGAACTAGAGCGAGAGATTGAAAGGGGTCGTATTCGTGCATACGGTGTTAGTAGCAACTCGTTTTCTCTGAAACCATCTCACGCGCATTTCCTGCCGTACCAAAATTTGGTCAAGATGGCGACCCAAGCTTTTGAGAGGGTGCAGGCTCAAAAACATTCGGGCCCACGCCCTGAAAGCGGAAAATCTACATCTAACAAAGATTCGCCCTTGACATCGCCTTCAGCTAACAAAACAAAAGACTTTGAGCGTCCCGGATCTGCCGTTCGCCCTTATCTCGTAACGTCGACCTACCATTCGCTCCCACAATCATCACACGGGCTTGCTTTTCTGCAAATGCCAGGCAACCTGCTTGAGATGGAAGGTGTCGAGACAACGGCCAAGTGGGCCAAGGATCACGGCCTTGGCGTGTTTCTCAATCGACCTTTGAACGCCATGTCCTTGAGTCGTCAGCCTGTCCGACTCGCATCGTATCCACCACCGCAGGCGCCAACCTATGTAGAGGCTAAGACTCAGGTCCTGGAGAGTCTCTGCGTACTTAGCCAACGACGAGAGTACCTACAACCAAAAATGCAGCGGTTAACCGAGATGATTGAAGACCTGGATGCCTCGCTCAGGACGAACAAGCTGTCAATAATACATATGGAGGGTGCGTCCATCAAAAATCTTCTGCATCAGGAATTGGCGCGGCCCGTGAAAGTCAAGGGTTTGCAGCACCAACACCTTTCGATACCCTCGTCTAACTCGCACGAGTCTCAATACCAGGAACAGGAACCAATGCCAACGGATGTAGAAGGTCCTAACCATACTCCTACTCAGTCCCATGGCCGCAGTAGCCCGGTCCCATACGCGAAACCCAGCGTACAGGAGATCGACCGGCTGATCACGCATCTCGACCACTTTGTCCGAGCTTTTCATCAGCAGGTGCGTTCGCAGGAATCGGATCGCGTCAAAAAGATGTTGACTGACCGCGGTATTGATTTGAAAGGCAGCACAGTCGAGCAGTTCGCGATCGAATACTTACTAGAGTACGCCCAGGTTAATTCAGTTCTTCTGGGTATGAAGCGCCAACCATATGTGGACTTTGCACGGGAGATGCTCAAAATAATGGTGGGAACCAAATAAAAGAGTCATTGACTAGCGCCTCAATGGACGTGGGTCATGTCACTGCCTACCACTATGCCTCATAATAATGCCATTCGACTCAATTAAAGGCCGACGGCATTATCTAAATATGTACGCCACGGTTCCTCTGCTTCCAAGGGTTGACAGATCATATAGGCTTTGTACTGCAAGAAGGGGTAGCAAGTTTTTATTATGATAAAGATAGCAATGATCCACTCATTCCTAGGACAGATACATATAGGGACGTAGTGAGTGAATAGACGAGAGCAGAGCGCCATTGAGATATTCTCATTAGAGTCGCTCGAGACCTTTGTGGGTAGTTGACGTGATTTTGGCAGCTGCAGCATCGTCAACAAACCAGGAGAGAGTTCCTGTCACGGGCTTGACCAACTGCGCAGGCAAGTCGCCGTGTGTATCCAAGATGCGATGCAGCATATCCTGTTTTCCCTCGCCAGCGGCGACAAAGGCTACATGGTGGGCGTGGTTCACAACCGGGAAGGTGAAGGTGATCCTGCGTGGGGGAGGCTTGGGCGAATCGGTGATCGCGGCGCACCAATCGACGGTCTCCTGCAGGAGTTCATGGCCCGGGAACAGGGAACAAGTGTGGCCATCGGGACCGACGCCAAGGAGGATCAGGTCAAAGACTGGAAAACGCACAGAGTCCTTGGTGGCAAAGGTGGCAGCCAGTTGCGAGATATAATCCTCTGCAGCCTCTTCAGGATTGTGGATGAGTTCTGGGTTGATGGTGTGGATGTTTTCCTCAGGGATGTTGACAAAGTCGAAGAGCTCCTTCTTGGCAAGCAGATAGTTCGAGTCCTCGTGGTCCAGCGGTACGCAGCGCTCATCCGCAAAGTAAACGATCCACTTGGACTACGCCATGGTTCGTGGGAACATAAAGAAATGAAGAATTAGGGCCATTGCGAGTCTAAATGGGTGTTCTCCGCCCATATCATTGTACCATTGTATAGATAGTTCCTCTTACAAAGTCGACGGAGGGGTTGTCTTTGAGGATGGCGCTCAGCTGCTTGGGCAGAGATCCTCCAGACAGGGCGATGGCGAATTTGCCGTGGCGCTTGATGCCCTCTTCTGATAGCCTAGCGACGTACTTGTCAAGGCCCTGCGACAGCGCAGCGGTGTCGGGGAAGGTGTAGATCTGTGTCTGTCCGGCGGTGTGGAGAGGCATGTTGAGTTACTGTGGGTCAGTCGATCAATTCGGGGAGCAATGAAGAAAGGCTGGATGCTCAAGACGAGAATGGTTCACCTTCTGATAACGAAGCACGTCATAGACTGAGACGTCCAGCAATAAACCTTAAAATGTTAAGGGCTCAGCTGCGCTGGACGATGTTGCGCTTGGAGATAGTTCTTTTACAGTTGTATGGAGTAAGGAAACTCCCAATCTGAATGCTCGAATAATTTGTGTTCCACACTGAATACAAGGGTCTAACGCACAACTACGCACACTGTAGCGAGTGATCAGCACAACGGTCTTCTTGTTCAACTGGAACAAGGAACAAAAGACCGCTGGCTTCGATCCTCCTTTTATACAGGCACAACCCCAAAACCTAATATCAAATCCTGCGTACCCTCGGTGGCTGCTGGCCAACAACGATCTTTGCTGCGAATGCCACACACTCCAAAGGTGGCCAAGCAGCGCGACCATATAGCAGCATATTCGGACACTATTGCCATTTCATCTACCAAGGGTAGGAGGGGGGGAAAGGAGGAGGGACTTTGCAAGTATACACTGCTATGGCTGCTTCCGCTAAATGGCAGGTGCATCGATGACCGTCTGCAGAAATCTCTGGTATCAAACGCAGAGCTTAGCCGTCACCAGCGCGTACTCGGCCATCATCATGTTAGTTACGGTCGGATTGACAGTCCAGAGCGTACCCATCTTTTAATTGAGCTGATAGCAGCTGAGGATATATCGAGGTGATGAGGAGGTGCCCTGCAAAAAAAAAAAAAAAAAAAAAAACGACCACTGTATAACTGCTGCACCCCCGCTACAAAGGTCTGCATCCGAATTATACGCGCCCTCCAGCTCACATACAGGCACGCGGCCTTCGGGGTGAGAGCACATAGAAACCACGGGCTTTGCCATCAGACTCAAAATACTGACCTGTGCAGTCCTGATCCCACATAGAATTCGCGCAAAAGTGCACCGTAATTCACTGTCAAAGTAAAAAAAGGGGAGTCCGCGCTAAAGCCGATACCGCATTCATGTAGGTCCTCGTTCGGGCCTGGGACTACTAACGCTGTTTCTACTTTTCTGTTGGGCCTTTGAGAGAGACCATTTTCAAGGTGCGTCTGTGCAACAGTAGCCCCAGTGTTAGTACGGTAGCAAGTTTATAACTGCATAATGAGAGAAGTTTTGCAATGCGATTAAATGCATGGGTTTGGAATCCATAATGGCTTTATTAGGTATGGTAATAGATAGATCGATAGAGTATAAAAATACACCATGAAGAGGAAGGTGGCGAGAACCAAAGTTTCTCTACTTCTCCTCCTCATTTAAGGTATTGTTGTTGTGGCTGTCTGTGGCATAGTCGTTCTCGTTCGACAGCTCTTCAAGTGTCTTGCCACGGGTTTCGGGGATGAGGAATGTCACCAATAAACCGATCAACATGAACAGGGCAAAGATCTGCAGCAACTGAGGGATGAAGGCGTTAGAGCCACCGCGGTCCTTGAGCTGAGAAAATCCGACCTGAGCAATGATGGCACCCAGCTTACCGGAACCTGCAGCGATACCGTGACCGGTAGAGCGGTAGCGAGTAGGGAAGACCTCGCCGGGGATGACAAAGGTTGTGGAATTGGGCCCAAAGTTCTGAAAGAATTGAGTAGCAGCAAAGAGGAAGACGAAGAGAGCGACAGAGTAGTTCTTGATCTGGCTGTATGCGAATCCCAAGACGCAAAAGAGGACGCAGGACATAAAGAAGCCGAGCAGTTGAATCTTGATACGACCAAGACGCTCGATGGTGAAGACAGTGACCCAGTAGCCGGGAACGGAGCCGAGAAGAACAATAATGATCTGACCGACGGCAGCGTTCCAGCAGGTGTTCCAGTAGTCGCCCTTGACGGATGAGAAGTTGATCGAAGATAGGATGAAGGAGTTGTTGAGACCGATTCCGTAAAAGGCCACATCGAGAGCGAACCAGGCCATGGAGGTACCGAAGAGGACTTTGAAGTTTTTCCACTTTGAAAAGTACGCGATGAAGTCCGAGAAGGAACCCTTGGCAGTCGAGGGATTTTGGAGGACCTCGTTGTCGTCCTCGGACTGAAGGTGGTTGCGGTTCTCCTTGAGGACGTTAGCGACGTCGCGCTCGGCCTTGTTGAGGTTGTTCTCGATATCCAAGACGTAGCGGGGAGTCTCAGGGATGGTAAGGCGGAAGTAGACGGCGACAAGGGCAGGGATGCATCCAAAGCCGATCAAGATGCGCCAGACATAGTCCAGATTCTGAGGATTGGCGATGATGCTGTTCTTGAAGGCTGCAAGGAGAATAATGGCAATGAGACCGGTGGTCAAGTATCCGAACCCCTGCATGGCAAAGACAGCGGCCATCATGGCACCGCGGCGGTTGGTAGTGGCGAACTCCGAGGTGATGACGGCAGAGAGGGGGTAATCACCACCGATGCCGATACCGACAAGCACACGCCAGATAATCAGGGCAGCAGGCAAGGAGAGGACGTATCCATTTCCAGAGAGGGCCTGACCAAGCGTAGCAACAATAATGATCATCAGCTCGATACCGTACATGCGTTTGCGTCCGAGGCGATCGGCAAGGTAGCCGAACCCAATCTGACCGAGAAAGGTTCCGACAGAAGCCGCGACCTTGATGCCCAAGTCCAAGTCTGAGGGAAGAGTGCCATTGGCAAAGTAGATGATTCCAAGCATGGGCGTGACCAAATTGATGGCGAAGAGGTCGTATGCATCCGTGAAGAAGCCGACGCCGGCCACGAGGCAGGCACGGATGTGGAACCAACCAAACTCGGCGTTGTCGATCTTGGCCAAGGCCTCGCGGCGACGCTCATTCAGCTGTGCTGCGTCCAGCTTTGTGTTGCTGTACTCCGTGGACATGATACGTGTGAGTGGAGGATGTGTGTGAAGGAGAAAGGCGAGGGGACGTGCGGGTATGACAAGGAGGGTTAGTGGTGAAGGGTGCGGAGAGGTGATCTGCGCAAAGGACAAGGGGAGGGGGAGGGGGAGGGGGGATACCGGAGGAGGAGCGAGGACTGGGGACGCTACAGCAGCCGGTATTTATAAGGAAGCACAGCGATCGAGTCTATGCCCTCGGCGAGATCCAAAGGGGTAGTGGTCTGCTTGGATGTGTATAAGCTAATCCACCCACTGGGGCAGTTGTTCCGGACAGAACAGCGCAGAGTACCATTGGCTGTGGCCCACAGGCAAACGAACGTGGACCGCACGACAGGGCCTGCAGGAAGCGCTGCTCATCTTGCTACTGGCCTTCTCAGCCTGCGGGGCTGCTCCGCTCTTCATTTCAGCTGTCTGTTGTCGGAGCAGGGGACGGAGAGCTGCTCATACGGCTGTACAGTACAGGTGCGCCCTTTGTTTAGTGTGGTAGGCTGGTTGGACAGCTTTTGGCCATATTGGGTCGAAAGATGACTCCCTGGCTAGTCCTGTTTGCTAGTCTGGCCGTATGGGCTTTTTATGCATATACTCTGCGGCGGCTGTGGGCCAATGCTTGCACGCGCGTGTAGTCGATCCCCGGCTACGATTGGCTGGAACGCGGATTCATCTCTATAAACCTTACTTGGGCTCGTGTTCAGAGGCCTGCCTTGTCTTGCATGGCCCAAGCATGTCTGGAGCCGAGTCGACTCTCCTCCATCCGAATGCGAAACCAATAAGCAGCGATAAGCAGCGCCATAGGCTATCCATCCAATGGCTGCCATCAGCATCTTCAGCGTCAGGTTCGCCAGCAGCAGTGGTCGGCGGCCAGTAAGTCGAGGCTACGGAGGTGGTTGTATGAATAGATCGAAGGCATTGCAATATAATAAAGTCGGTAGATCCTCTGCCTGCGGTACATGTCTTTATTACTGTGCGGTATACCCGATCGAATCATGGTCGCAGATCAGTGGCACGTTCTTGTCTAGATGTGCCTACACATGGCCCATGCTTTGTCCGGGCTGCATGCATCTCCGGCTGAATTTCATTGGTATTATTATTGGTGGTATAAACCTTCCCATTTTGAGTTAACGCCGATCCAGTTGGACTGGACTGGACTATATCCCTGCCCGCTGCATGTACTGCACTCGCCCTATCTACACAGATACGTTCCGTCCTTTTAGTCGACAAGCAACATATCGCATTCGTTCGATGCATCCGAACCGCCAATGGTCGCCCCCAGCCACTGCAGCCCGCCATGAGCACCTCCACCCGTCCATGCAACCGCCACGCCTCGTCTTCCTCCTCCACGCTCAAGTCCCTCCCCCCCGTTTCTGTTTGGAAGACGATAATGTTCTGTGCGTGTTGCATTTCCCCGCCACAGTGACTTGCCTGGACACAAACTGCTCCTTTCTTGGCAGACTCTCCTCCGTAGATGTGCGCCAAAGGCTGTATGTCAGATTGCCTCTTCAACTTTAATTCCACCAAGGGAATATCCGATCTCTGTTTGACTAGGCTTGTATTCAATAACTCTTCGATCGATGGATTCTATTTATGACAGCTGCTCGGGTTCATTCGCCCCCACAAGCATGACCTTGACGATCTCAAAGACCGACTTGATTCGACCCACCCATCCAGCGTAGATGATGTTAACCAGATCCCTGGTGACCACAATCGCATCTCCAACATTGTTCATAGGGTACTGGAGCACCGGAGGCAAAAACGTTTGGATAAGCATGGGCCACCGATCCACCGTAATCGATCTCTGGTGACAGACTGCGCGCAGGCCTTCTGGACCACCAAATCGTCCGTAGCCACTCTTGCCGACTCCCCCAAAAGGCAGCGACTGACAAAGATAGTTGACGCCGAAATCGTTCAGATTGCTCATTCCAGCACGAAGACGATCCATGACATACACGCCCTCCTTTTGGTTGCGTGAAAATACATTCGATCCAAGGCTGTAGATGGACGAGTTGGCAATTGAGACAGCTTCGTCCAAGTTCGAAAACTTAAAAACGGCCATGATAGGTGCGAAGGCCTCCTCCTGAGCGATCTTCATGTTGGTTCGAAGATTTGTGATCAAAGTAGGAGTAAAGAATTGCCCCTGAGGGAATTTTGGATGGACAAATCCTTTTCCTCCTGCCACCAATGTCGCTCCATGGCTGACGGCGTCCTGAATTAGGGTTTCTAAGATCGGGGTCTACGTAGAATGGATTGAAAAGATGAGTTACTTGCTTTCGACGCAAAAGGCGTAACAGTGCGCATCACATCCTAGAAGAGAGGCAATAAAAGACATACTCGACCGCTCATAGTCATGGACCCACAGTCAATATTTTCCATCTCCAGAGGTGGGCCTTGCTTCAGCTGCTTGATTCGGCTGTCCACCATCTCGATCAACTTGTCGTGGATAGCCTCGTGCACAATAACCCTCTCAATGCCAATACAGTTTTGACCGCAGTTCTGGAAGACGCCTCTCATCAGGATCGGGACTACGGCTTTCAGATCAACATCCTTATTCACAATCGCGACATCTTTTCCGCCCAACTCGAGAACACAGGGCGTGAGGTTGGTGGAGGCAGCCATAGCAACCTTGGTGCCCACTCCAGGAGATCCAATAAAGGTGATGCCATCCACTCCGCTTGTCACAACTGCCTCTCCACAATCCTGGAAACCAACCAGGAACTGCACCAGATCAGGATCGTGGCCGCAAGCTTCCAAACATGACCGTGCAATCTTGGCATAATAATTCATAGTCGACCAGGCCACATGCTCCGAGGCCTTGATCAGAATTCCATTTCCTGCAAAGATGGCGGTGATAAAGGGTCCGAAGGTGTTGTGAAAGGGATAATTCCAGGATACCAAAGCAGCGACCACACCCATCGGGCGATATTCGACCTTGGCTGATTTGTAGAACATCAGGAGACCCGGGTCACGGTAATCGTCCTTAAGTGCATCCTCGCCATGGGCCAATGTCCAGCGAATACGTTCACAGGTTGTCAGGATTTCGCCAAATTTACCATCGACCATGGTCTTGCCCGTGTCCCTGGCGGCAACCCTGCAGATTGACTCTTGATGACAAAGGATAAAGTCCAACAGCGACTGGAGCACAACCTTGCGCTCCGCAAATGTTGTCTTTGCCCACTTTTCCTGAGCCTTGCGCGCCTTGATAAGGGCAAGATCCACATCCTCCTTGGTGTGGGCACGGATCGTGGCGAGATGACGAGCTGTTGAGGGATCATAGCAGATGATCTGTCCTGGACGCGAGGGCTCCTATGGTTCGCCGATGGCAGCCAACACATGTTAACCATAGTTCTTTGTACGTGAATAAACACCATCCCCGCGGTAATTGATGGAGATAACAAGCCATTGTCTCGGTGTGGGGTGTCTGTGCCCTTACCTGGATGCTCGGGTTCGTCAGAATGCTGCCTCCTTTCCAGCCTGGCAATACCTCTGTTAACATAAAGGCCATTTAATAACGGGATCTTTCGGGTTTTTTTTTTACTTTTCCTCAAAGGTTGGGCGTTGAAATGAATATCTTGCCTTCTGGTAACGCGACTTCAAACGCGATTGAGGGGTAGGGCCGAAGTCGCTCGAACAGAGTGTGACCGATGAGCAAGGCAGCCACCAGGCTGACCCCGCACAGGATGGTAAGCGTGTCCTCCGAGAGAGCTGGAGGGATCAGAGACATGTAGATGAGAGATTGATGGGACGGAGAGAGTGATGAGGAAAGGAAGGAAGTGATGGAGGACCTTGTCCCTTATTCACGCCACTTTTTTTTTTTTTTTTTTTGTATTACGTTCAATCCCCGCGCCTTGACAGTAGGAATGTTTGAGGAAAGTACCAGCACCTGGCCATCGAGACATGCTCAACGTCCACCGGTGTTATTTCTCGGAAACAGCGCGAGCAGCGGTACGAATGGAATGCGGTTCATATCTTCAAGGTCTCTACGTTGTAGCTCCTTCCAGGCGCAGGGTACAATGTTCAAGTTTGAGTTGATGGAGGATCTACGTTTTTTATTGCCGTCTACATTCATTGAGCTATGTCTAGAATTGACTAAGCGTCAGTTGAGGACGGACTGGCTGAGGACGGACTGGTTGAGGACGGACTGGTTGAGGACGTTCTGGTTGGAGGCGCACCTGTTACAGACGTGCTAGTCGAAGAGAAACTCAATGTAGACGAACTAGTTGGGGTCGGGTTGACTGGTTGTTTCGAAAATCCGTAGCCATTAGTCGCACAGAAGCTAGAGCCGCGATTGTTGGCGTCCTTTGGAATCCAGCCGTTGTCGACACCATCAAAGTATGACCACAAGGGATTTGACTCGGTTTTGAAGTTCCAATAGAACCATCCGGCGCCTTGTTCAAAGGCCTCGACTTGCGCATTGAAAAAGTTGCTCAAGAATAGCTTGTAGAGCGCGTCGTACGTGGCAGCGTTGTTTTCGCTAACGCATGTGCTTCCGAGCGACACTGCGGGCGTACCGTCGAAGGTGCCGTTCCAGCGGTGACCCATGCCGACGCCGTTCAAGTATGTGGCACAATCATTGACGGCAACAGAGAACTCTCCTACCATAGTTGGGCCAAATTGCTTGGTGCTCATCGACAAGTCTGAGCCCCAGGTCTGGCAAGCAAACTGTAGTTGAGCTGTGCGGCTCATGCTCATCAGATTTGTGTCAAACATGATGTACTGGTGCGTATCTAATAGGCCGACAATGATTAGGAAGGCAGGCAATCGATTAATTAAATGAGCATGAAATGCAGACTTTCGTTTAGCAGCTGTGAGCAGCGCCAGAAAATTCTCGTTTACCAAGCATCAAACGATCGGCGCCAGGTAAGAAGTCTGCCCAAGCAGCGAGGCCAAGGAAGCCATCGTGGATTACAGTCCAGAGACTCTTGCTAGTGCCGGTGGCAGTACGAATGGTACTGAGTGCTTGAGTATACCAGGCCATGACCTTCTCACCGCCAATGAGATAGGCAGCAGGTTCGTTCAGTGCGCCCATGATAGGACTGACATGTGCATAGTCAGGACTTGAAAAGAATGTGGCCATTTGCTGAACATACGAGAGGGTGCGCTGGGCATTGGCAGCACCGTCTGTGCCATTGATCCAGTTGATCTGACCAGACCTACCGGAATGGTTCCAGCCGTTCTGGGAGCCGGGCGCGGCATGGAGCTCAATCATGACGCGGATGCCGTACTTGCGAGCCCATTCGATGGCGCGCAAAAGATATGTCCAGGAGATATTGGGGACATAGGGCTCGTCTGCTGTGAGGCCACCGAGGGCCCAGAAGCCGATGGGGATACGGACGTGGTTGAGACCGAGGTCGCGAATGCGGATGAATGTGTCTTCGGTGACCCAGCTGGCGTAGTGCTCTTCCAATAATGCCTTGGAACCATCGGGCCCTAAATGTTTGCAGAGCGTGTATTCGTCGATGACGCCGTTTACGACATAAGGGCTGAAGAGCGAGGGGGTGATGAAGGGCTCGAGGACAAGCCAGCCGCCGAGATTGACGCCGCGCATCTTGATGTTACCCGAGGCATAGTCAAAGGGCTCATTGAGGGCTGGGGTGTAGGCGTTGCACTTTGCGGTGTCGTCCTTGGAGGGGATGACAGTTTGGTTGGGTGCGATTGGGACGAAAGTATTGGGGCCCCCATCCTGGCTATGGTCTGCCCCGTTCTTGGATGAGCTTCTGTCCCAAGGTCTGATGACGACGAGGGGGACGACGATGGCTGCAGCGATTATGAGGATGATTAGTACAATGATCTTCCATCTGTGGCAACGGATGCAGGAGCGTCCGTTATGGTCGTTGGCGCGCATGCTGCAAAGGGGGGGAGGAGTGTGATTGATTAAAGGAGCCGCGAGGAGGGGATATGAAGGAGCAGAGTAAAATCGTGCTGTATGAGGCGAAGGAGGTGGAGGGAGGTCGAAGGAATGAGGGCGAACGAGTGCCGAAAGAGTCGATGAGGTGCGGTATCGGGATGGGAATGTTCCCTGGCGTCGCTTCTTTTTCCCCAGGTGTGTCTCGAAAGACGATGGCCAAAACAAACAATGGTCTGAGTCTTGGTTTTGGTTTTAATCGTGGTCTTAGCGTGGTGTGGCACCGGCATGGCGCCCCCCGCTCCCTTGGCCTCCCTCGGGAGCAGGGGCAAAGAAGGTTCGAGGCAGAGACAATTGGCGTGGAGGGCCTCTGTAAATATAACTCTGTTACACAGACAGTGCGTCCGTCAGATATGGGTGAGTCGTCTATGAATAGAACGAATTGGATGGGTAGATCCTGCTGACATTGCCATGCCACGTGCGTAATAGCTTTTTGGGTATAAAGACTGCTCTGCTGCAAAGGAGGCCAGGCCCTTCCCCTCCGCGGACACCGGACACGGACAGCGATCTGGCTTCTCGGCCGACGGCTGCCGTTACACTGTTTTCCAACCTGCCGTGCGTTGAGCCGGCGATGTAGACAGAGAGGGCGCGATCAAGGAAGGGCGCCCCTGAGAAGGACGTTTGTCTCGCTCTTGGGGACGAGCGCCAGGGAAGGGGAGGAGGGGGGAAGTGGGCCAGGCTAGGCCGTGGCAGTGTTGTTGCGGCGTCTGTTTTTCTGGCAGCGGAGCAAGGGCGACGGGGGACTGCTGTCTGGGTGGACCATTGGGGCGGGGCGTCTGCCTAACCTTACTGAGACAGGGTCTGGGCTCCGCTTCAGGAAAGAAAGATCCCCCTGCCCCTCGTCTCTCTCATCTCATCTCATCTCATCTCATCTCATCATCTCCTGTCTCTCCTCTCCGCCCCTCCATCCCCTTCTCTCCTCCCTCTTCCTCCTCCTCCTCCTCCATCCCTCCCTCCCCTCCGCTGCCATCTTCCCACAGATACAGACAGCCAAGGCAGTAGAAGAAAGAAAAAACCCCCCAATGTCCGCAATAATGCCCTCCGTGGGAGGGATCCCCCTGAAGTACATCTCCCTTGTCGTGCTTGCCGTCCAGAACTCGCTCCTCATCATCGTCATGGCCCTTGCCCAGGGTGTCGGCCGCAAGCCCTTCTACTCATCCACTGCCGTCTTCCTTAACGAGATCGTCAAGTTGATCGTCTGCACAGGAATCACCATCCACGAGACCATCAAGGACACCGGTCGTTTCTACCCCCAAGACTTTATCAACGAGGTCTTTGGTGGCGACGCATGGAAACTCGCCATCCCTGCCATGCTCTACGCTATCCAGAACAACCTCCAATACGTTGCTTCGCATGCGCTCGATCCCTCGACCTTCCAGGTCACCTACCAGCTCAAGATCCTCACTACCGCCCTCTTCTCCGTTATCCTCCTCCACCGGTCTCTGCCCGGTCTCAAGTGGTTGGCCCTGGTCATGCTCACCGCCGGCATTGCCCTCGTCAGTCTCGAAGAATCCAACAACAGAGCTTCTCAAAGAAAGGGCGTTCACTCCCCAGACTCAGCCTCGTCTGCTTTAGGAGCTTTACTAGAAGAACAAAAGAACGATGCGTTGTACCAGGCCGCTGCTGCTGCTCCAAGGAACGAGCGTCCCGAGTTCGTGGTCGGTTTGCTTTCAGTCATGATTGCCTGTGTTCTCTCCGGTTTGGCTGGCGTTTACTTTGAAAAGATCCTCAAGAACACTCAAGGATCGATCTGGCTCAGGAACATTCAACTCTCGTTCTTCTCTTTGCCCTTCTCGCTCCTGGCGATCTACCTCAAGGATGGTGAGGGTGTGACAGAGCAGGGATTCTTTGCAGGGTACGACATGCTAGTCATCGCTGCGATCACCTGTCAGGCAGCGGGAGGTTTTATTGTCGCAGTCGTTGTCAAATATGCGGATAACATTCTGAAGGGGTTTGCGACGAGTATCTCGATCATCATCAGCGCCATTGCGAGTGTGGCCCTCTTTGGGTCCCATATTGGCATTGTCTTTGTCATTGGTACCTCCCTGGTCTTGGGTGCCACATATCTCTACTCCCTCCCTGACAAGCCCGTCGTAAAGTAAGTTGCATGCCCTGAAAGAGACATACCACGAATATCCGAATATCAAGTACGACCTCCGACAAGGGACATGGGTAGGCATTGGTCTGACCAGCCCCTTTCTTCCAACTTTTAGATATGTCGATCTGGGCAGTCAATTGGACTCATTCCATGCAGAGGAGGGTCGGCTAGGATCGCCACGGCGGGGAAGCAACGACACCGTGTCAACGCCAACGAGCAATTCGCCCTCAGTGCGCCTTGATAGGATTCGTGGTCAACCATGAAACACTACAGTTGGCTCTTTCACACTCCCTCCACTCCTTCCTTCCCTCCCTCATTCTCTCCTTCTCTACACTTGAATTCATAATAAAGGAACTACAGGATCTCTTTGCATTGTAACCCTGGAATTGTCCTATCGTGTGTTTACAAACATGGGGATGCACTGCTGCAGGGTTTCTTGACCGTAGGGGAGATGGACTGTAAATGGATTTCCTGAACAGCGCTCATAGATCGTACTCCGCCTCTTTAAAAAAAGACGTGGAGAAGGTCTTGTTGCTCTCATCCTCATTCATCTTTTTTTTTTCAAGTCTTCAGCGCGATCCGACATACCCTCGCTCAGATGCTACAGGATCGATTCAAGAGTGCATCCGCCTTTATGGCGAAGACCAAGAATCTCAACCTGCCCACCTCAACAAAACTTTCTGTGAGTACTTTCAGCAGTGCTCTTGTGGCCTTCTGAATATGCTCGCCCGCGTATTTTTCGAAACATCGTTGGACAACACGTCCATGAATGCGCGCCTGCCTGTGGATATTCTAACTCAAACTGTTCATCCCCTCCCCCCCTTCTCCTCCCTCTCTCCCTTTACTCGCGTTGCAAAATAAAAAGCTGTACGCAGATTACAAATTGGCGACAGAGGGACTTTGCACACAGGGACGACCGTCGTTGATCGAATTTGAGAAGGCGGCCAAGTGGAAGACCTGGAAAGAGACAGGAGAACGCTACACACAGGAGCTCAACACCCCGAACACAAATATAGATGAGGACTCTGCGCAGCTCACACTCGAGATAAAGGCGATGATTTCGTATGTGCAGAGAGTCGAGGAAGGGCAATGGGGATGGACATTTGATCCGACGACAACGGATTCGGTAGAGTCAGGGGATAGGGATCTGGATGAATTAGAGGCGTATTTGGGCATGGATACGGACGAGGTCTCGGCGGAGGAGCTGTTGGCACGGCCGTATGTGCCGATTCAGGGGCAGATCGAGGGAGCAACCATGACGGCCTCGGGTATTAGTACCCTCGCCGCGCCTGTGGAGTAAGTTCTTGCTGCTTCAGATAGAATGCAAGCTGTTCTTGGTTCCTCTGTGTGCTTCTTTCCGTGTCGATGTGATGTGATTGCAAGCTGCCACGTCTTCTGATTTGTTATTTGTTTGTGTTCATGTAGGACTGATCAAGGAGAAGACGTGCTTGAATCGGCCAAGACTGGATCTGTGCAGGCAATGTTGGCAGCGTTGAAAAGCAATCCGAACATTGTATCTCACAAGGATGATATGGTACAGTATCATCCACTCACTTTTATATGTCAAGGGTTGAGTACATTTTGATATACCACAATAGTTCTTGCTCACATCCTATCCACGTCAATGAAAAACAAAAACACAACACAGGGCTGCACGATGCTTCATTGGACATGCGACCGTGGATCGCTGGATAAGGTCAGGGTGCTCGTGGAGCAGTACCATGCTGATGTGAATGCGCAGGACGCGGAAGGATCAACGCCCCTGCACTATGCTTGTCTCTCGGGATGGCCAGAAATCATTGCGTATCTGAAGGATCTTCCAAATGTAGATCAAGCAATCAAGGATAACAGTGGTATGACCGCAGAGGAATGCCTTGAATAGCACCGACAATAAAAGCAGAATGAAAATAGAAACAGACTTGCAGTGTAAAAGAAAATAGACAGAGTGTGCTTTACTGACTCGAGAGACGGTCTTGATCGAGGCATATCTTATGAACAAGCGCTGTAAGGATTTCATTGCCGACGGTCTTGTTCTTGATAGATAGTCGCTCCAATTCGTATCCCATCTCCCAGGACTTCCTTCCGAGCTGCCGTTTCCTCTAGACAAGATGAGGTTGACAGTATCTGAAGCAGACCTCGGCTCATGGGACTAGGGTCAAGTGGTCCGGCCTTTGAGCCGATATCACCCAAAGACGCTTCACGTCAGTGGATTCGGCCAGAGCGACTCGCCTAGACCCACTGCCATCCCTGATCAGCCCGTGTGTCCTGATCCTGGTACTAGCTGAGGGTCGCATGTTTTTGAAGCGATCTAAAGCCTTTTTCTCGTAAATTAACACGACCGAGAGCTTGCTGTCAAGGCACTGCTAGCCAGCAATGACTCGTGTCGGAAGATATTCTCTGTCGAGCGCTATAAATGTTGGGCTTTTCTGCCTCAAGAATTCATCTAATCCTTTGATGCGAAGGGCCCGCATCTTGCCCTCCAGTTCTCCTAAGCCTTGAGTCTTGTCAAGACTGTCATTCCCAATACTCCGAATGTCCTCATGAACACGGCCGTTGCTGTCCCTGGAGACAGCACGGCATGAAACCCATCCGAGGCCTTCCATTGCTTGATATTCCTATCCTGCATAATCATGAGTGGCAAAATCTCTGGAGGGTATGATTGCACCCCTTTCGAAAACACTACGCCGATATACTGAGCAACTTCCATACATTTCGTACGGCTCTCATATCTAGATCTGGTCTTGTCCTTGGCATAGGCCCCACGACCGGTACTCAGAATGACGCGTCCTTGGCCTTGGGTTCGACTTGCCGATTGCGTGCCTCGACAATGGTCATGATAAGATCCGTCTCTTATTTTATTTTTATTTTTTTGTCTAAGTATCGATGAATGAATACTGACTTTTGTGTGCTCGACAGACTGTTGCATCTTCTTATCGATCCATTCGATTCCAGTCTGCTGGAACTTGGGATAATTTATTCAATCTTATCGTCCCAGACGTGCATAGGCTTGACGGAAGGGGTTTCATGATACACAGCAGAAATTGAGAGAGAGGGAGAGCTAAAGATAGGATGGAGTGTTATCGTCTAATAGTATAAAGGCAATTCGCATTGCATGTCTGCAACTGATGAGCCAGACGATGTTTATTTGCTTCGTTGCTGCTAGAAAACACTGTTATTACAAGTTGAACGCAATTGCATTAAGGAATCGGTTACTGCGGGCTGCGGCTATTCCGAATAAATATGTACTGGGAGCGTGGACGCGAAAGACAGGGTGTTTAAAGTGTAAGGAGGGAAGGAGGGAAAGCGCAAGATATTGACCTAGTCATCCTTCCTCAGCGTCGGTTCGAAGTTGGCGCCGTCATAGCCGGATCCGTAGCCGTCGCTCGACCGCCGTGAGCCAGGTGTGACTTCGAGACTGGCATCATCGGGAATGCCCTCAATAAAATCTTCCAAGGCCGCTCTTTGCTCACCCGAAGATCCATCCCCGCCCTGGCTCCACATGAGGAACCAGTCTTCTGTCTTCATTACTGCACCGCAGTTACGGAAGATATACTCTTGCGACAACTTCTTCAGTCCGTGTTCCTGTGAAACGCATGCCGCCTGGAAGATCCGTACACAGGTGTCGACCTGAAGGTGATGTCGGTGCAGAATGGAGGCACACAGTTTCTTGAGTCGATCCAGTAGATACATGTTGGCCATTACCATCACATCGCACAGGATGGAGCAGTCCAGATCCACGTCCACAGTGTCTGTGTAAAGGAAGGAGAGAAATGCGAACACGACCGAGTAGGGTTCGGGCAGGACCATTGTCCCTCGGGTCGACTCGATCATCCCGGATGCGTGCATGTTCTTGAAGTGTGGCCAGCGCGTCGAAAGCACCATCCGATGAACGTGAATCTTGCGCATAGAATCTTGAGGGACGATGGTAAAGTCCGCAAACTCTTCGTTGTTCAACATCAGACTCATGTGCCATTGCAGCGTCGGAGGCGGGACCTGAAAGACGCCCAGATACTCGACATTGATAGAGAGGACGTCTCGAAAGTGGTCGTAGGGCTGTGGACGATCTTTTTCCGTGTTGCCCAAGAAGATAAGACTTGGCGAGGAGCCGGGTTCGTCGATGTCCATGCTGCTGCTGCTCTGCAAATGTGGATCGTCCACAGACATTGATGACTCTAGTTGGCGATGGCGCTGCTGCGTCTTCTTCGTGACGATGGTGAAATAATTCCAGGCCCCATCCTCGAGACACCGGTCCACATCTAATTTGCGCCACTCCAGTTGGTCGAGGTCCATGATCCAGAGCCCATAGAGACTGGTCCCTGTCGTCTCATTTGGATACTTGCCAAACACAACGAGTTGATTGCCAATGGCCTCCGAAAAGTGCTGAGATTTCAGTAGGACGACTTTCCCAGTAATTCCGGTGTGGGGGAGCACTCTGAGGGTCGTCAAGTCGATAGAGTGGAGATCTGATACGGTGTTTCCTGCCTCATCCTTCCCCGCGTAGATCCACAACTTACTTCCCACTAAGCTGGCGGAATGGTTGTAGCGTGCAGGTACGGTGTAGGCCTCTGACCACGTCCATGTATCCAGGTTCAGAATTCTCATCTCCTCCAAAACATATGTGCCTAGCGTGGTAAAGCGATGATAAGTTGAAGGCAATTACCGACTCAAGACTGTGCTAGAGAGGGCAAAAGGCAAAACCACAGCATTAGAACTGTTGCAGTTCGAAGCATATGTGGGTACCTACATTTTGAGTTCTTGGCGAATCCACCGTAGACATACATCTTGTTCTTGTAGACAGTTGCAGAGTGCAGATACCGTGCTGGCACCTCGCCTCTGATCTCAGGTCTGGACCAGGTCTTTGTCTGTAAAGAAAAGACGATAACATCGTCGCGGTATTCGTAGTATTCGTTCGATCCGCCTGAGCAAAGAAATTAAGAGAGCAGAGCGACAAATGGTAAGCAAGCTGCTGCTGAGCTGCTGTTGCATCTTTGGCCCCTCCATTTGTTGAGCACAGAGCACCGCTTACGACAAACAGGTAGGCAAGCAAAAGCACTTACCGAAGATAATGATGTTCTGATTCCAGAGTACAGCAGTGTGTCCGTATCGTTTTGTTGGTGGAACACCCTCCTTTGCCTAAAGGCGATTAGAGCGGGTCAGAAATGACAAGGACCAGGTTAGCCGATCGATTGGGTGGTCAAGGCACGCCGCAGAATGAAAATGGTCCGAAAGCAGCACATTTTCAGGAGGAAAAAAAGGCATCTCCCTTTCTAGCGCACAGTTCCTTCCAAACTATGCTATCAACGCCTTGAATATGTTTTGCTGACAGTTATTGCTTGATGAAGTGCTGGTGCTGGTGCTGGTGTTGATATGCTGTGTTGAGAAGATGTTGGATGTGTTCCTGTTCTTGTGCCTGAACTTTTTTTATTATGTGACTAAAGACTGAGCGGGACACCTCTCCAAAAACCTCGGTTGTACAAAAAGAAGAAAAACAGCATGAAGAAAAGGAGATTTACCTTTACACACTCCCAGTTGAGGGTGGCGAGGTCGAGGACATGCAGGTCGTTGGTGACATGTCCACCGCCGCCAAAGAGATACAGCTTCTGGTCGACCCTTGTGAAGGACGGCCGCCAGAGTCCGACGAGATTCTGTCCCGTGGTACCGCACGGCTTTGCAAACTTTATCATTTGTTTGCACTCCTCGTGTATGTTGTTGTGTAGGATGTGCGTGCGCGTGCTTCCTGTGCTGCTTTGTTGTTTGCCGGAGAAAAGGGACAGAAGAAAAGGGGGGGAAAGGGATGATGCCGATGCTGCTGAGGCTGCTTATGCGTTTGCTGGTATCACTGGTATGAAGTGGATGCGTGGTATTGATAAGTGGGCGGTATAGATTGGTATGGCTGGTATAAAGGGTTGGTTGGGTCCTGTTGGCCCTGTTGGTCCTGGGATGGGGCTGCTGTTGCCGTCAGTCTCCCTCTAGGGACAGCCCTGAAGATATATGTGTCGATAGAAAGAGCGGGAGAAGAAGTATTAGGAAAGGAAGAAAAGGAAGGGTATATGCTGTAGTTGCAAGTAAAAGAAAAAGAAAGAAAGTGTATATGAAAGTATATTGACAACGACAAGAGAGGGGGGCTGTGTACGAAAGGGAAGGGGAAGGAGGTGGGGAGAGCAAGATGGGAGATAGAAGAGAGGAAGAGTGCCGATGGGAGTGAAGAATAATGAATGAGGATGAGGATGAGGATGAGGATGATGAATGGGGAATGGGGATGGGAGAGCGAGAAGGAGAAAAGAGAGAGAGAAAGAGTGAGAGTGAGTGAGCAATGAAAAAGGGAAAAGGCGGTTAAGGGACACGCACAAACGACCATTTCGGACGGATGCTTTCTTTGTACGGTTACCGTACACTCCCTCTGGCCGGTAACGGGCACTGTGCCATACTGGAGTATATAGGACCAGGGACATAACCAGGAGCATATCCAGGAAACATATCGGGAAACTCCTCTACTCTACTTCGACTTGCCTTGCAGCACTTCCCGGGATATGTAACAGCACCCATGCACTCCTCATTCCATCATCGTCATCCATCATGTAGCACACAGAGGGACCGTGAACAAACAACACGCACAATTGCAAGTTGCTGCTGCTGCAAAGCGCAGTAAGCGATATAATAATATAGTCTTTCAAGCATTCCAGACAACACCGACATAGAAAAGATCCTCCGCCATTTTCTGCATCAGTAGCTGTTTTATGCGCCTTTTAACTGCCTATACATGAGTCCATGTATGCTATAAATGCCTATTGAGAACACACTTCCACTGCGAACGCGTCGTCTTTTTTTTTTTTTTTTTTTTTTGCTGTCAAAAGAAGCAGTCCGATTGAAAAGAAAAGCCAAGTTGCTTCGCCCGCTCAGATCTTCGACTCAAGCTCAGCTCCAACTCAACTCAGCGGCGGCTGTATTGGGTCCCGACATCCGTCAAGGGAACATACTATGTTTGCAATTCAATCGAAAGTAATAGGCCTGATTAGCGCATAACATCTGAACATCCCAAACTGATTAATCCCTGGACCAGGTTATGACAGATATCGTACCCAGACATCCACGGTCTTTTTCTCGGTAACGCGGCCGTCTTTGTCCTTGTCGATCACGTAGATCGCCTGTCCATCACGGCCTCCCACGGGAATGAACATCCTGCCGGGTGCCTTCAGCTGCCCGACCAGTTCCTCATACAATGAATCTGCTGCAGCACCCACATGGCTAGTTTAGACCACCAGCAATAAAAAAATACCCGCTTGTTAGAACCGTGTTAATCAACGTAGCCAATGTAGTACAATTATGTGCGTACTTTCATCCTTACATGCAGTCGTATGGTGCCTCTTGAGGGAACCCAACGCGTCCATCTGCTGTATGATAGACAACACGTCCTTGATCTAGATATTCTTTGTGGTTTTTTGCCGTGTTTTGCTTGGCGAGGTCGACTAGTTCTGGAATATGCTCTACTCCGACCGCCTTTCCTTCTGGACCCACCATCTCAGCCATGCACACTGTCAAATATCCACTGCCACTTCCAACATCCAGCACTATCATGCCATTTTGAGGAACAAAAAAAAAAAAAGTTTACGACATGTCCACGAGAAAAACGAGAGGAAACGAGAACGAGAGAGGACAGGTACAAAGTACCTTTCGCCCCAGGGAACAAAAACGGCGCCAACCCCTCTAGAGCAGTGGCATGCATATGAGGTGCAGAAATGGTGGAGTTGTATCCGAGGGTTTGAGGTCGATCCTACAAAGATAGCGTCCAAGACAAATCATCAGCCAAAAGGGACACAAGTAGTGACCTGGCAGAAGCTCTCGGCCAGCATCAACTAAAACGAAGACATGCCTCGTATGGCTTGAACTTTGAAAAGTTGGCTCGGTCGACAGCGAGCATCGCTCGCTTGACGGAGTCCGTTTGGATGATCTTTGCGTCAAAGAGACGACCGACCAAGTCTGCATTCGAGACACCAGAGCATCGCCAGGCCATTGTTGTAAAAGTGTGAATTGATTCGGATGCAGTGAAAAGAGTGAAAAAGACGATGGGTTCTGGAGGAAGTGCTGTTGCCGCTCCCCCCCACACAGACGCATTTGTCACATGTACACTGCACAGAGACAGCCCATTCGCGGTGTACCATCAACAAAGAGGGGAGCCAGGGTGGACCAGATACGTACAGCGCAGGACCTGGCATCGTCCTGTCTCTGCCATGTGCAATCGCATGCCCCACCATATCCGATGGCTCCTCTGGCCCCATCCCCATGCTTGGACTAGCACCGGTCCTTGGTCACCCGACCCAGGGAGATACTGTGTTTCCTGGGGATCTGCCGTGTCGCATGCAGTACGGACCCACTCAGGAAATCCATTGCAATTGGTTGAGTTCAACACACTACACCCCGTACGTCATGTTCTATTTCTTTGCCGCTTACCCCATCCCCAGCAGCAGTGCATCTTCCTTGACCCCTCCGTCGTCCTCGCTCACATCCCGCTGCATCACCACAGCACAATACATCACCCACCCCTACATTCTCTGAAAAACAGCAGCTACCCCATGGAGGCTCTGGACCAGCTCACTGCGGACCAGAAGAGCATCCTCGAAGACTACCTCGTATGTCTCAGACAATCCGGCGGAACACAACAGAGACACATTACTCTGGGGTTGAACAGCACTGACCTCCCTTTTGCGTGCAATCCATCAAGCTAGGCCGTAACTGGACAGAATGACCTCGAGGTCGCCATCTTGGCTCTGGAACAGCACTCTTGGCAGCTTGAGGCAAGTCTAAACGACCGCCCTTTGGCTCACTGGCAGTGCCAACGTACGATCCGACTAAAACATCGATTTCTTTTCTTTCTATCCATCACAGACTGCGGTGCAGGCCCAGTTCGGGGACACACGCACGCCTTCAAGGCCAGACGAATCCCTGGGTGGCCTAGGACTTGGTCACGCAACCGAAGGCCAAACCCAGCCAGCACCGCCTCCACCACCTCCACCTCCATCACCGCCTCGCCATGTTACTGCTCCTAGGTAGGCTGTCGTTCATGTACTTGCTTTCAGCAGCTGTATTCCTCGACCAGTGGCGACCTTGTAAAAGGAGCACTAACGCGTTCTCTTTGATCGATTGTATAGGGCAACGAACTCATTTGTAAGAATGTTATAGATGCCCCATACTCAGCACTATCGGTGCCAGCTCGTGTCCGCTGACAAAACTGACCTTTATCTCCACACTCTCTGTCTTTCTCGATCACAGGCGCGCAGTTTTCTTTCATGGTTCTCCTGGCCCATCAACACCATCTGGGGTGTCACCTGGTCCTTCCTCGCCTACTTTTGTAAGTGAACAGAGTTTTGTTGACTCTGTGATATCACACAATTGACTCTGCCAAATACTTATATTCCACCTACAGACACTCTGTTCCCTCAGACATTCAGACAGGCCATTACAGGACAGTCAACAAGGTCTGGACCATCTCGCCCACCACAGGATCCAGCATCAGTAGCGGCTCGGTTCTTGAGGGAATACGAGGAGAGTTATGGCACGGCACACCCAAATTTCTATGCTGGAGGATATTCTGCTGTAAGTGGGCCAACATCGCAACAGTCTGAAATCCCTGATCTGGGAACGTGATACTCAATTGTGCGTTTTCTACTGATGCTTAGGCGCTGAACAAGGCCAAGAACGACTTGAAGTTCCTGGTTGTTTATTTGCATTCGGATGAGCACGATGCAACGGATGCCTTTTGTAGGGAAATATTGGCTGATAACGAGCTCTTGACCTACTTGCGCACCAATGAATTCATTGTCTGGGGTGGGAATGTGAAGGAGACCGAAGGATTTCAAGGTACGGCACTGATCACCATACTGGTTGATCACCACATTGGCATGTTGAACCAGATTCTGCCCTTCTGCGTTACTAATCGAGCTATCTGGTTCCCTACAATGATCGTATCATAGTGGCCACAACGCTCCAAACGGTCAGATATCCCTTCATTGGGGTGATTGCACTTTCTCAGCCAACAGCAGGATCGTCCGCGACAAAGATGGTGCTGATCGACCGTATCGAGGGACCCTCAACAGCAGATCAGATTATCCAGCGTCTGACACAACAGGTCAATCGTCAATCAACAGCCTTTGAGCGCCTTCGCGCAGAACGAAGGGAACGCGAGCTGGCTCGCGAAATCCGGCAGCAACAGGACGACGCGTACGAGCAATCCTTGCGCGCCGACCGTGAGAAGGCCCGTCAGCAGAAGGAAGCACGAGAGGCTGCTGAGCAGCAGGAGCGCGAGCAGGAGCGAATCGAAGCAGAGAAGCAGGCGGCTCTGGAGCGCAGAGAGCGCCATTTGAAGTTCTTGTTTGAGACTCTGCCCGAAGAGCCCGCTGCGAGCGAGGATGGGTGTGCCAGGTTGAGTTTCAAGTTGTGGAACGGAGAACGCGTGATTCGTCGATTCCGCGGCACGGAACCGGTGGAGAACGTGTATGTCTTTATTGAGACGATCGAGTTCCGCGAGAATGGGGCAAAGGCAGGGTTGGAGTTTGAACCAGAAGAGCATGTGGGCTACACGCACGAGTACGACTTTGTTTTGATCTCGCCGTTTCCACGCACGAAGGTCATGGACAAAGCGAAGCTGATCAAGGACGAGCCAGCACTGTGGCCCAGTGCCAGTTTGGTCGTGGAGCTCGTGGGTGAGGATGATGAGAATCAAGAATAGACGATGTATACCAAATGTACACATTTACCGTAAAACACTTCCAATGCTGTTCTTTTAAACTGAGGTTTATTAGAAGTACAAGGGTGCTTGCCGTTATGGTTGACGATTTAAAAGTCCATGTCAACTTGATGGGATGAAAGGTCTTCTCCTTCACCATTGTCTACCTTTTGTGCTTCGGACTTTGCTCGGATCAGCTCCATCTAGTGGGGAAAAAAATGAGCAGGTTGTGAACAGTTGTCCGAAACGTTGCAGAAAAACGTCTCATCGATGTCGATCCATTCGATTTCAAGGGAAATCTAGTCCAGTCCCTTACCTCAAATTTATTCTTCATGCTTCCGACGTTCTGGATGAGTTCTGTGAGGGCGTTTCCAAGGACATGTGCTGGGGTTGTGTCGGGAGTGGTTTGGACCTTCAGGATAAAGTAGTGATCTAAAGGATGTGGCATTTTGTATCCTGCAAACAGCACCTTTGGATCCTCGAGCAATTGCCTAAGAGAAAAAAAAAAAAAAAAAAAGAATCATCAATTGCCTGCCGTATGATATAGTGGATATAGTGCTGTGTTAATTGTATCCTGCATCCTCCAGGATTGAATCTGTTGAAGCTCCTTTAAAGCTGTGCTATGCAACCTACATTCTGAGCATATTAGCGAGTGTATGGTCCTCTTTTTCGACTTTGAACGTGGCTGCGTTCGGGATCTTTGTGTCGGGTGTGATGGTGAGCCTAAGGGACAGGGTAAGGTAGTGCGCAGAACACAGGTCCATTTTGTTAAGACACAGAGCTGATCCTCACGAAGCTTCTTGGGATATGGCGATGCACGGAATCCACAAGACGCTTTACTTCTTGACACCATCGGGCAAGACAAAGAGCTCGAAGCGATCGGGGGCGTTCATGATCTCTGTATGTGTATGTGTATGTGTATGTGTGTGTGTATGTGTATATGTTTATGTATCTGCTGTGTCCTGTCGAGAGTTGCCGGTGCTGGTGCTGGTGCTTGTCCTGTCCTGGAATGATGCCAAAAGTGATGCGCGGATCCTTTTTTTTTTTGGTGGCCATTTTTTATACGTACGATGGAGGAGCTGTCTTGCGGCTTACTAATACGTCATCGAAACGCCCATTCGTCCGGCCTGCTCTGTGCACTTGCAGCAGGCGACGGGACAGACACGCACACGCACCCCCTCTGTGAGGACGCGTCTGCAGCAACACGCACTCGTTCTCATTCGCTTCTTTTTCTTTTTTTTTTTTTGACATCGCCTGCCAATCAGTCAAGTCTGTTCACCATCGCCAGCAGCAATCATCCTACGGACACCATTACATTCAACAAGAAGAAGCACATCACCGACTACCCAGTTCATCCCTAACCGAGACCCCATAGTCCAGCATGTCCCGCAGATACGATGCCCGCACAACCATCTTCTCACCAGAAGGTAACGAGTCTCTTCTTCTGACAAACCACCCGTCCAACTCGACACTCGATCAGTGAACAGGGGAATGACCGAGGATAACTGACAAGAGGATATATACAGAAGGACACAAGCGGCGTTATCGGGCCCGAACTGAGAGATCAATTGAATACTGATACCAATACCTAACGCGTCGCTTTTTTTGCCATTAGGTCGCTTGTACCAGGTAGAATATGCCATGGAGGCCATTTCCCACGCCAGCACAGCGCTCGGAATCTTGGCCAAGGATGGACTTGTGATCGCCGCAGAAAAGAAGGTGGCCTCCAAGCTGTTGGACGAGACCAAGGGAGGCGAGAAGATCTATATCATCAACGAGTACGTTTTACTACGTTCAAATATCATGCTACTGTGGATGTGAAATCAGTGCATTCGTGTGCAATATCGTCGAGGTGTTGACAAAGCCTTTTTTAATAATCTATGTTATGTGCTCGCTCTTTTCCTGTAGCAACATGATTTGTGGAGTTGCCGGCTTCACGTCGGATGCCAACATCCTGATCAACTATGTGCAGACGGCGGCACAACAGTACCTCTACACATACAACGAAGACATGCCCTGCGAGCAGCTTGTGCAAAAGCTCTGTGACCTCAAGCAAGGATACACTCAATATGGAGGTATATCAGAACCGACATGATGGATAATGCAAAACCACATTTTACTCTTTCGAATGCCCTTGAATTGCTTCAAAGCAACAGCTAACAAGGCTGCGATTGTTTCTTGTAGGCCTTCGACCTTTTGGAGTGTCATTCATTTACGGAGGATGGGATGAGCACCATGGTTTCCAGTTGTATCACTCTGATCCGTCGGGCAACTACTCTGGATGGAAAGCCACCTGTATCGGGGCCAACACAGCGAGCGCCCAGGGCATTTTGCGGCAGGAATACAAGGAGGAGGGCGTCACCCTACAGGAAGCAAAGAATCTCGCGATCAAGGTGCTCAGCAAGACTATGGATACCACGTCATTGGGGTCTGACAAAAGTAAGAAAAAGCCAATTTCAATGTGTGCTCTGCCATTTTACCTGTATTTTTTATCAGATTATCAGATTGTGCCGATGCTGATATTAATGCATGCCTCTGGAAAATCTTTAAACCTGCGATAGTTGAGTTTGCGACGTTGGAACTGGTGGATGGAAGAGTGGTGCGCAGGATCTTCAATCAGGCAGAAATCGAGGCCCTGTTGAAGGAGAACAACTTGTTGACCAAGACTGAGGAGGCTAAGTAGAAAGAAAACAAGCGGGAAGGAGTAAAAAAAGCGTCGTTTTCCGTATATAGAAACTATTGTTTTCTTTCAAGAATTACAAATAAATCTCGGCGATGAACGACTACAACAGCACACACACAAGCATATACACTGTAATTGATGGGAGTACTGTGGGAGACCAAGGTGTATGATGCACGCTGATCGCGTCGATCTTTGAAATGCGCGTTCTATTTAATACAGCGGAAGAAGCAGCAGCAGCAGCAGCAGCAGCAGAGAAATGCCCTTGTCGCCATCGATCGATGTGAATAGAAAAAAATGCGTGTGGCCAGTCAATACGTGTGCAAGAATGAAACGTTTGCGCATTAAAAGAAAGGAGTTGTTTGCGGCTGAGTTCGATACAGCAGAAAGACAGCAATGGAGCGACCTAGGTGCTTGCGCGCGCACCCGTAGTATCAGGTCCATTACAATGGTAAGCAGGGAGAGGAGGGGGAAAAGTTTCCTACAGACTACCAACATCGGGATGGCAAGAAAAAGAGTAAAGGATCAAACGATAGGGGCGACTGTGCTCTCTGACGAAGCGCACATAGCGCACCAGCGTCATTGAAACATTCTCATTTCAGGCACGCTGAATAAGGGATTGTAAATTATTAAAGCAACGGAGAGATACAGAAGGCAGCGATGGTGAAGGGTTGAGACGAAGTTAGGGCGGAGACAGCGTTTCTCTTTGCCCTTTGGACGTTCACATGAGTGTTCTTTGCTCCGCTGCATACCACAAGGCATAGAGAAGGGTCGTTTGGGATGTTTACGGCTCCTACTAGGCTACGAATGCAGCGGACGACGTGGAACACGAAGGCCAGTCGGCAACTGTTACCGAGGTGCACAGTGGTGCGGACGCCGATAGAAACGATTTTTGCCCTTCTCTTATCCATTCCTCAGCTTGGGTCTGGTGCAGGCCTGGACCCGAGGACGCTGGTGGTGTTGCTGGCGAGAAAGAAAGCGGGAGAGACGGAATGTGGTGCCTGAGAGAGTGTCTTTTGGACAACAGATGTGCGTTCGGAGGCCAAGACGCAGAGGCAAGATGGTAATCGTCGCTTTGTCTTCCGCCCCTGGCTTGCAAGGTTACAGTTGCAGCTGCAGCTACATAGGCTGGATCTATTTACTTTGCTTAGGCGCTCATTCGCGCTTTTAAGGTTATCGCCAAAGAAAACAACGGAGGGGAGAGAAACCAGGAAAGCAGGAAAATGTATCTATGAGAACATATGCACAATCCCACATACCCGTCAACAGGCACCAGTCTGTCCGTCCCACTGACAACATCAACAGCAACGACATCATCAACAACATCAACAACATCAACAACATCAATAACATCAACAACATCAACAACATCAACAACATCAACAACATCAACAACATCAACAATAAAGTGGGCGGTTGTCTTCAGCTTTGTTCGATCTCTGTTCCCTGTGAATGGATGTGCACTCCTTATACGCGCCGTGCTCTCTGATTTGTTCGATTCGTTTCCGATCTTGCGCGGGGCTGCGACTTGAAAGAAAGGGTCCGTCCTCACCTTTAATCCCAGTGGAGCCGTCAAATGTTCTCTGCTTACTAAAAAACAAAAAAAAAAAAAGTATTGCACAAGACGAGCCCAGTGTGTAAATTGAGAAACCCGAAGTGCCGTACACGAACATGAATGGTCCATGAGAGAACGGCGCTAGTTATTCATGAATTGATTCCACCTGTCTGGTCGAAAGGCAGAAAATGCCGCTCTCGAATACAGTTGTGCTGTCAGAACTGGAGGATTGGGTTGGCGCATTCTCGCTTAAGGTGGAGAGCCTAGGGAGGGCTGAAACCAGCCATCGGGAATGTGAATAGCAGCACGACCCGTCCATCTAGTCTATCTGCAGTGATAAAAAGCAGAGGTTTGTAACTACAGGAGTTTTGCTTAACAAAATATTCATAATTGACAAGGTCTAACCAAAAAAATCAACCAGCACAGTCCTCTGATAAAAAGTGTGCCCGCAAACTCCGGTAGGCCCAGAAACTCGGACACAAGACTATGTTATTTTGTTTTTATTTGTTTTTATGTTCCTGAAAAGCATGCCCCTTGTGTGGTGCACAGGATGCGTCGGGGCAGACAAACGAAAAATACGGGGGCTGCTTCTGCCAAGGTGCAGCCGCAACTGAGATGCTGCCTGGATCTGTCAAGTTAAAAAAATCCTGCCCGGCCCCATGTTCCCCATGCTGTAGCACGAACTGGGTTTCATGTCTCCGTATAGATGCGTGTCAAGACGCTCCAGGGTGGTAGGCATGGTTCATCCTGGCTGGTTGACGTCATCTCCAAATAAGGCCTTGTTGTATCATAGTACCCACTGTGACATCAGGCCTGGCAGTGCTCCCTACAGAAAGGTTGCTGCTAGAAGCATCGAGAGAGCATTGTTAGAAGTATCCGGTGCATGGAAGACAAAGAGCCGCTCTCATGCTGTACCCAGCATTTCTGTCCAGGAATGTCTCCAGATAGTACATGAAATGGTGGGAGGGCGAGATGATCGGCAGGGACCAGTCTTGTTTGGCGTGGTTGTGGAGCACTACATCCCTCTGAACTGGACTAAGCTTAGTTGAACTGGACACGCCTCCTTGTCCTTCCGCCTCCGCGACTACATCCTTCATCAGCGTCACCCCTCCTCTCCCTTCCTTCCGTTTGACCAAAGAATGAGAGGATCCATTCAGAGTCAGATACCTATGCAATCCCTGCATCCTCATTTGTCCCTTTCCCTTGGAGAAACTGTACATCTCTATACGTGAAATCGGCCACAAAAGGCAAAAAAGGGCTGGATCCAAAAACAGAACAGGTGGGGTTCATGATACTGGAGGCCATTGAAGACAAGCATTTTTTTTTTTTTTTTTTTCGCGCAAGGGCGGCTGACCAAGTTTCGACTCCATGCACTTCCTCAACTGCTACGATTCCCCTCGCTTCCTTCCTCCCAGGTCGAAAAAGTGTTTTCTCCCAGAGGGCTAACGAGTCAACAACAAAAAAAAAAAAAAAAAATCTAGGTCGAGACATGCGGATGCCATGACATCGCTTGCATTTGAGAATAGCTTAGTAAGGAGCGCTACAACACAATCGGGTCTATCGCTGTAGAACATCATCGCCAAGGCATATAAATATCGTTCAGCTGCACCACACCAGCTTCCCTCCTTTGCTTTCCCCCTACCTTTTCTCCTTACTCTCTCACTCCACGCCACGGCCCGCTCAGACTTATTGTGCGGACCAAGGGAGTACTCCCTCGCACCACACACACCTCCGGTATGCCTCGCTGCCCGTCACACATGTTCTCGATCCCCATGTGTATGAATGGATATTTTACCTATTATAGTTTCTCTAATTGCACATGCGCTCACTGCACCTCCTTTCTCTTTCATGGCCCACCGAAAAATTTCCCAATTTATCTCACAAAGTTAGCCAACTCTGGGTGAGTAGAATCAAATACTGCTTTCTCCGGGTTTCCCTTTCTTCCCCACGGACATGTACGCACACACAACACACGCACACAGACACATAGGCACACAGGAGATAAGAGACAAAAGAGACTACGCAGATAGTATAGATTAAGATGGAACCGTTGGCCAATGGCGGTCCATCGTTGCCTCTGTGGACTGAGCACACCGACAGCACAGCCTCCAATACCACTGTCGTGGGTCAGATCAATCGATCTCACTCTCAATTTAAACGCCTCGACGGTGTGGATGGGTGAAGAGTGGATCGGGAGTGTGTAAGGCTGCATAATGAGTGTTCGTGCTAAATCGCTAGCTACATACCGCATACATTCCAATACACCTGTTCTTGTTTATTCTATTTATTTATTATTTTAGTTCCGCCATCGTGGGTATTACTCTTATCTGTATATCTGTACATCTGTATCTATGTAAGCTGGCGTGAGCATTGATAAAAAATAAATGATTCGAGTTATTGCCTAAAAAAAAAAAAAAAAGAAAAAAAAGATAGACGTCTGTTGTCATGAGGTCACGGAGCAGCTGAAGCATGGGTACTTGTAGGGGCTATTCACGCGGTGTAACCTACACTCGGACAGGATGGCGTATGTGTGTGTGCGTGTAGGGGAGATGGGATTTACGGTCTGTTGTGTGCCATCAATTAACAATGGATCCTATTCTGTCTTGAATAGACTGGGTCGCTATTCTATCTTGAAAAGACTGGGCCGCTATCAAAGCGAACAATAGGGTAGGTTAAGGTGCATTGTGTAAAAAAAAGAAGGTGCGTATTATTTGTTGACATTCCCGGCATGCGGCTAGCCTTTTCTGTCGACCACAAATGATCGTCGCAATCTTTTGCATTTCTATCTTTCCTCCGCTTTTCGGTCTCTGTAACACTTGTGTGCAGTGTGGTAGTTCTCGAGGCGAAGAATAGACGGCGGTTGATGAGGACGGAGCCTGCTCCATGAGCTATCCCCATCCTCTCGCTGGGGGATAGGGGTGGGGTACGTAAACATTACTGCGATTGTCCCGCTTACCCTGGCTGTTTGGGTGTGCAGCAGGATGTCGTTGCGCTGTCTCCTATTTGGCTGCTCCCCCCGCTGCAATGGTGGGTTTGGGTGTTTGATGTCATTTTTACGTACAGAATGCATGTGTCCATGTGTCCGTCCTTGGTCATCTCTTTTGTTTTTTCCCATCCCTGACCCTCGTTCCTTATTCAATCGACAAGGCCCAATTCAATCGACAGAGACCAATTCAATCGGGCCGTTGATTTGCGTATTGAACGGCCCACTGAATCGAACTCAAAGTGGGAAATCTTAATTGGAATATTTATTGTTTTATTTTTTATTTTTTCGTGTCGCTGCCTGGACGCATCGAACACACCCCTCCCTCTCTCTTCCTCTCTCCCTCTCTCTCTTTCCTTCGTTGCCGATACTGTCTCGTCGTTGTTCCTCGCCATCTCGCCACCCCCTATCTGCTGCAGTGCCCCGCTCGATACGAAACCCCGTCCAGTCGATACACAGCTCACCATCCGTGTGGTTCACTCGACAGAAGGTGTTCTGTTGTCCTGTTGCGAGAGAGAGAGAGTGCGTGTGTGTGCGCGGGGTATGTAGGGAGTGCCGGAGTAAGTCTGTGCTGTGCAAAGTGTGTTTTCCCCTGTCTCACTTTGGGTAACCCTGCCCAGACCATCCTTCCATCGTCCACTCTACTCCATCGACCTCCTTCACCCCACCACCAAGACAAGTCAAGTCAGGACAGGACAGGACAGGACAGGACAGGACAGGCCTTCCACTTCCCCTGTCTATCTCCCGCTCTTCTCTTCTTTTGAACTCCGTTTATCCTACACATCCAAAGGGGCACGCAACGTGTTCGTTCTCTGTTCCCCTTCCTCTCGCGCAACTTCGCGCAGCCCTCCTTCACGCCTCCACCCACCCCTGTTCTCTCACTCAACAGCCAGCAAAAGGGATTGCCCCGGACAAGCCGAGCAAGGCTAGCGTGGTTTACTCTGTTCTTTACCCCTTGGTCTACCCCTGTGCTCCTCCTTGGGACAGATGGTGCCGTTTCCTGGCCAGTCAGAAGAAGATAAATTCACCCGCCCAATATTCGGTAACAGACACGGCCGGCCTTGACCAAACCGATCCAATGATGTGCCTTACACACTCACTAGACTACAACCCCCACGCATAACGCACCGTGGTTTTTGACTCGATCCATTTCCTGTTCTGTCTGAACAATCCTCGTCATTGTTTTTTCCATACGCAGACCCATCTCTCGGTCTGCTGCAAAGTGCTGTCACTAACTGTCTTTGTATTGGCTCCTATTGAATTACTATTTCGTTCAATTGATTTTTTTTGTTGTGTTGTTGTTGTTGTTGTTCGTATGTCGCTTCTTCGCTACTTCTCGTCTTTTCGCGTTGCTTCTCTTCTTCTCTCTTCTTCCACCGCTCTCCTGCCCTTGCATCATCCACAGTGTCCCCATCAACATATCAATAGTTCCATGCAATACCCGTAATCCCCTTCTTTTCTTCACACTTTGTCTTCATCCTTTGTCTTCACCCTTTGTCTTCACACTTCATACATACCACTGTTCATTTACTCACCCACGCGCCCACTGAACCCACTTTACTCACTGACTTACTCTCATCCCGCCCTTCCGGTCTCTCTGGATTTGCATCCACTCAATTGCTTTTCAATCACCAAGCTAGGGCCCCCCCCTTTTTTTTAGGCACTCTTCTACTTTTTCTTCCTGCCTTCCTCCTTCGCCTTTGAGATCAGGCAGATATTCTTCTCCAGGCAACCAAAGCACCGGGACCATCAATGTCTCCAGCTTCAAGAAGATCTGGACCAAAGTCCGGCCCCTCTACCCCTCATCAGGACGCATCCACTCTAAACAACAGCAGCAGCAACTCTAACAACGTCGCACATTCGAGCAATCCCGATCAAGCGGGTGTTAACATGGTATCGCCAGACATTAACCTCACTAGGTTAGTAACTAGACTCCCTCCCCATACCTACCCTGAACACCCCTCCGTCGCCTCCAACTCTACTGAGTCTTCTCCTTCGCCCAATGCCTCGTCCCCGGTCTCCTCCTTGCCCTATCCTCACCACGACCCTCGTCACTATCTTCGTCCAAACCATCATTCTCCTCAACATCAACATCAACACCAATTCCAGCATCATCGCTACCCTCCTTTCAGACTTCTGACCCAGAAGGACATCTTGAAGCAGATAGTGACCCAGGGACAGGGCCAGGGCCAGGGCCAAGGCCCGGACCAGAAGATGAAGACCCAGGGTGGAAGCAAGAATAGAAGCCAGAGTGGAAGGATTGCACCTACACAGCAGAAAAAGGACAGCAGAGGCCTCAACAGCACTAACCGGCAACTCCATAACCAACCCACTAGGAGCAGCACTCGACAACCTAATACAAATACCCAAGGTAGCGATGCTCTTCAATCAACCTTAAACCCTGGCGCGCTTGCCAATCCAGACGAACCCCATGCTCAGGTTCAACTGAATATCGGCGCCGCCAACCCTTACTGGCCTGAATATCAGCAGCCGTCGCATGCGCCAGCACTTCCCCTCAACTACTATGCTTCGCCAGCACAGCACCATCAGCACGTGACAGGTGTCGCACCTCTGGACAATCGAGTACCAGTAGCTGCGCCCACATCGGCCTCAGCAGGGCCCTCGAGACCTGCACCGCCACTGCCCAAGCTCAACCAGAACCAGGTCCATGCGCAGACCCATCCCTGGAGAATTAAAGTCTACAATGCCTGTCTCGCCTGTCGTAAGAAGAAGATCAAGTGCAACGGCCAACCGACCTGCGACCGCTGCGCCCGACTTGGATTCGAATGCTCCTACATCGAGGTACCTCAGTCGCATCAGGCCAAGGGCAGACAAAACGGAAAGGCGACTACAGCAAGCGCCACTGCGACTACGAGTTTCGCCCCAGCCAAGACAATAGTTAAGGGCCCTACATCCTCAACGCTGGACCAGTCGGTGCCCCATCATCAGCAGAGCAACGTCGTCGAGACCACCAAGGATGTGCGCCAGCAGCATCGGTCCTCGATCAAGGATGCCGCCAGTGGTCCATTTCCACATTCGGCCCCTCGTCGCTCCAAGGAGTCCCTGCCTGCCAGGGAGTTGTTTGCGGATAATCGACAGCTCTCTCCCCAAGGACCGGTTGCGCAGATGCCCAGGAAGGACATACAGCCTACTGACGCAATAGCTCCTCTGGGCCCCAAGCCCATGGCTGCCTTTGTCATGGATCGGGATACGGTCATGCCGGATCTCTATCATATTCTCGTCAATAATGTCTCCATTCTCAACGTATCCAAGTACACGCAGTCGTCAGCACAAGCAGCCTCATTCACAGCAAGACCAGAAGGGGGTGCGGTCTTGATGGATATGGATCAGCTCAATCTCACGTTGGCCTCGCCCGTAATCCCAACGTTCACGGTTCTGAATTCTGATCATGCTGACCCAGACCACCACCATTCATCCTTCCAAAGGGACCCTGCAGTCACTTCTTTTCTTGATCAATCTACCCCCCTTGGCTTTGTTATTACCAACAAAAGCGTCATTCAGTATCTGGTTCACGTTTATTTCGAGTGCTTCCATTGTCACTGGATGTTTGTCGACAAAGAAAAGTTTTTGGCCCAACTCAGGGACCCATCTTCACCTCCCGACCCACTCTTGCTCGTCGCCATCTGTGCAGCGGGCGCCAAGTACTCGGACCACGAGGGGCTTTGTGCTGAGCCCGGCAATCTTGCGACTATTGGTGAGCAATTCTTGACCCATGCACGCATTCTCCTCCAGGATCGCTTTGATATGCCGTCGATGTCGACCTTGCAGGCACTGTTGGTCCTTTACTGGTGCCAAGTGCAGACCGGGCGCGCAAGTCTTCGTTTCATGTATGTCGGAATGGCCATTCGCATGGCACAGGAGATGGGACTGAATCGACCGGTCGACCCCAAGAATCATAAGAGTGTTGACGAGAGAGAGGTCCAGATCAGAAAGATAATCTGGTGGTCGTGCTACCAGGCCGACCGATGGACTTCAGCTGCGCTAGGCAAGCCAATGGTAAGTTGATCATGTTTGGATGTTTACATTGCTAGGAAATGGCATAGACGTATTGTGGAGCTACATTTGACCGACTTTTCTCATCTTCTGTTCCCCAAGGTAATCAGCGATGTCGACTGTCTTGTGGATTACCCAGTCAGTCTGAACGAGAGCGAGCGGTATCGTGTCCAATCTTTCTGCCATATGACGGACCTCGCCAAGATTCTTGGAAATATTATCTTGAATCTTTACACGTCGACCAATGCCGCCACTTGCTCCTCGTCCGTATTTTCGCACATGGATCAGTCGCTCTCTCAATGGATCGAGTCCATGCCCTCGGTCTTGGCTGAGCAAGAGGATGTCCTGACTACACCCGCTTCTCTTGACAGTGTCAGCACGCCGTCAGGACGCACGAGCTCTCAGCGCACAAAGCCATCGACTGCTACTGCGACACCGGTTATTCCTCACCAGGAAGCCTCCACAGGATCTTCGACTGCTTCGAAACCAACAGCAGGGCCGTTGGGATACTATGCACTTCTCTTTCACACTGTGCGTATCATGCTCTTCCGACCATTCCTCCACAACAGCGCACTTGCGCCAGTGCTGCCTCTCACGCTGCAGTCTCCTCTGAGTCGATGCCGCGAATCAGCGGCCGCCATTTCGGAGATGGCAGAGAATATGGTGTCGGAGCAGCGGTCCTACCGACAGCTTTTCAATTCGATCCACCTTTCGCTGTGCGCTGCAGCGACCGTGCACCGATTCGTGATTGCATCTCCGCAAGCGCAATCGGTCTCCCAACAGCCAAAAGGCCCTGAATCGAGCGATGGTGAGTGCTGTTGATCTTAAGTTTTCCTCTCGTAAAAAAAAAAAAAAGTTGTGTCGCTAATAGACGCTCCATTGCTTCACCTTTACTTGGCCGGTTGCAAGGTCGCGATGATTCCATGGCACCGTCTGGCGTGACCTCGACTTCCAATCCGTTGCCCGCGACTCTGTCAAAGGCGTCGTCGCACGCCAAGACCGATCTTTATTATCTAACGCTCCTCCTCCGCATCCTTCAGAACTGTTGTCGTTTCTCGGTCGAAAAGAACAATCTGCGGAACATCATCAACGGCTACCTGCCTCAGAACCACCTTAATCCACAGGACTTGGCCTGGGCCAAGGAAGAAATCAACAAGCCCTTTGCAATTATGCCCTTTTCGATCAAGATGTCTATGCAGACGCCATCTGGATCAAAGTCGATGGTTGCGCTCAACTTGTCAGCGCCAGAACCGCGTACTCCACCGAGGGTACAGCAGCCTCAGCCTTCATCAGCGCAGCGAATAGTGTTACCGCCCCAGCTAGTTCCTCAGCAGCAGCGACAGCAGGGTCTCTCGGCTCCGCAATTTCAGGCACAGCAGTATCAGCAGTATCAAATGCAGTTGCGGCGGCACCAGCGAGATCAGCAGCAGACCAAGCAACAGGCGCAAACAAGGCGTCTTAATGCATCCATAGAAGACATGGTACCCAGCACAAGTCACAATCAATCTCATGGTACTTATATTCCAGGCCCTGCTTCTCCAGACGACCTTCGCCAAGCCCAGACTCGATCTGGTAGTAGGTCTTCTTCAATGAGCGAACCTCCTGGATATGTCGCCACTGTAGGACCGAATACATTCTCCAATACGGTCACCGCTGAGCAGCAGCAGCTTGAACAATATCAGCGCGATTTGGACTTATTACAGCAACAACATCGCATTCAGCAGTCTGAGTTGACTCAACACCACCAGCAACAGGCACTACAGTTGGAGCAGGCGCAGTTGTATCAACAGCAGCAACAGAATCATCAGTATATGCATCAAAGTCAACAGCGCCCACAGGAAATGTTTGGTCAGCAACAGCAGCATTCTGAGGATGCTTCCGGTCCGTCGCATCAAGACTCCCTTCGGGGTCGACCTTCGGTCAGCGGGATCATGAGCCCAAAGAGTCCATACTCTAAGCTGCCGGATCATGCCGTTGCTTGTAACAAGCGTCAGAGCGAGGTCCTTTCGAAGAAGAAGCAGGCCAGGCAGAAGCAGCATGATACATCGCAGCAGCAAGATCGACAACAACAGTCTCAGGATCATGACCAAGGACAGCAGGAACATCAGCGCCAGGCAAGGCAGCAACAGCAACAGGCACATGATTACCCACAGACAGACAGCTACATGGCTGATGCATCACCGCCGAATGTGGGCCCAGGGCTGACTCTGGCATCGCTTTCGGGGATGGCGGATGGCAGCGACGAGTTTATGGCGAATAATTCTGCAGCCGCCTCTGGTAATGCAATATATTTCTTATCCGCGGTCTGATTGTAAATGACTCTCGATACACATCCTCGGTAACTAACCTGCTCTTGAGTCCTCATTTGCCCACTATATCTTCCGAAAACACACTATTCCTGCGTCTCGCTCGCACGGCTCGTATGTGTGCCTTATCCCGATTTCGCTTCTACGGCTGCGCGGCTATGTCGACTTTTCCATCCTCGGTTGATGATGCGAATGGCAATCCCAACCTTGATTACTGGGATATGAATAATAATGATAATGATACGGATACGAATGTTGAATAACGTCTTTATGATAATACTGATAATACCGATACGGAATCTCGCTTCATATCTCCATGGTTTGTTGTCTCCAACTATAGTCATCAGCAGCCATGTCACTGGCGCCACAGATCTCTCGGGCACTAGTGGGGTAGCCAATTTGGACGAACTGTTGAGTATTGAGGCTACTGGATACTACTCTGAGATGTCCGCTACCAACACTGGAAGTGATTACGGTAATATGGATTCGACTACTATGCCACTCACGGGACCTCCGTCTGTGGAAGGTCAGAATCGGACCCATTTCGCCGGATCCCCCACCGAGTCCAACCGGTTCTGGTTCACACCCCAGCAGCAGTCATCTGCCACGGGTAGCAGCACCAGTAGCAACCCCAACGGTAGTCAAGGTCGTAGCACGCACTCGCATCGAAGCTCGATCAATGAGAACATTAGTAGTGGTAGTCTCCAGCATATCCTTACTAATAGCAGCAGGAACAGCAATAACAACAACAACAGCAGTAGCAGCAGCAACAATAGCGACAACCAGGGACGGTTTCAGGGCGGTTCGATGATGATGGTGCCTCAAACGATGGACATGGGAGCAACTTGGCTTGGGTTCAACTATTCTGGCAGCTCCAATCAGCTGCCGCCCATGCATGGTCCTCCGTCGCCCGTGGCTCGACAAGGCGATAGTCCTGTCGGCTACCATTACTATCCCTATATGTTCTCGTATGCCCCTCAGCAGCCGGTCCCGCACTTGGGTCAGCCACAAGGCATGCCTTATGCGGCCTACCACACGATAGATCGATCGGTTGCATATACGCCTGCTCTTCCGTATATATACACAACGGACAGTACTGGAGCGATGGGCATGTATGTCCCAACACCGGGGCCTCAGAACCCTCGGGGACAACCAGTGTTGGATGCCCCTGATATGGCTTGGCAGCAGCATTCGCAGTTTGCGGGACCACAGCAGCAGGCGATAGTTGACTCGCAGCTTATGCAGCAGCATCAGCGTCAGCGTCAGCAGCATCAGCAACAGGAGCAGCAGGATCAAACGCAGCAGATGTATTCGCCGATATTGCCAAACCAGATGTACTCTATCCCACAACAGAGGGGACAGCAGCAACAGTCGTCTCAACAACAGCAACAGCAACAGCATAAGGAGCAGAGGCAGCAAGCTCGTCTTACCAAGTTCAAGCACCATGGCTCGGCACCGCGACAAGCTCAATCGCAGCAACAGAAACAACAGCAAACTCAGAAACATAACCGAACGGAGCAACACCAAGTCCGGCATCCTTCTGCGACGTTGTTGCCGCCGTTGCCTCAAACGGCGTACCGAGATGATAACGGTTGCGCCGAAGCTGGAGGGCTAACATTCTCGCCAGCCTCGTCGAATTCAACTTTGGTTAACACGACAAGCAATGCGTCGAACAACAGTAGCCAGCAGGAGAGCGGTAGCAGTAGTGGTGATGGCCACTTACCAAGCCGTGAGACGAGTAGTGGTGCAGAATCGACGGGTCAAAGTACTTCAACGCAGTTTGAGAGTGGCGGGCAGTTATCGTCCTCAGGGATGTCGGGGTCAGAACGGTCACCGACGGTTGGGTCGAACGAGATTTCGTCGAATTCGGAATCGCCAAACTCGACGGAGGATGCATCGAACTCGAACGAGTCGGGTTCGTCGTCTGAGAACAATGGCGACTCGCGAGCGTCGTCTGCCGACGTGGCTACATCGTCCTCTGGCGCTGGAGCCGGTGGAGGTGGTAATAGCGGTGGCGGCGGTGGTACGACCGACGGGAGTAACAGCGGAGGCGGCAGTGCCGGTGGCAAGACAGGATTTTTAGGGAGCGGACGTCGTCGTCGTGGCAAGAAGTCGATTTCGCATGCAGGATCTGCGGACTCGTCGACTTCGTCGTCGAATGCGACAGGGTCTTCGGCTTCAGAACAGCCAGCCCAGGGTCGACACTATCGTGCGCATCATCAGGCGCAAGAAGGCGAGGGAAGTAGTAGAAGCGGTGGATCTCACCAGAACGGTGTTCATCGCAAGCACAAGAGCAAGTACCGATCCTCAAGCGCTGAGGACTCTGTCAGCGCGATGGAGGGATCTACGGCTGGTAGCGGCAGCGGTGGCGACGGGTCCAAGTCCGACTATCACAATCAGTCGAGTTCGTCAAGTGGTAGAAGCGATAACGGCGGTGGCGGCAATAGTGTACGAGGAGCCGGTGGACACGGTGGGGCAGACAGCGACAGCACCGGTAGCGGCTCTGGATGTGTCTCTGGATCGAACGAACCTTCGAGCAAGAGAACCGCAAGCAGGTCAGGGATTAGAGGCGGTTCTGATGGCGGTGGTGGAGATGGCAGCACCACCGGCGGCTCCAGCAAGGAACGATCGATTGTAAAGGAAAAGGTAAAGGCGGCAAAGGAAAGTCGTCCGGCAACAACACATTCTCCAAAGCAGTACAGAAGCAGCAACAGCAACAGCAGCAGCAACAGCAGCAGCAGCAGCAATAGCCATAGCAGCAGCAATAGCCATAGCAGCAACAGCAGCAACAGCAGCAGGCGAAACAGGCGCAGCAGAAAGGATAGCAGTAGCAAACCCAGACTCAGCCAAAGACGTGACAACAACGAGAGCAGAGAAAACTAATCAAGAAACGTGTAACGTTCTTTTCTTCTTTTCGTCTTCTTGTCTTCGTATCCTTTGACTTTTCTATCTTTGAGCCCCCCTCTTTTGCTCCTCCTCGATAAGTTCGGATTTCTTGAACAAGCATGGACCTTAGAGCGTTCTTCGTCCCACTCCAAGCAGCCTTTACCTCCCAAGCAATGCACTTTACCACTGCAAAATGAATCACTTTTGTCCAAGGCTGACCAGTTCTTACCGTCAACCACTTGCCCATGATTAAAGCATTTGTAATAAAAAATATTAACTATATTAAGAAGAGTTGCCTGCCCTTTCATGATATCGAAAGCCGAGGCAAGAACTTGCAGGGCCCTACATCTGGAGCATATCTGGCATGGCATCATGGCATACTGGCGAAGCAGGGTCTCGGAGACTGGGAAGACTGGGAAGGAATGCTGGGCAGTGGGCGGTTCAGCAGCAGTGGAAGTAGCCACATCAATTCCTTGTTCTCGTTCGGCATACCGTTTCCTCAGATAATCAAACCTGAGGTTGACAAACTATCACAAATTCATTAGGCTCAACGGGGCTATGTTCAACTGATCCCCCACTGTCCTAGTCCTTCGACTGTACACTGTTTGGTGTTTTTGATGCGTGCGACCAAGAGTGGATGAAACTGCTTGAAGTAGTCAGTTCAGTCATCTGGAGGAGGGCAATTTACTTGGGCTTTGGGCATCTACTTAATCATGATAGATGTACATGGGTATGCGTAGGCCACGAACGCCTTTTCTTTATTCATTGGTACTGCTTAAGAAAAGAGAGAGAGAAGATATGTATGTATGTTCATTTTATGCAAGTCGCTTGTAGCCAATTCCAAAGATGAGTGCGATGACAATCCACTTGATGTGCCTCCAGACAAAGTTCCTCTTGAACCTGGGCACAGATTCGAGGAAGACACGGGCAAGACGCAGGTTGTTCTTGGTGTAGGGCGCATAGCGGACGGCGAGCGCAGCCTCAAAGACCGGATTCGTGGTCTTGATCATAGCCGAGCGCTCATGGGTGAAGGCATCAAAGGACTTCTTGCCGTGGTAGTTGCCCATGCCCGAAGATCCAATACCTCCAAAGGGCAGATGTCCCTCCGTGACATGGAGCAGGCACTCGTTGACAGAGACGGCTCCCGAGCGGGTGTGATCAATGACCTTCTTCGAGAACTTCTTGTTATCGGAGAAAATATAGAGCGACAGGGGATCGTCCTTCGAGTTGATATACTCGATCGCATCGTCCACATCTGCGACACGAATCACAGGCAGGAGTGGTCCAAAAATCTCGTCCTCCATGAGCTTGTCCTCGCGGTCGACGTTCAAAACGACCGTCGGGGCGATGTAAAGATCCTTCTCGTCTGACTGTCCGCCAATCACGACCTCTCCCGACTGGTTCTCGTTCAAGACCTTCATCAGACGGTGCCAGTGGCGGTTATTAATCACGCGTGCATAATCCGGTGAGTTCTGGGGATTGGTGCCGAACATCTCGATCAAGACCTTCTTGAACACTGGAATGAACTTTTCCTCTCCCTTTTGCGTCAACAACAGATAGTCGGGAGCAACGCATGTCTACAAACGGAGAGCAAATTACAATGATTTAGTGTAAACTCTGGATAAATAACGTTCATCAGAATGAATAGATGTACACGTAAAAGATTCGTTGTCAGGATGACCATGATCCGTACCTGACCAGCATTGAAGGTCTTGCCGAAGGCAATGCGTCTGGCGGCGACAAGCATGTTGGCGTTCTCGTCAATGACCGCCGGGGACTTGCCTCCTAACTCCAGAGTCAAGGGTGTCAAGTGCTGAGAGGCGGCCTTCATGATGATCTTGGCAACCGTACCGTTACCGGTATAGAAGATATGATCCCACTTGTGCTCCAACAACTTGGTCGTCTCATGAGCAGCACCGTTAACGATGATGTAGGCGCGGCTGTCAAGATAGCGGGGGAACAACTCTGTAAGGAGTTTGGCGGTGTGGGGGGCCAGCTCTGAGGGCTTGACTACGGCCGTGCAGCCGGCAGCCATGGCGCCGGCCAAGGGGCCAAAGGTCAAGAAGACAGGGTAGTTCCAAGGCGAAACGATGAGCGCGGCACCTGTTATTATTTCATTATTTTGGACCCCCAAGAGAGTGGTGCGTTAGAGTTATTTTGCACTCTACTTGTTTCCGCATGTGAGATTTCTGGGCATTTTGGATGGGATGTTTGTACACTTTATGCGAAATGCACGGCAATGCTCACAATGCACACCACCGTTTTCTAGTCCGTGGTACACTAGGTCTACTCCCTCTTTGTTCGCTTCGGTATTCAGCAACAGGGCCGTTTGTATCGATCGACCCTTCTCCGTATCCCCATCCTCGCCACATCACGCTGCAGCCATTCAAGAGAGAAGGGGCAGTGTGACAACTGTCGCGCTGCATGGTAAGGTAGCCGGATAGGGATTGAGATAGATGGATGACACAGACAGCCCAATCAACGGGATATTAAATATGTCTCCTAAACCCGAAATGCACCCTGGCCCCCATCCTATGTGGGGTTATTCATTGATAGAATGTACGCTTGCTTAGACTTACCCTTGGGTTCCTTGCGGACAAGACAGGTGACGCCATACTTGTTGATGAGCGAGGGCTCAATGTACTCGTCCTTAGCCCACTCCTCGAGATGCTCGAGGGCATCGTTGATCTCCTCTTTGGAAGGGAAGAGCTCACCGAGACAGGTCTCGTTACGGTGCTTGTGCAGGTCCTTGTAGATGGCATCGATGATCTGTTCGACGTTGTCGTCGAGGAGGCGCCAGAGCTGCTCGAGCTGATGGCGACGGAACTTGAGAGGCCTTGTGTATCCGGCCTTGTAGGTCTGGCGGCAGGTCTCGATGGCCTAGAAAGAGGCAAGGAAGAGGTTTAATGGCAAGATTCTTTGGCCTTGATGGTTGGTACCAAGGACTATATACCTGACTGATCTCAGCGTCGTTGCTGAAGCGGAGGATGGAGGAGGTCATGACTAGAGGCGAGAGGTGTGTTTTCAAAAAAGGAGGAATGCAGAGATGGGATGGAGGGCAATGGCGAGAATGAAAAAGACAGAAAGAAGGAGCAGCCCTAGTCTTAGTAAGAATTGAAGCCGAAATACCAGCCCCGGCTCACCGCAGAAATGCTTGCGCGGTTCACACGCATCCGGCTAAAAAATCTGTCGGTTCATATCTCCACTTCTCCAGGCAGCATTACTGTTAAAACGAACGCTGTTCGGACCTTTGCCGATCGATCGGGCGGGAAGCGCATTCGCTTTAATGCCCACACAGCGTGAAGAGGATATGTCACGCCCATACAACACACGCATGTCCGTCGTCGAATGTCGAGCGCTCACAAAAAAACCTCCGGACTAAATCAAGACTAGGAATAGAGATTTTGTGCAGCTTGCATGCAAAATAAACCCTGCGCTCATGTCCATGCTCGTTTATTTTTAATAACGCTATCTTACACACTTGCAAAGACATCATTCAACAGGGTACAAGGTTCGGGTCTAAGACCGTCCACGGATGGCCTCCCCACTTTGCGTCACGATTGATGATGACGGTCCATAGTTGTAGCCATGCGAGCCAAGCGACTGCTGTTGTGGGGCATACAGTGGTGATGGTCCATGTTCGTGTACTTGTGAGTGGGCCTGTGCATGCGGGAATGGGTCTGTCTGTTGATGCGATGAAGCAGGACCAAGTGTCTGTGTCATAGGTTCTGGATGGTGCTGGTATTGCGGTTGTGCATAACGTTGTTGAGCATGGTACGCTTGCTGCTGCTGCTGATGATGATACTGCGATTGATAGTGTTGATGTTGTTGTTGCTGCGGTTTGGACTGATCAACAGAATCCGGATGCGCCTGCGTATGAGATGAAGAGGCTCCATGTCCTCCTGACCCTCCTGGTTCTCCCGGCACTGGTCCTGGCCCTGCAGGATGTACATACTCATGGCTCTGTGTCCTTCGGCTACCATGTACCCCATACGAGTCAGGTCCAGAGCTATTTGGGACATTGCTCTGAGCAGTCGTGTAGTGGGACCCTTGTGTAATATCGTAATTCTCGTACTGTCCTTGTTTCCTGCCTTGACCTGCTCTGAAGACTGCAACCGGAGGACTACTCGACTGCGGACCAGGTCCAGACGTATGGCCAAGAGGCATAGCTGCCGTACTCAATGAATAAGGAGGTCTAGGGATACCGGACGACGAGATCGAACGGCCATGTCCGTACGAAGACCGATTTTCGTGGCCATAGTCCAGTGATCCCGATCGGGAAGCTGTGCCTTGTCCCATGCCCAACACAGGGCCCCGGGGATGGTTTGTATATGCGGGCACAGATGAACTGCCTCTTACATAATGTCCACTTGCCTCAGATCCTGAGACTGGCAAAGAGGCGCCATCCTGACTATGATATGGAGGATATCCAGAAAACTCTTGATCCAAATGGAGTGTCACCTTCTCACCCTCGCGCTCTCGATGAAAGGCGCTCTCGACCGGTGAATGTCCATGCGTCTTGGGAGGCAGAGATGGCCCAAGCGCAAGCTGGGGCATAGATTGCAATCGGTGGTCGTGAGCTTGCGGTGCTGAAGTCGATAACGATTCTCTGAGAGGACCCCCAGCGGCATCGCGATGTGCATGTCCCGCTGGCACCGATGCTAGCGTAGGTGTGGATCCAGGATACGGTGGGTGTCCGTACGTTGCATATCGACCATGAGAAGACACTGCCTCCTCACTGAGCGTGTGGTTGGGCGCATGGTTGCTCTCAGGACCCGCTTGCGAGATAGTCAACCCATCTGACGCAGGGTATTTTCCTCGAGACTGCGGAGGAAGTGGATGAGAGTGTGCAGGATAGGGCAGATGCGATGCCGACTGCTGCTGGAACCCTGGGAAGGACTCGTACTCAGACGACCGCCTTGGTCTTTGTGGTGCAGGCCTTTGCTGGCCGGGGTATGGATGGCCGTTCTGGAACAGATGTTCTCGTGCAGGGTGTGGCGGATACGGCGGCGGCTGAGTATTTGCGGGAAACGCCACCGCATGCTGAGACGGATCCTCCACCTGAGACCGCGGCACATAGTCAGGCCGATCAAATGCGTTGGATGATACACTTCCGCGATGGTGATCTTCAAGATACGAGGCCGGTGCATTATAGTCCATTGGTTTCTGGGTAGTCTGAACAGTATACCCCTGACGTGGATACGCGTACTTCTTTTCTGAGGGTGTTGCTCTTGAGATCAAAGGCTGGCTCTGAGGAACTCGTGAGTGCTCGTCTGCCTGATATGGTGGTCCTATCGGGTGATCTCTTACATGTCCCTGGGCAGCTACCATCCCTCGAGGACTATATGCTGCAGGCGTCTCCGGGAAAGACACGCGACGAACTCCAGCAGCACTTGGGCGCCTTGAGCCATCCTGGTACTCTGGTGCGGGATTTGGATAATGACGTCGATGTGTGGTCCCAACCGCGGCCTCATCCTCAAAAGGGCCATTATAGGTCGGCCCTGCCCTAGGTAATGAATCTACCGTCCTTTGGTCGATTTGTTGTCCTTCAATCGAGGGTCTTGACGCGGTTGGAGGGCCATAATACTGGATAGTAGGGCCATGTCGTGACAGATGTGGATTGGGAATTCCGTGCTCCTGTACTGCTGTAAGCTGGTCCTGCCCCCTGCCGCGGTACAAATCCGCTCGTTGATCTGGGCGCGTGCTGGTACTGCTTGGTTTTGCATTCAAATCCATATGGGATACGCCCTCTGCAGCCCTGTTGGCAGCGGAAAAGCGACGAGAAGCGTTCGAGTTGCCCTCAAAATGTCCATGATGCGGTTGCTGCTGACCGTATGCCCCAGGAACTGGTCTTGATCTGTCTTGATAGTCAGCACGTTCCTGCATCTGGCTTCCTCCCCACTGTCCACCTCTAGTGTCTTGACTGGCTGGATGCTCCGACTTGTTCCCGAGCGCTGCATTTTTCTCGCGTCTGAACTCGATGGTTCTGATCCCTGAGGCGCGACGCTTTGATGTTTGAGGTGCGCCTGTCGCGGCTGTTGACTTCTCCTCATCATCCTGCGACTCGGGCAGCTCAGCGGCATCTCTCTGTTGCGACTCTGTAGGACTCTGTGACGTTGGTACGGTCAAATATTCACCCCGGCTCCTCCTTGACGATTTTTTTTTGTCATATTGTTAGCTAGATGCTTTAGAGAAATGGGCACACACTGGACAAAAAAGCAAAAGATACTTACTTTTTCGGCCGAACTTCTTTTCGTATCCTGATCTTCAAACCCTGCTCTGCAAAGTATTGGGACAGCTGCGTCGATTCTATTATGAGGTAATGTTGTACTCATGTTGTAAACATAAAATAATATCTATAACAATATGCTGCGTAGATATAGCCTTCACATTGAAAACTGGAATGGTAGGTACCTTCCATGCCAGGGAACTTTTTCGCAGAATAGACGACCAGTGGATCAGAGATCACAAACGCACAGAAATGCACGTCCTTTCTGTGTACGTTTTAAAACACAAAAGAATCACCATTTGAGAGTCAGAAGGAATGCAAGTTAGCATTATTATTGAATGGGGTCTATCGATGATGCTTACCCGACCATCTCGTAGAGACAGAACTTGAGGCGATAGGTCCCCTCCATCCGCACAGAGAGATCTGGAAAGACAAAGAAGCCGGACTCTGTGCCGCCGTCCTCAAAGTCTTTGAGGGGATAGAGCGAGGACACTGAGGACCCTGTGGTGGCCTTGGTCCTGTTGTCCTTGAAGAGTTGCATGTCCTCCTTGGACCGAGTGTCCTTGATCAGAAGCACATCCTCACGCGTGTCTTTCTCCACCAGGGAAGCATGCATGAAGTAATAGGGGTTCTGCAAATATGAGGTGAATGCGCCATTGCTGCAATGCCCAATGAAGGAAGGACGATAAATTGGCGGCAAAAAAGATAGTCTTTGATCAGCAATAGGATCGACGACTGCTGTGCACCCTATTATTCGCTTAACGGTATCTGCCCATTGGCGCGACACAGAGTGTACTGCCATTTGATTGCGTGCACAGCAAAGAAGACAGTACAAAGCGGATGCGATGTGTCTGTCCTTACCTCTTACTGCCACCACTTGAGGGAGGGGCCTTGACAATTAACTGGACAATTGGGGGTGGGTCAATTGGTCGTCGATCGGCTGTTTGTTTGTGTGTGTATGTTTATTCGTGGTTATCCATAGTAGAACAAGCGAGCACAGGATGATGCGATTAGTGAGAGGGCTGCTGATCGGGAAACCCAGATATGTACAACATATATAACATGTACGAAGAAAATGGAGGCAGAAAAAAGAATGCCGCGACAACAACTGCCTTTCATCTCCAAACAACACAGTGCAAACAAGATCAACGACCCACTCACATCATTGACAACAATGAGAAACAAGAAACAGGAGACAAGCGGACAACAAAAGGCAACAACAGAGCACAAGAGAACAGCAGAAGCAAATAACGGCGGCAGCGCTCAATTGGTGTGGGTAAAAAAAAAAAAGGGCTCTCATTTTGCACACTATCACTAGCGAAGCGCGCAATAACCCAGCGTTTCGGCACCAGCATCCCCCTGCTCGCGCAGCAACCTGCCTGTACGGATGGTATCAGGACGAAGGACCTGAGAGCCAACGAATGCAGGACGTGTGCTGTGTGGTGCAGGGGCACGCTTGGAATTGCTTTGGATGGTATACGAATGATGCCCTCCTTCCCGGTCGGTCAATCAGACGTGCAAAGGGCGACAAGAAACAAATAACCCGATGCATTTACGGCCACATGGGGTGCGCGACAACCCAAAACTGGATGACCAAAAGAATGGAACATGAGGGGGAGCGAAGAACGAGGATGGACACAATAATCTTTAAAAGAAATTGTTCCCTTGAATGAATGTGTAAAGGTGGAGGACTGATCCGAGGGTTTGGTTCAGATAGGTTTTCCCCTCATTCGCTGGGAAGTCTGCAAAGTATGACACTAGGGCGGAACGTTATCTGCGATCTGGGATGAGAGCACCTCTTTTTTGAAGCATAGAAACAAAACCTGAAAAAGTAGGTTCGGCAGCCTCGTCTGTTTTTGGACACCACATGTACTGACAGTGCATGGAGAATGTTGGCATAGCAGGATGAAAGGCAACCCAGAAAAATGCGTTGGAGAGAGGAAGTAGCAATTGGCAGGAAGTAAGATGAATAAGATTACGCCGACAGTGGTAATTGGCTTTAAAACGAGGCATGCCACACCGAGAACGATATAATTGCTTGTTGTGGATGATGATGTCGCTGGCATTGGCATTGACGCTGGTACCAGCGCTGGTGCTAGCTCGCAGAGGGAGGGAAGGACACCCGTATCTCCCGGTTTTTTTTCCAAGTGATTGAAATCGACTTGCCTTTTTCGCCCACACCACACATGCGCGATTGCTTGGGTTGCTGCCGGAGGATCAGTTCATAGGTGCTGAAAAGCGAAGAAAAGTTATGGAGGAGAAGAGTGCTGATGTTAGGAAGGTCGATCTCGATGCAGACCCTGGGGTCCATATGGTGGGGTGTACAGGGTTAAGGGTCAAGAGTCAAAAGTGGGAATGGGAGGTCTTACACGTTTGCCCGCTGTTCTGGATGTACTCGTTGACACACGGGGGTGAACTGGTAGGATGGGAGCTCATCCGAGGCCGGCATGTGGGATTGTGCAGGGGGTGAGGGCCACTGTGGTGTTGACTGTTCTTTTTTTCTTTGATAAAGACGTGGTTATTGTCGTATAGGGCGAATGTCGAGGTCGAGGGCCAAGGTCAATGAGGGGAAGCGACAGAGGAGCGGAGGAAGCAAGAGAGGATGAGATGAATTGGTTGAATTGGTTGAATCGGTTGGAATCCAAGGAAGGAGTGGATGGAAAGAATGGGATTCTGTTTGTCGAGGATGTGTGCTTTTTTTCTTTTTTTTTTTTCTTCTCTCTAAGTCGTCTTTAAGAGCGAGAGGGGATGTGGAGGGGGGGAGCAACGGTGGTTATGCAATTAGGTATGTCGGGGACATGGTATTCAATTGGAAGAGAGAGCGAGAGAGAGAGAGGTGGGGGTAGAGGGAAGAGATAGTGAGAGGGAGATAATGAGAGGGAGAGTGAAGGAAAGAAAGGGCAGGGGATCGTATTGGGATCGAGGAGGAACCGAGAGAGTGGGTCCTATTTTCTGGTCTACGGACTAATTTCCACAGTGCGTGGACATTGGGACTAATCATCTCTTTTTTGCTGCTCTCTCCAGACTAGGAGCATGCATACAGCCATACGCATGTACAGGTACATACAAAGTAGCCCCTACACCCCGCGCGCACACTGGGTGTTTGAAAAAGGACATGGAAGGTACATGCGCCAGCACACACTGGCATGGCATAACAAACACCCGCTCATAAATGCATGGACGGTCTGATGGTTGGATGGACACATTGGCCATTTTTATGGCACCTGAAGAACAAGCCAGTAATTCCATCCAATCGCATAGCATGGGATAGCACGGCCAGATGTGTACTGTACATGGACGTGGACTTGCGTGGAGAATGAATATCACCTTCTCTGCATAGATCTATCGGGATGGATTTACCAGAATTTGGAGCGCATGGTCCATGAATATCTCCAAGAGGTCATCTATCTGCATCCGAGGCCTGGGAGCATGGGTGTGGGGCAACTGTGGCGTATCACTGCCACATAGCCTCAGACTTCGTGCTTTACTCCACCATACATCCTACATGCAGAGACAAAACGAAGAGATAGGGGGGATTAAGGGGGCAGAAGCAAAGAAGAAAAAGGGATTGGGGCGCAGAAGCGCTTCATGGAATCAGAGCCGGCTAGTTCATTTCTCCTCCCTTCTCCTCCCTTCTCATTTCTCTTCACAAATTAATTATGGGTTCGGTCATAGTCTGCATCATGAGCGGATTGACCTAAAAAAGATCGGCGCGATCTCCTCTTCGTACTCTGATACATCGAAAGAAAATACGCAAGCCATGCACATTCTACTCATCCCGCAATTGACAACTGCTGCGAACCGCGAATCGTATGCCAGCCATGACGGAAGCATGCCATGGGGACTGGGGACTGGGGATTGGATGGGGAAAGATGGACCAGGTGCATCAGAGAAGACAGACAGGCCTATTCTTTGTGCGGGGAAGGCGCTTCATAATTGCTGTGGATTCTTTTGTTCGCTTACGCACTGTCACAGCCTATTCCACTGTGTCGGGCGTTTTTCCCTTTGCGGGAGATGCCGCCCGATTTCCCGGGGAGACTGAGACGCTTCAGCATAAAAAGAAATCGCATCCCATCCCCTTATAAAACCATTTCGAACAACAGCGACAACAGGCGAACAGTGTATCCCGGCTACTAATCCGCACTTTCACCTGTATCCACTGTCTACAGGACTCGGCCTTTTCTACTAGCCATTAGCAGCGTCCACATCCAATAGTCTAGCACTACACAAACGGATTGTTCATGGGCTCGAAAAAGAACGCACTAAGAGTCTTTAATGCATTAATGAAAACAATGTAATGCAGCTATTAGCTAGAACACGTAGGCGTAATACACAATACACTAATCATTCGTCAGGCGGGAAAGATGAGAGTCTCGAAGAGACCAAGAGAGTACAGTCGATCTGCGGACGAAGGCGACTCACAAAGTGTTGAAAAGCGTGGATGTCGATAGAAGAATGAATAGCACAGGATCCTGTCTCTACTCTTTATTACCTTGACTAATCCAAGTGCGCCTCCACACGACAGGGTCTGCTCCTAAACTACACCGCAACGATGAATTTGCCATCATAAACCAACCCTTTTATGATCCATTAAGGGATCTCCAGAACATGCCTCCCGCTTGCCCATCTCATTTCCTCTCCGGCTTCTTATCGACTGAGGTGTGCATATCAGCGCTCATGCAGGCTATCATCATACCGCCCGGTGCCATATAGTAGCATTCGACCTATTTAGCCACCTCTTCTGGATGAGAGTTCCACTTGTTGTGTGGAAAGAACAAAGTACTTTATTTTTTATTAACGCCAGATCCCCCCCAGGCGTACAGGCGTGCCACAGGCTGCATTGCCCAGTGTGGAAAGAACAAGGTACGCGACGTGGATGCGTCCTAGGATTGGCTACACGTGATGATATATTGCCTCATGGATTTCCATTGCTCTTTTTCTCATTGTGCCTGAGGGCTGTTGCAGAGCCCAGAGGAGGAAGATTACCACTCATCATCTCGCACCATCGTGCATTACATTCCTCATCCTCTTTCTCTTAACACTTCTCCACCCTTTTGCCAGTTCGGCATACTTCCCTCAAAGAGACTCAAGCAGTACGGATCAACCCCTCCTTCTTCCTCCCTCCCCATTCGAAATCAAAGACGCGTACAGGCTACTGTCATTTTTGCACGCCCTCGAGACTGACTCACCACCTTCCTACTCTCTTCGAAACTCTTTTTAGTGGAGGGTTCCTCTGAGAACACGCTCCGCCAGCGGACATCAGCACAAACAAAGCTTGCTAATCTCGACAAACGAGCTGACGACAACGATGAGATCAAGGAAGTATGGACCGTCTTGGAGGCACATTTTGCGGTATCAATTGATCCCCACAGGAATATCCAGCTGATTAGGCCATGTCCCTGTGCAATGTCACCATAGGTAATCACATCCGTATACACTCCGGCGGAACAGAGGACGTCGTTGGCAATGTTGGCTATATTGACTATTGTGGCTCTCTGCACACGCTTCTACAAGATCAACGAGCCTGATGAGGTCGTGTAAGTGACGTCTGCTTCAGTCCACTTGATCTCAATTGCAACCGAGTATTTAACTTCTAGTATCTGATAGGTTCGACGAGGTTCACTTTGGCAAGTTCGCGTCATACTACATCCGCGGCACCTACTTCTTCGATGTCCACCCACCTCTGGCAAAGATGATGCTGGGCGCCATGGGCTATTTTATCGGCTACGATGGACACTTTCTCTTTGAGAACATCGGAGACAACTACATCACCAACAATGTACCCTACATCGGACTTCGCGCACTGCCAGCATTCCTCGGCGCCATGACTGTGCCTATTGTCTATATGACCATGCGTGAGGCTGGGTATCCCGTTATAACCTGTGCCCTGGCTGGCTTTTTCATTACCTTTGGTACGGTACAGGATATCGCTTCGGACCCTGCATTATCGATCTTGACTTGTTTACTTTGTTGTTCATAACTCTAACCAAACGATGGCGTATCTCTTATCATATATTTGATCTCTTGTCTTTTGTCTGCAGACAACATGCTGGTCACCCAGACACGTCTGATCTTGCTGGATTCAATGCTCGTCTTCTTCATGGTGTGCTCCATCTACAGCTATGTCAGGTTCTACAAGACCAGGAACAAGTAAGCGCAGCAGGAAGCGTATTGCCATGGTTCATGACATGAGGCATCACTTTGGCCGCTGTGAGCCCTCATTTTATCGCTGTATTAACCTTAACTAACTTCTTCATCTTGAATAGTCCGTTCTCGGCTCGTTGGTGGGCCTGGCTACTTGCCACCGGTGTGTCTATTGCTTTGACAACCAGGTATCATATCGTAACATACAATGCGTGTTACATGTCGTTGTTCAGCAAGGCAGCGATGGCAGTACGTGAATGGCTATTAACTATCTGCCCATATCGATTGTCATATGTAGTGTCAAAATGGTTGGACTCTTTACAGTGGCTACAGTTGGGGTCGCGGTCGTATGGGACCTGTGGGTGCTCCTGGATATTCGCCGACGACTGACCATGCAGGAATTCATGAACCACTTCTGGGCCCGCGCCCTGGGATTGATTGTACTCCCTGCGGTCATCTACTTATTCTGGTTTTATGTTCACTTTGCAGTCCTTACTCGCAGTGGCCCTGGTGACGATTTTATGAGCACCGAATTCCAAGAGACCCTCCTGGGCAACACCATGGCGGATGGTCTCTGTAAGTTTACGTTCTACGCATGAATAATACTTAAAAGCGTATTTTCTTGCCAATCTATGTTATTAAGAACGTGCTAACGACTTCCTTTTATCCATGGTATTTGTTCCCTGTACCACCAGTCATTAAGTATGGCGACAACATCACTATTCGACACAAGGATACAGCCGTTTACCTTCACTCTCATCCCCACAACTATCCAAGGGTATATGACGATGGACGTATTAGCAGCGCAGGCCAGCAAGTCACCGGATATGCCCATGCGGACCCCAACAATGTTTGGCATGTTGCCAGTGGCGATCCCAACGACTCGAAAACTGGTCAGGAAGTCAAGCACAAGGATGTGATTCGCCTCTTGCACGTCACGACGTCCTCATGGCTCTTGGCCCACGATGTTGCCTCACCTACCATGACGACTAATGAGGAGATCACGACATACTCTACTGAGGAAGATGGCTCTCGTTACAATGAAACGACCTTTCAGATCATGCTCGAGAGTGGCGGAAACAAGTTGCGCACTATGGCCAGCACCTTCAAGCTGATCCATGTGGACACCAAGGTCGCTATTTGGACTCATTCGCAAAAGCTCCCCGACTGGGGCTTTGAGCAACAGGAGGTCAATGGCAACAAGAATATTATACAGAAGTCGACCCTTTGGTGGTCTGATAACATCGAAGGAACCGACCGTAAGAACTATTTGTCAGTTTTCATATCTTCCAAATGTTACCATATGTTATCTGCACTTAATAACCACGTCCAATGTTGGTGGCGTCCGAATTCGATTTTTTGAACAAATAGCGGCGGAAGTTCAAGCGGAAGAGGTCAAGCCTGTGAAGAAGCGCTCTTTTTTCCTCAAGTTTATAGAACTCCAAGGAAAGATGTTCTCGCACAACGCTGGACTAACAGGAAAGCACCCTTATCAAAGCCAACCCATTGAGTGGCCCTTCTTGACCAAGGGCATTTCTTTCTGGACTCAGGACTCTACTCGCAAACAGATCTATCTTCTCGGAAATCCTCTGGGCATGTGGATTGCTGCCGGATCACTTGCAGTCATTGTCGGTGTTGCCGGCGCTGATATTTTGAGCCGTCGTCGTGGTTTCTATCCGCTCGACCAGGGTAAGGAAGTCTTTCCTTCCCCGAATTTGTTGATTTGCTACAGCGTGCCGAAGTATGAGTTGGAAATAATTGCTAACAAGTTTGTTCTTGATGATTCTAGGCGTCCAAAAGCGTTTCTATTATGCGACAGGTTTCTTCTTTGTAGGCTGGGCATTGCACTACTTCCCATTCTTCTTAATGGGACGCGCCCTGTTCTTGCACCACTACATGCCGGCGCAGGTATTCTCGTACATAATTCTGGCAGCGGTGCATGCGTTCATGTTTACCGAGGGCGTGGACGGACCGATCTCAGAGCCCGGTCCCGAGGTGCGTCCACGTCGGCTGCAGCGGGCGGTGGTACCGGCACTAGCGTATATCAGCGCAGCAGTGCTGGCAGCAATCCATTTGGGGTCGTTCTTGTACTTTGCGCCGCTGTCGTATGGCACGAGCGCGTTGGATGTCCCTGCACTTGCTCGCCGTAAGCTGCTTCCGCAATGGGAGTTTCACTTTGCCAAGTAGAGTCGTCTCCTCATATTTCTTGCTGTCGATATCACCATTGTCGTCGCCCTCATGCATCAATAAAGTATAGTGAGTGCCTTCGTACCTGAACATGGGATATAAAGACGCCATTAATGGACGGCCTATTGTTTAGGTTCTGACGAACGCCAAGGCTCCCATGATTCCCACGCACCACATCCAGCAGGCCAATAGACTTTGGGGGTACTTTTCTCAGAAAGGAAACCATTTCTTTTTCTCCTTCAACCTCTTCTTTACTCTTCTAACCCATCCCGCAGCACGACACATACAGCAACCATGGTAATAGCCGGCCGACTGCTGGCAGCGCGTGTGATCTTTAGGAGGACCTTCGTTACCTCCCGCCCACTGTGGAACGTACGCAAGACGAGCCACGAATAAAAAAATAAAAAAAGACAGGAAGAGGCCTTTTCTCTGGTCTCCATCAGACCCTACTCCGGAATCATCTCCTCCACCTTTACCATCACATTGAGGAATGCAATTGCAGTTCCTGTTTTGCTTGCCACTAATTCTTTTTCTAACACGCGTTGCTTGTGCCTTGTTCTTCGTGTAGACTGAAATCCATCCTGCCCCCGTTGAGGCCAATGACTTTCTCGACTTTGTGAACCAGGCCCAGTCGCCGTTCCACGCGACGGAGCAGGCGGTGATCCGTCTGCGCAAGGCAGGCTTCCAGGAGATTAAAGAGAAGGAGAACTGGAACAGCATCCTCAAGCGCAATGGCAAGTACTTTTTCACCCGTAACAAGTCTGCGGTCATTGCCTTTGCTGTTGGAGGCAAATACAAGCCCGGAAACGGTTTCTCGGCCATTGGTGCCCACACGGACTCGCCTTGTTTGAAGGTATGAATCCATGAAGCTGGTTTATCCGGAAGAGGAGTTTTCTATTTAGTCATTCCATCTCATCAAATTAATTTGCAATTATAGGTCAAGCCCGTCTCCAAGAAGGAGAAGCTTGGATATCTCCAAGTTGGCGTTCAGCTCTACGGAGGAGGTCTTTGGTAAGGGTCGCCCATAAGGGCAATGCTGGTGCCATTCCTTTGCCTTTGTCATCATTGACCATGTCATTGTCCTTTCATGTCGTTAGGCACACCTGGTTCGACCGCGACTTGAGGTAAGAAGACCAAATGAACGTATGGAGACTAGGTAGAAAGTAACTGCAACCGACGCCGGTAACCCTTATCATTCGCCTTACCTATCCTTAGTGTTGCTGGTCGTGTTGTTGTTGAGACTGATGGTGGCAAGCTGGAGAGCCGTCTGGCTCGTATTGACAGGTACATCTATTTACGATGAGAAGAATGCCCTGAATATAAAGTGTGTCCGAGTGTTCCCATACTGATCATATTTAAACATGTCTTGTTAGGCCTATCCTCCGCATCCCTACCCTCGCTATCCATTTGGACCGCTCTACCAGCGCCGATGGATTCAAATTCAATAATGAAACCCACTTGACTCCCATCATCTCGACTGTCACCAAGAGGTCGGTTACCTGTACTCCCAAACCGTAGGCGAATCTCAGGAATACTTGGGTATAGTCATTCACACGCCTTTTGTTCGAAATGAATAGCTTGACTGGCGAGCCCGCAAAGGCTCTCAAGCCCGACACCGAGATCAATGGCGACATCCCCCTTGCTGAGAAGCACCACCCAATCCTTATGCACCTGCTTTCAAAGGAGCTGAATGTCCCAGGTACGTTTTTGCGACTGAAATTTTAGCGAACGTTGCATGGTACGAAAATAAGGGATCCTAACACGAAAAGCCTGAATATGGTCCAATAGTCGACAAAATCATGGATTTTGAGCTGTGCCTTTACGACACCCAGCCCTCGGCCATTGGAGGTGCCTACAACGAGTTCATCTTCTCTGGCCGCCTTGACAACTTGATGATGTCGTACTGCTCCATCGAGGCATTGGTCAAAAGTTTGAAGAACGCAGATTCGTTGGCCAACGACCCCAACATCCGACTGGTCTCGCTCTTTGACAATGAAGAGGTCGGATCCAACACCGCCCACGGTGCTGACTCAAACCTGCTCCCCAGTACTTTTGAGCGTCTCAGCTTGGCGACCTACGACAACGATGCCAGCTCTAGCCATGTACGATGCGATATCATTGTGCTGCGCTTTCTCTGCGAAATACTTGATAGAACTAACCGAATCGATATTTTTTGTTCAATGCGATTTAGACCGCAACTGCCTACTTGGAGGCCTTGCCCAAGAGTTATCTGATCAGCGCAGATATGGCCCACGCTGTCCATCCCAACTATGCGGAGAAGCACGATGATGGCCATCGTCCTCACATGCACAAGGGTGTTGTTGTCAAGGTCAACGCCAACCAGGTAAGTTTCAGACAGTTGTACAGGTTGCGATGAGTGACTGTAAAGATCTTGAACAAGTTGCTAATGTTGTTTGTAAAAATATCTGCTTATAGCGCTATGCTACGACTGCGCCTACGACTGTGGTATTGCGTGAGGTCGCCAAGAAGTACTCTGTGCCTCTGCAGGAGTTTGTCGTCCGCAACGACAGCCCTTGCGGCTCAACCATTGGTCCCATGCTCTCTGCCAAGCTCGGTCTCCGCACTGTTGGTATGTTTTCTTGTTCTCGCCATCATCTTTGCTTAGGTTTGCAGAGGAATACTAATGCCCTTGTTTTTGCATGCGCTGGTAAAAAAAAATAGATGTCGGAAATGCTCAGCTGAGCATGCACTCTTGCCGCGAGGTTTGTGGCACTGAGGACGTTGCCTTGGCCATCAAGCTGTTTGAAGTGAGTGTCATTTTGTGTTTGAGGTCTTCTAGGCGAGTTCTCTGTGGCATGACCATAGATTGATGTGTTTTTATTTTACATGCTCTATAGGGTTTCTTTGAGGAGTTCCCTGGTGTCGATGCGCGCTTGACGGTTGATTAAGTCAACGGACGGGACGAATCACCAAGGGCGTATACCTTCCGTACACTTTTTTTTTTTTTTTTTTTTTTTTTTTTTTCAGCAAGAGGGTTTTTGCACAAGTAAAAGGTTTCGATCACCGCTTTCTTTAAACGCAATAAAGCGAGGGAGAAAAAAAGAATAATTGAGTACAGGAAAAACGGATGTTGCTGCGAACCCTTGCAGATTTTATTCAAATCATAATGTACATGTATAGAGGAAAAAAGAGAGAGAGTATGGACATGGGCAGTGTGGCTGTTCAGTCCAAGTACACTATACTTTAGTGCCAAAAACAACGTTGCAACGAAGACGAGCAGAAGAATTGTGACCGAGACCCATTTTCATGGCCATTTTTGCACGCTTATCCGATTCAACGTTCTGGGCCTTTGAGATCTTGACAGCGAGCTGATGCATCTGCACGGTGCTCACGGCCATGGTCGATCCGGAGAGCTGGTTCTGGGATTTCAGGAGGGCGTTCGAGATACGAGCATCTGGGTGATGAGGATCGTTCGTCAATGCAGTATCTTTGTCCTGATCTTCCTCGTCGGCTGCCGACTCGTCTGTGTTAGCATCGGCATTGACGTCGGTGGTGGGACGACGGTTTGAGCGGGATGTGAGGGTGACGGTCCTAGATTCGACCTTTTGACGACGAGCGGCGTCCTTGTGAGCGAGACGGCGGTTGTTGAGGACAAGTTCGTTGGTGGCAGGATCGATATGGATTCCAGAGGTGACGGGGCTCCCGTCGTCGAGGATCCAGTTGCCGTGCTCGTCCAGGAGAATCAAGTTCAGACGCTTTTGGTCTTCATCCAGGGTTTCACCTGCCGTTTGAGTGGTACTATCATCAGCCAGCGAATCCTTGAGGGTTTCGTCATCATCATCGTAATCGGTACCGTAGTCAGCGAGGGGGAGGTAAAAGTCGGCGTATTCACGTTCAGCGCCGTGATCCATGGCGAGTTTGCAGTGTCCCTTGTCGTTCATGTGTCGACGGACGGCGGTGAGGGAGGCGAAGCTGGCGTGGAGCTCTTGATCGGGGCGGAGGTTTTGGGAGAAGACTGAGGGAGTACACCAGAAACAGTCAAGGTTCTCGAGGAGTTTCTCGGCGAGGTAGGTGAGGATGCCGGGGAGATCGATGAGGCGTTCGAAGGATGGGAGGAAGAAGCCATGGGTGGATCGCATGTGCTCGTAGTTGAGAGTGGCATTTTCCGCCCTGTGTGAGCAAAACAGGCAGACAGTTTCGCTGGGTTCGAGTTGTTCTGGTGCTGTTGCTGCTGTGTATTTGGTTGCTGAAGTGTCGTCCTCTGAAGATGACAGCTCCTGGGCCTGCTCTTGTTCCTGCCCCTGCTGTTTCTGTTGCTTCTGCTCCTTCTGCTGCTTTTTTTCGTAGGTGACGACAGTCTGCTTGTGCTTCTTGGAGTTTAGATGATTGTCGTAGGCCTGGAAGGAGAGGTACTTTTTGCCGCAGGGGACACATTCCGGCTGAGGGGCTTCTTCAGGGTTTGCCTGTTCGCGGGTCGCTATTGTTCCATGACGAGAGCGAAAGGATGTGTTAGTCTTCAATTCGGGACCGGTATTCGACAGCTCAGGAGGTGATGTAGAGAAGACAAGGGCTTACCGGTGACTAACTGGGCAAAGACCTCAGAGGAAACGGGGGGCAGATTGACCATCTTGCGCTTCAAGTTGTAGGTGTGCCAATCGGATTTGTGGTGCATCTGCTGGGTCTCGAGTGAGGGGAGACGGATCCCGCAGGCAAGGCAGGTCGTTGATTGACCTATGGTAACAATGGGTTACAGAGATCATTTTGTGAGGGGTTTGGTTAGATATATGGTGGGAAACGTATTACCGAGAATGGGCAGAAAGGCATCGGGGAGAAGATTCGCTTGCTTACCGATAGTGGCGACGGGGGCATTGACAGCGTAAGACATTGTTGCGGCGCTTTCGTTGTAGCTGCTGTGGTTGCTGAAGTGGTTGCTGAAGTGGTTGCGAGAGTGGAAGGAGATGCGATGGCGAGAGGGAGAGCGGAATGGATGAGGAAGGAGGAGAAGGGTGAGGTTTTTTATAAGCGGCTGATGATCCTTCTATGGATGACTAATGGGGGGAGACATGCGATCGGCTTTGCAGGCGCGTTGCTCATCTTGCGTCCCCGCAGTAATCTGCGACTGCGACGCAGCAAACTTTATTTCCACAAGTATTTGATAACCGGCTTGCAACCAAGCGTTCATTGCGACGTTGCTTTTTGATCCTTCTATCACACTGAAGCAGAATTCAGTAAGCGTTGGATTGTTCACCCACTAATAGGGAACGTGAGCTGGGTTTAGACCGTCGTGAGACAGGTTAGTTTTACCCAACTGATGAAATGTTAGTACGAGAGGAACCGTTCATTCGGATAATTGGTATTTTGGGCCTGCCTGAGCAGGCAATGGCCCGAAGCTACCATCCGTTGGATTATGGCTGAACGCCTCTAAGTCAGAATCCGTGCTAGAACGCGACGATTACCGCCTTTCGAATTCTAATTTAATACGAATAGACGCCTCGGCTTTCCAAGAATCATACTATGTGGGGTCGTCTTGTGGAGCGGAAAGGCTTCATGAGGCGCCTGCCAGACTAAGGAATAAATCCATTGCAGACGACTTTTATTGAACGGGTATTGTAAGCAGTAGAGTAGCCTTGTTGCTACGATCTGCTGAGGTTAAGCCCATTGTTCTATAGACTATGAACCAATGCAGTGAATGTGAGGTTGAATGAGAAGGAATAAATGCGTCGCAGTGCCTCTCTCCCTTTGTCAGCATGTCCACAGGCTTACTCAGCTGTGTTTCTGGTCTTAGTATTCTCGGGCGACAAACTAAGCAGCTCCACCAAGCTGGATGCAGACCAAGGCACCCTATATGGAAATTAATTGTCCATTTGGCCTTGAAAAAATTCACAGTGGCAACACACAGGCACACCACACACTTCTTTACTTGCCCTCAACAATACTCTCGCTTCATCCTCTTCTTTCTTATTCTCTTCCCTTCTCTCGTTATTCTTTTACTCTCTCTTCTCTCTCATTCTTTCATCCTCTGCTCTTCTTTTATTCTCTCTCCTCGTCTTTTTCTTCCCCATCTCGTCTGTCTACTCTACCACCCTCATGTCTACCTGCGCCTTGTCCTTGTTAGCGGCATTCATCCTCCAGAATAACCACTGTGGCGACTGTATCCTTTACCTTGGACTCAATCTGTTGCTGAACCCACTTTGACATTCATTCTCGCTCCTGCTCCTGTTTCTCTGTTTCCTGATATCGCTCGTCCACGGGTGTTCTCATCGCTCCCTTCCATGCTGCACTTACTCCGGTCGGCCGGATTGTATATCTGTTGTCTGTTAATGACTACAAGTCTAAAACAGATAAAGAAGCTGTTATTTGCGGTCTGCACCGCAGATAGGTGATAGTCTAAAGGCTGTCACCAGGCAGCACCAATCTTCGTTGGTTCTCCGTAGATAGAATATATATGCCGAATACAGCATTAATGTTCTCAGAAGGCGCCGTTACTTTTGCCATAGATGTCAGTGGATCGTGTGCAGTGCCTAGGAGATCGAAACTGCCGGCCTGTTCGGAGCAAAAGCACTTTACGCAACCTCACTACGCCTAGTGGCAGCCAGTGCACTGAGATTGGGAAGCCTAAGAAGACATTCGGAGGATGGCATTGTCGATCAAAACCATCCGAACCTACATCAACACGTGGAGAAAAGCCGCTACGGTGCCGTGTTGGTTCGTTGCCTCCGTGTCGGGACGTATTACCTGGCATGTTGATGAGGTATGGTACGACTTGAAGCTCTCGATCGGTTAACTAGGTTCAACGATATATGATGGTTATCGACTTAAGATGATCAGTACGGGTTGTAAGACCTTGAGTGTGGTGCGGATGAAATCCAAGATGGGTTGGCTTTCGGTTTCGTTGGCCCTATTCGAGTGTGATTCAGCCGTTGAGTCTGCTCTATTGGATAGGCTGCTCAGGGCGCGAATTCGGCTCTTTGGATTTAGGGTATCGGTTCCTATGCGTTTCATGAGATCAGTTGAACAAGAGTGGCTCCGATTAGATCCTGGTTTCGACTCTGCTTGTACGAGATCTGGCTAGCTTTATCCCCCTCACTCACATTCAATATGTTGCTGGGTCCTTGCTTCTCGCTGGGGGAAGTAAATGAGGTCGTAGTAAAGACCTGGAGACGCGACCAAGGCTTTCTCTCCTCCAAGTGATGTTCATGGCGGCTGCTGACCTGTAATGGTGGATGATAGTCCTTTTGGGGATGGCAGAAAAGAGTTGGTATCCGAGTTTTGTCGAATCAAATACAACCTACTGCTTCGTCGCAAACGAGTTGTCCTTGCTCCTGTGCCCTCTGCTGACACATCTGAAAGAGAAGCTTTCTCTACGGATGGATGTAGCCGTGAATCTACTGCGTTTATTAGGGGAGCGGGTTTTATACGCAATACTATCTCCTTTAGGTAGCAGAACTATTTTTTCTGCGCGATCATTTCCCCTGCCCAAGTCAACGGCGCAAGCAGTAATGCCCCAACGACACAAAGGAGAGCCATAAAGCATTGCCATATGGTCAAGACAATATCTCCGTACGGCCATACAAACTTGACAAACTCGTTGACTTGATAAAGATCCTCTTGCTTGTGGATGTAGTATTTGCTGTCGTCCGAGGTTCGAGATAGATGCAGTGCAGAAACGAGTTGGACGTGCGATTTGTAAAACGGAACAAACCAAAGAGAGAAGACCTGCGATATCTGGACGTAAAGGATTTGTTGCCTCTGATCAAGTACTATGCACAGTCAGCATCACCCGGAGAAGGATCTCTACACTCCTGGTCAAAGTAATGGGAAAATGCAACCTACCAGCAGCATGAACCTTGAGTGCAATCCTTGGACTGAGAATTTTATACCACCGATAAATCATCCAGATAACCCATCTTGAGTCGACAACCCCAACCAGAGGGACTGAGACGTTCGAGAAGCTGGGAACGTGACAAAAAGGGTGCTGGAAGGCAGCGTCCGTAGTGAAATATGTCTCCAAGACGTGCTTCTGTTCAGCTGGCGATCCTTGTGTGAGGCCTTTGATGACGGACGAGATCTCTTGGACTGCGTGATGGGTTAGCTTTTTGGTCCTTTTGTAGGGCGTCAGGAAGTGAAGCAGTGACAGCTGCAGACAACTGGAAGTGTACTTTGCACTCACCTGGGTGCTCCATTTTTTTTCTTCTAATGTTCAATGAAAAGATAAGAGGGGAAGGGGTTTTTTTACCGGACAAAAGTCGAGGCTCTCTCTTTATCAGCGTTATGTGGTCATATCATCATGGCCGAAACCACAGCTGAACGATGTCGTCATAAACCGAATCAAGGCGCTTCCTAGCACAGGACACAGACGGCTCTGGCCCGACTAAGCTTTCTCGTATAAGAGCTTCCCAACTCACCGGATCCCATTGCCCGGGGCCTGCTCAGCTGCTATTTGAAACCTTTATTTGCTTGTATTTTCCGCTGTGCTGGGAGCATAGAGACCCTGGCACAACTCACACATACAACTGGCATGTTGCTAAAGACATGCTCACTGTCATCCGCGCTTCTCATGCTATACCTGCACCCTTGTCGTTGTTTATTTCCAAGCATTCACCAGAGCGAAAAGGATGTGCAGCCCCCATCAGATCCCTACCAACTATGTTGGCTTGATTTCAGTCAGGCTGTCCCTGCCGATCTAGCGTCTATCCGTTCCAGAATGACTAATCCAAGTTTCCCCTGAAATGCTGCCATCTGGAATACGTAAAGCCTCCTGCGAGGAGGAATGAGTATCACTACAACAGTGGCTCCTGCACTATTGTGTCCCTAAACGCAGTTGCTCATGACAGTGAATCCAATTGACTTTTTCCCGGGCAACAATGTCCTCACACCGTTTATTCCAACTCCCCCTCAGGCCGAATTCTCAACCCTGCTCACGAACTTGGTGGCTATAATCGACGCAATCATGTAGTGGTCTTGAATAGTTGCTTCCGGATCTAGGTCAACTGCTTGGCCTCTGAGAATATGTCCATGCACCCGGTGATGACTCTTGTCCCGGATCGGTACCTAGATTGATATTTTCAGGAACCGTCACCATTTTTGTTTGGCTGGTCCATGCTTTACATCATCCTCATAGTCCCATTAACTCTACATCTGAAACGTCTAATACAACGAAAAGCTTTCTTCCCCCCCTCCTCCTCCTCTCCACCAGCATAACCTATTCTCAGCTTTTATCATTTCGTCTGGAAAATGATCTGAAGAAATGAAAGAGTTTCATATAAAAAATCTTCAAAACGTCCTATGCGCCAGAAGCATTCAGCAGCTTTTCTTCACAACGAACAATCTGAACAGCAGTGTAGATGGTGGATGGGAGATGCAAAAGGAATAACGCCTGTTATAGAGTCAGATTTGTTCTTCCAGACGGTCCTAGATTTTTTTATCACAACAGGATTGAGCAGGCGGAACAAGATGTTGGTATCTTGTCCATTAAGCCAACACCAACACCGGTAGGATAGATTACAGGTGACAATAGGTCAAGAAAAGAAAACCGGAGATGTTTTTGCCGTAGGAGAAAAATGTAACTTTATGTTCAGTCTTTTTGGTCCGCATCATGGTTGCTAATAAATTGATCGACTTTGGTATGAGACACCGGGGTAACTGCACAGAGCACTCCCTAATTGTCGACCATTCCTGGAGAACCGGGTCGTGCGTACGCCAGATCTCTAAATCCTCATCTTGTAGATGTGAAAGCCTCAATGCCCCTTATTCTGTGGATTTTAATTGCAAGTACCTGAACTTTCAATGCGGATCGCAGACCTCGGAATTTGCGGCATCATAAAATTTTCATTTCTGGCTGCGTCTCATCTTTGCTGTGCTGTGCTACCTACTGCGTTCTGCCTTGCTGGAGTTCACACTGTAATAGCGGACTTGCAGACAAGATCTATATCAGTATTCGTCTTGAGTACAAAGCTTGGTTCGATGCATTAAACCAGCGGACCCTTTGCCTTGTTGTAAAAACATTGGGTCCATTGTTAGATTTATTTTTCGATAGTTAGAAGAGTAAGAATACGTTTTTCAGGGTTGCCTGTATTGTTTAGTTCTTCTCGAATTGCTTGATTTCGGCTTTGACCCAGGAGAGGTAAGGCTTGATAAATGTGTAGTATTGGTAGGCGCCCTTGACACCACACATATTTTCGCCGACGCCATGGCTGACAATCCCAACCACACGCAACTTCTCACCGGAGCCAGTGTACAAAGGTCCACCGGAATCGCCGCCGCAAACTGCATGGCCCAGGGGAGTATCCGTGGTACAAAACTGCGTCTTCTTCTGAAAATTGGCTTTGTAGGCCTTGCATGTCTGCGTACCTCCGACATTCAAGCGAACCTTACGAAGGACGTCGGTTTCGGTACCTCTAGTGTCAATATCTTTAGGCAAACATACCGGTTTGAGTGTTACGTCTGAGTGGCCCGAATGCATATCAACCGCATTTGTTCATATTCATGTGCAAGCATCAAACGATTGTGAACTTTACAGCCAAAGCCGGCAGCCATGATCTTGCTGTTCGCCTCAGGGTACTTGCTGCCAATTTGTGCGAAAGGGCCATTGGCCTTCTTGGAAAGGAAGACTAGGCCAATGTCGTTGACGTTCAATGTTCCGTTGTATTGCGGATGAGGCACGTACTCGGCGACCTCGGTGGAGTTGCCGACCTTATACACGGTGCCACCGACTATAATGCCGGTACGGGATCGCTACAGGGATATGATGATCATCATCATCAATTACCGTAGAATATCATTGTAAGAGCAGCAAGCGCATAAGTCACATCTACAAGGACAATAATTTACGTTTCTCAGACAGTGAGCAGCTGTTTCGAAGTTAATAATATAGAGTTAACGCACTGACCAGCTACCTCCTATACCATAAGTTGATGTCAAAGGCCATCAAGCAGCTTACCAGTCATGATAGTTTGAGGCCCAATGAGGAAGCCGGTACAGGGACTGAAGCGGCTCACAAACTGTGCGATGAATGGCAGTTCGCCTTCCTGGCCAGGCTCGCCACCGACGATTCTCTTCTCTAGGACGGGCGAGGCCGAAGACGTGGCTGCGAATGCGAGGGAAACGATGAGCGCTATAATGGATGGAATGTGCATGTTTGAAATGAAAGTGAAGGAAAAACGAATGTGCGTTGGAAGAAGAGACGATCGTATATCCGGACTAAAAGAGAGAGAGAAGAAGAAGAAGAAGAAGAAGAAGAAGAGGATGAAAGAGGACAGTGGAGCAAGTGATGTGTTATTTAAAACGACCTTGACCTGATGCCGGATGCGTACCTTTGAAAGGTACGTTGGCGTCCGACTCTACATAAACCTGGGCTGAATAATTTCTGGTCCGCGTATATAGCCTACTAGGGTCTTGCTACAGGTGCGTTTCCGCTAAAAATATACAAGACAGTATCGAAAATAGATCACTTTGGTACCCAGGAAGTTCCCTGGCGTCGAACGATGTGTCGACAGGCGTGTGCGTGAGAACTCGTCATTACGCAATGGCGGTCATCGATGCGAATAAGGGGTCTGGTGAGCTCCTCGAATTCCGCCCCGAATTCCTCGTGTAGTACATGAGTACATGTGTACAGGAACGCCCGCCCAGTAGCCCAATTATATCCCTGCGCTGCAGCGCACCACTCGTCCGTTATCGATACATCTCAACGTGGGCATGGACAAACTCATTTAGCAGATCCCCACTCTTTCTCCTTCTATGCCCTTAAGTAGAATCTCAAACTTGCAGATTCCTGCTCGCTCAGCCCTTAAAGAGCTACAAAGAGATATGCGGGAGCTCCTCAGGATGGCTCCACCATACTCCCGTACAGACTTGGACGCCGAACTTTCAGTTAGCTTCACGATGTATCATGGATATCAAGAGTGAGCAATAAATCGTAATCATGGCTTTACTGCAGGATAAACGGAGGAAGGGATTAATCGCTGACCGCATGACCAGTGGTTAAATGGCAAATAGGGGTCGTGTAGAACATTGGTAAAGAACCCTTGATGACAGTGGTAAACAAAATGGTCAGGCTACCACCTTTGTCAGCCCTTTTTTCCTACATGGATGACGGATACTACCACCACCACTGGTCTTCAGGGGTAAAGGTTTCTACATTAAAGAGGAATCCGCATCTTTTTTTTTTTTTTACAACTCTTCATCTCTTTCATCCTCATTCATCGCTTTTGTTCACACCACGACAGCACCGCACAGCAGTGGAGACGGTTCCCTATTGGACGCCACCAAATCAACTCAGAACTCAAGACGCGTCTCTCATACTCCGCCCTATCACACATTTCCTTCCACCTTCACTACACCTCCCATCCTTCGATCCGATTCGATATCTTAACACAGCTGCTTCAGAACACTACCATGCGGATCCAGTGGACAGACCTAAAGACCTTTGATATCATTGGATCAGGTTCTTTCGGGAGGGTCTTTCACGGAGAGTTGCTTGGGACCGAGGTCGCGATCAAGGAATGTGTCCGCTCCAATTCCAGAGCCTTTGACGAAAAGTACTTTAGACGTGAGGTTGATATCCTCAAAGAGTCTAGGCATCCCAACATTGTGCAGGTCAGTGCCGTATGTCTATTCCTGTACATTGTTATGTTCAATTGAAGACCCTCTGTAGACACAACTGACACTAAAGAACGCCATGTTTATGTAGTTCATGGGAATCTGCAAGCGCAAGAAACGAGTTTATATTATCACGGAGTTCTTGCCTCTTGGAAACTTGCGCCGTGTAAGTGCATCTGCATGCTTGCTTATCTTTTTTTTTTTTTTTTTTTTTTTTTTTTTTCATCCCACGGTGTTTGCCATGTCTTTCTAATGCGCGTACTTGCCCTCTGCCATGGTCATCTCAACACACAACAGTGGATTCAGGACGAAACGAAAGAGTTTGGATGGGATACGCGGATCAGTTTTGCCATCGACATCTCTCTGGCCCTGGCATACCTGCACCATAAGAACATTATCCACAGGTAATCCGCTTCGAAGAAGAAACAATCGATAAACAATGCAATCATTACATCTTTTTTTCAAAGAGCTCCAAGGGAAACATTTTGATGCAGGGGAAATACACGGGAATTAAAACCTACTTACCCCTATTTTTTCCAACTTCGCGGCTGAGTCCCATGAACAACTCGATTGGCGCTAAGCAGAAAGCCTAACAGCCCACCATTTGTTTGTGTATCGACACTTGTGTTGTAATAGGGACTTGAAGGGCGAGAATCTGCTTATTTCAGAAAACATGCGAATCAAGGTATGGAGGTCAAAGGCATGGATGGCACAGCCAAAATGCAAGCTGAGGATTCTGACTGGACGCTAATTTGATACAAGGACAATAGGTGTGCGACTTTGGATTCAGTCGAGTGGAAGCCAAGGACGACAACGAGATGCGTAGGATCAGCTATTGCGGGACAGACGGATACATGGTAAGTAACGAAGCGAGTGCTTCCAGAATGAATCCGGACACATCATTCCTGTGCTTAAAACCGCCCCCCTCTGTTTATTTGCCATGGGTATGGACATCATAGGCACCAGAGATTTTGCTGGGAGAGGATTTTGACTGCAGCGTCGACGTCTTCTCGTTCGGGATCGTTCTTGCAGAGATGATGGCCCGTCATGTGGTGGACCCTCAGCACTTTCAGCGTCTTAGCCCCGACTTTAGTGTTTCCTCGGATGAGATCCTCTTCCGTGCTCAGGAAGGCTGTCCAGTGGAACTCGGCGAGCTGGCGATTCATTGCGTCCAACCTCAACCACGAAATCGGCCAAAATTGCGTCAAATCGTTGAACGACTCACAGCAATCGAAAACGTCGATATCCATGTGGGTACTACTCTGGTCGTTGCACCCTCGGTCGCCAGGGCGGCCCGAAATATAATGAGGAATAAGGACGTAGAGGCCAGGAAACTCCAGCAACAGCAACAAAAGGAACTTGGCCGTATGGATATGTGCCCTATAGGCCTACAACCTCACCAGGCATACCTGGAGGAGAGCTCAAGTATCCGTGGAGTGGCCAACACTTGGAGGATGACGGATGAAGAAAATGCGTCTTCGCTGAGGGCAGAGAGTTCGGTCGTCGGATCGCAGAGCACCTTCAAAGGCAGGCGTTGGGCGAAAGATGGAAGTTCAGCCATACCCTTAGTTCTTGAGGCTCAGCGTCGTGCAAGGGATCAGAGCAATAATGATGATGACCACGATCAATCCATGCCTGGGCGGGACGACTCATATGGAGGCGATACAGAAGACGCATTTAGGATGCCGCTCTGGGACAGCATCAACTCTCCACAAAACCAGCAGCAGCTGAGAGAATGGAACGAGTCCGAGTCAGTCCGTATTTCAACCGTCGATGGCACACCTAGTCTTCAATCTTGGGACCAGGAGCATCATCGGAATGTAGGCGACGACGAATTATCTCAGCTCAGCAGCATACAGATCGGACTCCACGATAGGGACGACGAAGACGATAACTACAGCTTTGGAAGTGGTGCTTCCAGCGACGAGGACGACGATTATTTATACGACGACGACAACGATCGAGAGACGGAGAGTCGGATTCATGGGCAACCCATGAGCGCATATGAGCTGAGTAGCGACAGCGGCGATTCCTTATCCTCGGCCTCTCTGACAGAAAGTGTTGTTTTGGCATTGGACACCCTGGAAATACCTGACCACCTTACGAAGAATGCCCTACAGAGACCTTTGGATACCACATCTCCCGAAAACAGCCAGGTGCGCGCACCAGAGGTGATGCAGGGTGTTGAAGGAGCAGCTGCACGCCCCTTGAATGGTGAGAGTAAAACCACCGTCTTCAGGAAGCCGAGTCTGATCTCACGACTATTGCCACCGATTCCAATCTCGGAAAACCCATGGACGTCTGATACGGCTCTCAACGGCGATCTTGCACATGTAGAAAAGAGCGTTGGTTTGCCCCGTGCCACCACTCAATATGCTAACGATTCTATATCGAAGGAGACGCCATTACTTCTTGAGGACACATCTGAGCCTCCAGCGCCCCCTTCAAAGTCTAGCCTCTTGCTCCGGACAGGCACCCTCAAGTCAGCTCCACAGCCTAAATCTGTCGCCGATCTGGCATCTCTAGGCAAGAGGGAACTAAACAACTCGGCAACAACACAAAGCTCAGCGGGCATCTCACTTCCAACATCCGAGCAATCATCATTATCCGCACTGGACTCCGCACCAACATCAACTGCCACTTCAGAATCGTCCTCGTCTTCAGTTTCCTCTTCCTCTTCGACAACTGGTGACCTGGTTCAGAAACTCGATGGCGTTAACCAAAAAAATACCTTTCCACAAAGGGGATTCGGTCTGATCCGAGGGATGTCAGATAGTGTTCTAGAGGGCACTTCGCTTGCACTCGAATCCGGGGGCACAATTACCAGCAACCTGATCGCGGCTATGAATGCCAAGACCTGGACGAACGGATGGATCGGGCAGTATACTCAACAGGAGGATTCAATCGGAAGGCCACCGCTTAAGAAACATACGTCTCTGAAGGAGGGGAAGCAGCAGCAGGCGATGATGATAAGCAAAGCGGGGATCTCGAACTTGGATGAATTCGTGCAGGAGGAAGATGATGAGCCGACAGAACAGAGAGAAAAGCAGGAGCCGTATCAGGTGGAGCCGATGGCGGCGGTGAGGAGACGGGCGACAAAAACACTCACGGGATTTCCACACCGGTTTTCGTTGGTGGTATTTTCAACGCAACTGCTGCCAAAGTGTGATGTCTGCCATAAGAGACTGGGAGTCCTACCAGGGTGGTCGGCCAAGCATCTTGAGTGCGATGGTAAGTGGAGTATAGCTATCGTCTTTATTGTTGATATGGTTTTTGTTCATATTCTTGAGCTAACACTTTCATGCTATGGCCAATTTGCTAGATTGTGGATACAAAACGCATCCAAAGTGCGTGCCCAATGTGGTCAAGTGCTGCACTTCTGCGAGAAAGTCTGGCGTGTGGGATATTCCAGTCTAGTTGACGGGTCCAAAGGAAGAACCAACACGTTGTGTGATAATGGCATTTGTAGAGCATTTATAATAAGGATAAAAAAAGAAATCAACCACTTGCTAGAAAAAAGAATAATAAAGAGAAAAGACGCCCTATATGGCCTCCCAATGCTCTTCACCTGGTGCGAGCTCGCGCTTAGATGTGTCGACAGTGATCCGACCCTTCATGTCCATTGCAGCCGAATCCGTTGTGGACGGCAACCCTGCGTTATTCAGTTCGACGGTCTCTAGTTCTACAAATCCCCTTGGATCCTTCGGCAGCCAGATTGGCATACCTTGTACCCAGAAGGCTGGATTCACGTACGAAAAGGTATCGGGAACAACCTTCTCAGACGCGGGATCGGACACAGACAGCAGACTGTTATTCGCGCCCAGAACTTGGAGGCTGGAGCTAGCATCGACGCCATCGTAATCGGGTCCTTGACGGACTGACAAGCCATGGTGTGATGGTGCCGAAGGTGCCTTTGCGGGGGTGGCAGTGGAGGGCGAATATTCTGTGGTGTCCTCGATGCGGATTGATGGAAGAGGGGATTGATTGGAGTACTGAGAGCGAGGTAAGACAGCGGATCCTTGGCGGCGACGTCCACTCTCGGGCACAGATGTATCCACTCCAGATGAATTGGGTAGGTCGGGTATGTAGAGCTCTCGGGTTTCGGGTCCCAATTGAGGTGAAGAGGGGTCTTTGTAGGGAACCTTTTCTTGGAATGACTCTTGCGCTGGAATGGGGTTGATCTTTTCGGTAATGCTTGCCTGTTCCGAAGCAGTATCATCGACATTCACGGCCGTTGCTCCCGCAGGAGCAGCAAGAGCGCGAGTGCGTGAAGTGGAATTGACACTACCATCTGGCATGCCTGAGGCACTGGGCGCATCGAGGTGGCTTCCGCCCATGGCCACGCGAAGGTTCCGAGTGTCAAAGGCCTCTACAGGAAGGTACTGGATAAGGGGCTTGAAGACGCGGTTGCGACTGATGATGATGGTGGTCAGACTGGCGACAAGGAGGATAAACGCCACGATAGACTGACCGATGGCCTTTTGGATGATAAAGAGGCCGAGCATGACAAGCTCAAAGATTATGACGCCAATGTAGATCTGGTCTACGATGCGAGGGAAAATAAGACCGCCCGAGTCGAAGGGCTGTCGGTAGACGTACAGGAACATGTAACGGAATGCTAAGTAGTTGAGTCCAAAGTAAATGACCATGAATGGTAGGATAATCGGCTGGATAGTCGAGTAGAGCAGGCCTATTGGCAGATCAAAAGAACAGGTTGAGGTATCAGCGATCAATTGCGTATCCCAGATGAATGGGTAAATCTTTTTTTTTTTTTTTTTTTTTTTTTTTTTTTTGGAGAGGCGGGGAAGGGATACTTACCGATCGAAAAAGCGATGGTGTGGACGGGGATCGTCATCCCCCAGTCAACGGAGCCCATGTTAGTCTCGGTTGCAAACATCTTGCGCGGGGTCGAGGTCAGCTTCTTCTTGAGGATGTACGTGATCAATGGTCCAATCTGGAGTAGCATCATTGGGACATGAATCAGAGATGTCAAAATAAATGTCAGGAAGAAGGTCGAGGCCTGGGGAAGAGTCGACGCGAGCATGGTCATGATATTGTTGGGGTTTTCCTTGATGGCCTCCACGGCGGCAAAAATGCCGTTCGCGAGTGTCGTAACCAGCAAGACGTGGACCACCTATGCAAATCAAAGGCAGTCTGATGTTTAATACCATTGTAGCAATAATGTAGGGTCGCAAAGATTGGAGAGTGCATCGAAGACGTACACTGAACCAGTGATAAGAGGTGACGACCGAGAGTGTCTTCCTTGTGCTCAAAACCTCCCCTCCGTAATGCGCCAGTCCTAAGTGTATTAATATGGAATGATAGAATGATCAGCACCACGCTGCACCTGCTTATCAAAGCCAGGCAGAGTACCAGAAAGAATTGTTCTTACTGTAAAGTATAATGGGCAGGAGCATCATCAGGAGAGCCAAGCCAATGGGCGGCAAAATGCCCTGGATGATACCCACCACGAACGTAGGAAGACTATACACTCCGCTCAGGAAAGGCGCAAACTCCACAATCGCATCCAGCTTAGCAATGGACGCCACAAATGCCACAGGGATCGCCCAGGTCAAAATCAGCGCTGCTGCCAGCGATGCTGTAATTGTCCTCCGGATGGTCCTGGTCTTGAGTCCGAGGTTTAGATTGTCCCAGAGCACATCTTTGGGGTGGACCTCCAGATGACGAGGGCCCATTGTCAAAATTTTTCGATGGATAACAGACTGCGCGGCAAGATGGGCACCCAGTTGGTGGTTGAATTGGATAAATGCTGCCCGCATCCTGCCTTTAGCCACACCATCATGCATGGCTGCCATACCCGCCTGCTGCCTCGCTAGTATAGAAGAATTCATACTCGACAACTCCGATCGATATGTCTGGATTGAATCCACCTTCTCTGCTCCGCAACAGCTGGCGAACAGCGACATGGGAAACTTAGCGGGCCGATGGCGCGGTCGAGACTCTTGTGGGAATGACCCATGAGGATTGGAGGACTCCTGTTGGTGTTGTCGTTGGTCTTGCTGGTGATTGTCTCCAGATTCGCCGCTCAACGGGTTGGTAGAGGAGTACGACCCGCGCCGACCGCGCTTCAGATGATGCTTCAGTTTTAATTTGATCAGTTTGCATTCTGCAGCCTCGAGTTTGTTAGTGATGTTGACTCGTTTGGAAATGTCCTTCTCCAGATCTGTGGCCGCATAGGCGAGCCAGATACGCCTCACACCCCCAGAAAAGGTGCCAAAGATATTGTGGAGGTTCTGGATATCGTTCTCGCCTTTTGGGACGCCGCAGACAAGGATCGTAGTTGCCTGTAGGGTCTGGGTGTGTTGGTCACTCATGAGGTAATTCTGTCGACGAATGATGTACTGCCTAATGGTATATACACCCAGGGCAATTGTCGCTCCTACGACCGTTTGACGTAAATAAGAACTCATAGAGTGTGAGGGGCTATTCCTGCTTCTATGTTATAATGTTATAAAGTTGAAAAGTGCAACGATCTCTCACCACAGAACAGCACCGTCATGACCACATGCGCCCAAAGTCTTTGCTGGTCCGCGATATTTGCGATCGTTAGCTGGTTCAGACCAGCGAGTCCGAGTTGGTTTGAAGAATTGAGCGGGATCAAAACCGGGATCGCCAAGAAAGAGAACCCAAGGAAGAGGAAGAAGGACTTGTTCAAGAACTCGAGGAACATGAAGGCATCGAGGCCGCAATGCTGTATGAAATCGAGCTCGCCTTGTTTGGGTGATCCAAAGACCCAGCCGAGTATTCCCCCGACCGAGCCATTGACTCGCTCGCGCTGGGGACCTATGTAGGTCTTTGGGGCGTAGACGCGCGGGAAGCGCGTACGTACGAGCGCAAAGGCGACAAAGAGCCCTGCAGAGACAGCGGTGGTGAAGATGACTGAGGAGAGGAACGTTGACACGGAAGCATTTGTGCTTTGCGTGCTCGCCATGTTGATTCCGCAGAGGTGGTTGCCAGCAAAACTGGTCGGTAGCTTCTTCTCACAGCGTGGATCCTGAAACGGCTGTAGTTTCTGTTAACAAATGAAGCTGCGTGGCGGGAAGTGTAGGACGAAATGGGCTGTCTGCAGGGGCTTCAGCGAACTTTAATCAGTGACGGATGATGGGGCGATCTGAGGGAGGGGAAGAAGAGGCGGAAGGGTGGGGGGAGGGCCCTCAGTCCTGAGTGTTCAGTGGTGACATTCTACCGAAATAGAACGCGCGGGTCCAGGGAAGGGGTGATGACTTGTCTAGCATAAGTCAAAGAAGATTTGGATCCCCTCCTTTGGTCAAGTTTGGGATTGTTGACCGCGCCAGGAATGAGGCTGCTCTCCAGCGCAAGAAAAAGGAGGCGACACAAAGTGCGCTCCAGGGATTGCTAAGCAGCGAGCAAGCGAATCAAGCTGTGGCGTTTTGGAAAAAAAAAAAACCGCCAGTGACTCTGGAATAACTAGTGTTGCGGTGTCCTCATGCCCTGGTCATACGAGGGCATTTGATACGGCCAGGGTGCAGTTGCTCATGCAGGGCCTTCCGGAAAAGGCCAAAGAGGATCGTTGCAGCGCGTCATTCCCCGCGTTGTATGTGTATGTGGGTACGGCATCATAGACTCATCGACATACCCGGCATGGCGCTTTTGTCAACATGGTTCCCGGGAAACGAGAAAAGACTATGCGGTTTTGCGGTACCGAGTGGAATTGGAATGAAATCAAGTCAGATCAGAGTTCTGCGTGTGTAGCCCCGAGCTGTTGGCCCCCGTGCTGATCGGACCTGGTTGTCTGTGTTCGGGTTGATGTCTGTGCGCATTCCAATTGAATGAAACCTCATCGTAACACCATGGTGTCGAAGCAAAGCATGGTAGGCCTATGTCAGAAAAGGGAGCCTAATGCCATATTCCACTTTCTAACTGACTTGACATCCCCCCTTCCATTCCTTGTCCACATCAATTTCCGGAGTTGAAACCAGCTGCTGGCTATAGCTCTTCAACGCCCCTCTTTTATCATCATATCATGCTAACTCCATTGCTGTGGCCTTTTTTACTGGAACGTCCTTCGTCCCTTTGACAGGGACTATGGACGCGAACAAAAACATGAGCGAGAGCGAATATGTGTAAAGCTGTCTATAAGGGGTCTTGGCTTCATTCAGCCTACTGTTGCCCACCTAATTCCCTCTCATATGCCCAGATAGATCTACACCTACTCGGGGTTTGCTCAACGTGCACCCTCTCTTTTCAGTTCGAAATATTGATTATGCATCGCACTGTTCTTTTTTTGATCAAGGCCACTGTTACCCTTGGTGCCACTGCCCGCCAGACCCATGACACGGCTGTCGCTATTCAGTCGCCGAATTTTATCGCAGTGCGTAATCTCGATATCTGCATCGTCGGTAGCGACTCTGTTTCTCGTGGATTCACCACTGTTGCCTCAGCCATCGCCTTGATGCTCACGCAAAGCAGGAGCACAAATCCATCTCCATAGCCCTATACACCACGACTACCAGGCGTTTGAGACCTACTTGTATGAGGAGACCATATGGATAAATCAAACAGGATGATTCCTCCTGTTAGAGCTAATGCTCAGATTGCTCAGAAGCGTGGACGCAATGTCCGTACGAACGCCCATGTATTTTGGCCACATTGTTGACAGCAATAACCATGTGAAGGCTACTCATATCAATTTCAACGCGGCTCATCAGGACAAGGCTGTGGTTTAGAGCAAGGTCAGGAATTGTTGCAGTACATAAATATATATATTGAATGTGGTTGGGTCTAGAAGCGATGGTAGCTATGATGTTAGACTATTTTTTTCTCTGATTCTTTGCCTATGCAAGCGACGATGACGAAGACGAGGAAGAGAACAACATGAGCAGCGCACACGTCATGGATGATGGCAAGAGCGGGAGAACTTCTGGAGTTGTTCATTTGGTTGAAAAGAGCAAGGGTGCTCCAAGGGACGAGAAAAAAACACTCATCTGCGAATTGCAGAACGACGGCCACGAAGGGAATCTCGGCGGTTGGAGACCTCGTTGGATCACTATCCCTGATGGTCTAATGTTTAAGTTCATAGCATTGAAATGCTGTCTATGCCCTATAATTCTCTAACATTCTCAATACCCTAATGAAGCGGCCAGGCGCAATCCTTTGGAGACGCTTGTACGGTAGCATTATGTTGTTTTATTGGATATGATGTCTATTGGGAATGAACGATGGATTTGGGGATAGGAGTGAAGATAGGATCTCGCATGCTGCTAGAATATCAATAGATAACGCTTGGTTGATGTCCGATTCTGACTGACAGCCCTGTTCAAATCTCTAGAGCAACATTTGGCCAGCACAAATAACTGCCGCCGCCACAGCAACTGTCACGCTCGTCAAGGCCCTCGCTGGGGTTGAGCCCCCAGTTTTCGCAGTACCTGTGGGAGTCGCACTAGCTCCAGGGCTGACCGCGCTATTACCAACGGTAGTATTGCTCGCATTATTGACACCGGTCTTTGCACCGTTTAAGGTCGCCAATGTGATATTTTTCTCCCTGTAGGGATGCGGATCATTCACGCATGCGGCCACGGGCATGGTCTTCCAGGTCTTCTGAAGCTTGGGCAGGTTCGTGATTGCAGCATTGACCGTGTTCTGGTACAACTCATGCTCAAGGCAGACATGACCTGTGGTGTCCTGGGGGGCCTTAGCAATCCAGGCGTCGAACGCGGAGTTGACAGACTGCATGGAGAGTTTGCCGCCGGGGGCCATCTCCCAATCGTTGGTATCAAGGTCCCAGATGACGGAGGTGTAGCCCATTTGGGTCAAGAGGCCGCGGATGCGGTTGTCGATGTCACCATAGGGGGGCTGTTTTTAATTGAAACAATGTTGAAGGCGTTAGCAACTGGTGCAGGTTATCTTCTCCTTGCAATGTGTATCGGAAGCAGTGCTCACAAGGGGCGCATGCGTTTGGACCCCAAATGGATAAAAATGGCTGAATTGAGAACAGTTGGACACCCAAAAAGCAACATTTCTGTGGACTGGGCTCTTATCTTCCCTCTCCAATTGTCCGCCTCATTGCGGGTGAATAGTGAACTAGCCTAAGGCAACGGATTATTGTTCTTGCATCTCTGCATGCAACTCCGTATCCTTTATCGAGCACAATAAAGTGGCAAGGCAAGAACAAGACCGTTATTTTGGATTAGGTGCTTAAAGAGGACTTACGCGGAAGTAGGTGGGAGTGACACCGCAGAGTTCCTTGATGGCCATCTCTGTGTACTTGACCTCGGCAACAAATTGCTCATTGGTGAGACTAGTTGAGTAGTGGTGCGACCAAGTGTGGACTGCAATTTGATGGCCCGCACCGCAGGCACGACGAGCCGACTGCCAGTTGGTCAACACGTTGGAGCCGATGTAGAACAGTGTCGCCTTTTGGTTGGTCTTGTCCAAAAAGTCGTACAGCTGTGGACTAAACTCTGTGGGACCATCATCGTAGGACAGACCCCAGACGCCGACAGGGCAGGTGGTGATGTCCTTGTTGATGCAGTTATCCACACTCCAGTCGCAAGCGCTCGCTGGGATTGAGTTAGGGGATACAATTGTTCCCCCGGAAGTGACCTTGACCACAGGAATATCAGGGACGGCGGTCAAGTTAAGCTCGGACATCCATTTGGCAACCTGAGGGGAGCTTGTGGCCGCGATCGCGAAGGTCGGAGGGTAAGAGCCAGCAAAGGTTCCGTTGAAAGGAGGGAGAGGGATGAGAGGCGCTGGAATGGGAGTGCTGGAGGGTGTAGGGGCAGGTGCTGTGGCTGCGCTTGCGAGCGCGACCATGATCGAGGCCAGAGAGAGTTGCTTGGCGAGCATGGCTGAAGTCAGGGCAAGTGTAAAAGGACGGAAGGATTGTTAGCTGAGTAGCAGACGGAGATGAGGGTTGGTAAGGCGGTTGGAAAGGGAGAACTGAGGGAATCGAGCAGAGAATATAGAAGCAGGGGAAAGACCCGTTGTTAAATAGCGAGCATCGGCAAAACTACAAACCAACAGGAAATCATATTTGAACGTATTTTTGATTGTCATTTACACTGGTGCCTGCGCATGCTCGATAAAAAGTACGCTGTCTCACTAAAAACTCATGTTGCAAGACACGCCTTGCTGACCAAGTCTAAAGTGTAAGATACTGTAAACAAGTAGAAACCTCGAGACAAGGTGAAGGGTTAGGATTTAAGTCCAGAGTTGCACAAAATATGGTAAAGAGAGAGGATGCCACTGTCAGAGAACATCTGCACGTTTAAGCGACTGTTCTTTCACTCGTCATTTCCTTCTCAAGTCCTCCTTTCCCGAGAACGTTTCCATTCAAAAGTAGTAGAACCATGATGAAAACCTGTCCAAGATGAGGAACATGAGTAGCGGATTCGAGCCTACGTGACATTCACGATACTAGGGGCCCCCTCTTGGTTCGATAAGTCAACTAGGAGTGCGCTACCTTCTGCGGAGGCACGTCCTAGTGTGCTTTGAGGGCGTCAAGTACGTCAAGAACGATGGAAGCGTTGTGAGCTTCATGACAGATGACGATGACGAAGAGTAAGTTTGTCCAGACTATAGTATTTATTTGCCATTGGCATTTATGAATAGCTAGAGCTAAACGGTTTCTGGCTGTAGCCTTGCTTATTTAATAGGTATACATACCTTGGAGAACCAATTACCATCCAGGGATCGCTCTCGAGGTGGCGATGAAGGATGCTGATCTTACTGGTGAACGAGTGCGAAGTGCTCAGAGGGCTTCTGAATCACTTCAAAACGTTCAGCAACGATTTACAATCCTCCTCCAGACGGCAGGGCTTCAGCATCACCTCACTAAGGCTGGGCCCAAGGTCATTGATATTTCTTTGGGACACGCTTATTGAAGGCTCTATATATAACAGTTTGCTTTTCTGAGTACAAATTTGCGCAAAATTGTTGTATATGATCGGAATGACGGCCGGAGTTGATTATCACCAAAGAGCACACCATGGATTGTGTCAATTGAGCACAGATATTCTGCAGTCGTCTGTCTACGGGAGCAATGCCGCAACATACTTCAAAAAAAGGGAAAGAAAATCCATTTGGACATGTAGATTTGAAAGTGAGTTTATAAGCGAAACCACTTCCAGATGTTGATGCAGGATAAGGTTGCCACTAAAAATGCGCTTATCTCTATTTTCAATCGTACAAGTTTGAAGCTGGCGATATTTCCTTATTTTCGCCCGTCGAAGCTGGGCGAGTGCTCTATCGTTCAGACATCCTACATCGCATCCACCATGAGCTACATACCGTATTGTACAACAGTGTACGTGCTGTAGTCAAGAAACGGTTCCGCAAACAGACGTTGATGTACAAATAAGATTCTCAGTATCGTGAACTCTATCCTACATTAAAAAATGGTTTCGCAAACTGGCTATTATGACTATCATCTCAATTATGAGGTCGGGATGACGAACGCTGTCGGCAGCCAACGTAAGTCCTCACTTCTGCGGAAAAGGATCAAGGCCCTGCTTCTACAAGGGATCGTCATTCCATAACGTGATCCATCAAATGTCTATCAGTCGTCAATGGCGATGGACCAAGGATTACACGAGACGACATAGTTACCTACGACGATGTCTACAACATATTCTATCAGATCAAGATTACGGAATCGCGCAGGGATGAAGACCCGGTAATATCATCAAACAAGTGGATGGTCGAGGTCGGGCAGCAAGGATATTTTACATGTTTCGACAAGCGAGGCGTGTATTACGGGTTCGCATCGCAGCTTATCAAACCTTACGGCGATGTGTTTTGCTTCGATGGCACACATGAAGTTTGCGGGTTTGTTGGCCTTACTTATCATCTTCAGCGCAATGCCTTGCCCCTCATTCACAACCACACAGCCACTGGTATTAATCGTGTGCACCCTTTGGATGGTTTAGACACAGAACGTATCTATACACCATTGTCGTCAAGAACCTTTCAACTGGGTCTGGTGTTCCAGTTGCTTTTCTTATCACCCAGAAGTCCAACCCAGCAGTTCTAAGTCGTTGATTGAAGGAGAAGTTGCGGTTGACTCTCTCTATAGATTTCGAGCCGGCGGTTGTAGTGACTGATCAAGGAAATGTGGAGATATCTGTCATCAAACAGTCGTTCTTCAGGGCCAGCCTTTTATTGTGTGTAGCACATTTTGAGAGTCTGGGAGCGCGTGATCAGCTTTGGTAGGCTGAACATTACTCATCAGTCTAAAGAGGATAAAGACAGGATATGTGAAGAGGTAAATGTTCTAGTAGACATAGCCTCGCTGCATGCTCCTCGCTACGAGATGGTTCGCTTTAATAAATTGCGTCGTTGTATACTCTTTGACAGATACGATCGAAGTTGAGGGATATCTTGTATGAAAGGGACACGGCATTAGCGAAGGAGAAGGTCCGACACTTCCAGGAGAAGTGGAAAGACTATGAAGAAGTTCTTGCCCATCAGGAAAAGAACTACTTCACAGAGGAAAGCATGCAGCGATAGACGGCATGCTATCGGCAAGATGTCTCGTACAGCAATATCAACACCAACAACTTCATCGAGTCGTGGTATCGCGCCCGCAAGTCGAACATCTTCAAGGACAATCGGAATCGACGAAACGATAAAGTCATCTATGTCCTCACTAAGACCGTGATTCCTCACTACCAGCGAGTCTCCATGCGACATTCTCTTCAAGTTGGGAGGATGACGCCAGATCAGCGAAGTGCACTCAAAGCTAGGAGCCGCACACTTGAGCACAAGCAACATATACAGATGCTCGGACACTGGGGCGACTTACTGATGACCACCGATAACCCGCATGTCCTCGGTGTGAGGTCGTTTACTGACGAGAATTGGTCATACCAGATTGCATTCAACCCAACAGGGCTCGACTGCTGCAAGAGCTGCTATTGTTCTTTCTTCTTCCAGCACAAGATGTGCTGTAAGCATATGTCTTTGGCAATGCTGGAGTTGCCAGGCGTCGTTTTTCAGAATCCAGAGTACTTTAAGACGCAAGATGATTTTGTAGCGCCGCAACTAGTACCAGGACTGGAGCCGGAGCAGGAGCTAGAGCCGAAGCCGATACTAGAGGCGGCACAGATGCCATCAGCGGAACTTAACGCTCGTGGACGCGTGCTGGAGATCGACATGATAGCGCATTATTACGAGAGGATTGGCCAACTGATGGCGATTCGTGATACCAATGTTCCCATTCTGTCGGACAAGCAACGTCGGATTGAGGAACATTTGGAGTGCGCGTATGATACTAGTAGCGAGTGCTTTGTCTTCGAAGGGTCCTATAATCCCAGGAAGAAGTGCCCTTGCCAGACAGAGCATTGGGCAATAAAGGTCTTTTATTCCGAGCACACATGGCGACCTTTTTTTTCACATGGAGAAATTTAAAGCCTGGACGCACAAATCCCACGTAAGATCGGAGGGGTGAGGCTCAATGCTCCACCGATGGCAGAAAAGCGTCCATGGCGACATCAAAAACGATCATAACAGGATGCTAATGAAGCTGTCGAAGAAATAGCCACCCTTCAGGGTTTAGAGTGATTTCAGCCTTTTCCGCCAAGTATTCATTGATATATTGATATATTCGCAAATGAAGCGTCCGGCGTTGAATTTAGGGATATAGTTGACATACGGCCTTGAAGAACGCGGGGATCATTTCGTTCAATTGGGGAGCTGCATGTCCTGCAAACTGGTAGCGCCCCCTTTTTTTACTGACCTCGCGCAGGGTTAGTCCAATTGGAAACAGTATGCGATTTTTTGTAAAGGATATAGCGGACGCGAGGAAAGGATGGACCGAGACTCGTCGTATCACTTTACGCAGGAATGCATAGCAATGCTTCCTAGCAAACATCGGTCGCCAGGCATTTGGCGTTACTACTACATAGTATTAAGGTTACTGAGTGGTTAAAGCGTGTGCGCGAGCGACTCAATGTCACTCATTTTTTATTAATCAAACGACACCGCCTCTCATTTGATCCTGTCTCTCACATTCTTTACATCAGTATATGACCAATATCTTTTGAGGGCTGGATTGCATGCTGAAAGCTGCTGAAGATCCGACTATTGTTATTTAACATGAAAAGATATTATGATAGCATTAGCGGCAATCTCTTAGCTTCTGGTAATAACGTGAGTCAGAACACATCATACCTTCATACCTTTGCTTGCAATAAGACAAGTATCGTTGCCAGAAGGGTGGCAATCGCTACAACGTCGGTGGGTGCGAAGTATTAATCCACTGAGAACATTATATGTTACTCGGTGGCTTAAGTAAATTAATAGGACTCGCTGGATCTAATTAAATACACGCGGTGGCAGCATGTTATATGGCTCTATGCCACAGTGGGAATGGTAAATCTGCCGAGGTTCTCAAGTAAGTAGATTCCTCTGCATTGAGCCTTAAGACGTATGTATGCGCCCCTACCATAAGCCACCTCCAGCAATGGGCAAACTGATTTCCAGAATCCAGCATGGCCTCCCCATATCGACATAACTTGTAGCGGTCCCAATTCACCTTGCGGCAGTCGTATCTCTGTCTTGGCCCTGTAATCTCTCCAAATAACAGAGACCGATCATGAAACTTAACTGAGATGTCCGGACGGTCTGCTTTGATGTCCTGTAGCCCTGTTCCTTGCAGTCGATGTTTGGGCTAAGAAGAACGAAGAGTTAGATGAGTTAGATTGCCCGTCATAGTTCAAATAATGCCTTAAGTGTGAAAGACATGTATGTCACTTACAACACGACCACTTGGCCGTCGGTGGACAATAGTTCCTTCACAACGTATGACACGTTATTGGCAACGAAGGTAGACTCCGATACATGAACATCTTCCTCTTGTGGAAGATGCTCAGGCCTAAGCCAAGTATAATATGAAGGATTAGCTGGAGTTCTGTGTGAGAAAGATGCTCGGACCAGTTTGTACGAATCTGCGCCTAGGCTTGACATTAACAAGGCCGTTTCAGCGTCATCGGCTGATCCTTGCAGTCAACTCCATCAAGGTAGAAAGCTAGCATGTGTGAACAAAATAAATCAATCTATCTCATCAATAAAAGGCCACTTAAACACCATTTCCTTACTCTAATAGCCATTTCTGGTAGACGAGCCGAGTGTTTTGATAGTTCCTTCAAGGTGGAGATGTTGAGGTGGTTCTGCATACGTTGCGTGGGTAACCAAGGCCAAAACACTCCAATCAGACACCTGTGCGTCGTTAAAAACCAGATGATTCTTTCTTTCACCTTCACCTCCCATACAAACAACAACACTCTTTCAGTTCACAAATCCATATCACTCCACAACATTGATGAAAATGCATTCCTTCCTCTACAGCAACGACACTGTTTCTGCTCACATCACCGAACCATACGTTAAAGGCGGGGATGAGACTCCAATTGGGCCGTCAGAGGATGTACGCGAAGACCTTCACTTTGAGTGTCACCGAAGCCACTCACGTCCAAACAGTCCGTATGTCTGGTACGACGATCCGACGCAAGAGTTGAATGTGGAGCGCGTATGGTATTCGTTCGAAGACACGATTGGAGATCATCCCGAGCGTCCCCAACGCGTCCTAGGCCGATTCAGCGCGGAGGTCGAGCTGAAGATCAAGGCGTACGTCGATCATGCCATCAAGAGAACGGAGAGGGCGATCAGGATGCTTCTGTGAGCACATGCGTTGTCAATCAGACATGGTGGTCATCAGTCTGAATTATATCGAGCGCATTGCCACACCAAACGAGGATCTGAACAAGTAGAATTGGAAGAGCGAGCGATGCGTTTGCGCTGCTGTCGGAATTTCTCCGATCGCCATTACGCGCAGTGTTGTATCAATTTGCAACAAGAGATTGAGCGATTAGAGGTACTCGTGACCGACTTGCGAGGGACGCTTGCACTGTTCGGTGATCCATCGGAGGCGGCAGAGAAACAATCAGAGCCGAACGACGAAGTGCAGGCTGGCGCTGAGCCAAGTTCTTCTCTACAGGCAATCAAGCGGAATTGCGAGGCGAACGGTGACAGTAGTGAAGTCAAGCCCAAGGCGCGTCGTAAAAGTATTTGACTAACTATTTTCAATAAAGCATTGTTTTTTACGCTCGTTAATTTCCATGCATTTAGTTGTCTCTTATGCAGTACGATATTCCGTGTATTTCGAGATCGTTTGCGCCGTGTGGATGACCAGACAGGGGTGTCTGTTGCCGTGTCATCGTATGCTCGCTTATTTGACTTTTGTTGCGCGGCATGATGCTCAGCTCAATAATCACTGATGCATCATCGTTCAATAAAATGATCTTCAGGTTCCCATGTATTTTCATCAGAGGAATAGCCCTTCTATTTGACCAAATATTCATTTGTGTTAGGCGTAATTATACTAGCCCTGTGGTCAACGTCTTTTTCTACTTCATAGATATCAGTGTCTTCAAAGTTGTCCAGCACAAGCTTGAGCTGAGACGCCTGCCGTTGTGACAACCACATTCTTGTGTCACAAGCGCGTGCTGATGGTCAGTGACCCGCGCGTCGACATAACCTTTTTTCGCTTATTAGCAGCAATGGCCGAGATGGCTTTAATTAGAGGCAGTAAGGGTCAGTGAGAGCTTAAATCCGTGAAAATGTTATTGCGAAATACGGACGGATAACTGCAGGGCTTATTGTGGCAAGTATGGAAACACAACATTGACATAGAACAAGTGTAGCACAAACTGGACGGCGAGCAAGATGTCGATGCAACATAAGAAATAAAGGAATGTGAGACCTCAACGCAATTAGGATTCTAACGCAACTAGTATCTTGACACAGTCAATATCTAAGCATCCAAGCATTTGCTGAGGCAGAGGAGGTTGAGAGCTGCAATTAGATATCATTGTCCTCGTGTGAACTTCATTATTTTTTCTTGTTCTGGGGAGCGCCTGGGTTTGAGAATGAAGAGGACTTCGAGGCTTTGGGATTTAGCGACGTAGCGGACCCTTTACGTTTAGAGCAGGACGCAAGAGGACTCGAAACAACATGAGAAGTCGACGGGCGACGTGAGTTCGAAGAAATAGGAGCCTGCGCTTTAGCCACGGGGATCATGTTTGGCACCGAGTAGAACGAAGGGCGACAGAGTTCAGTCTTCAATGGACCAGCAGGCTTACAGCCTTTGAGACATTCCAAATTGGCCAAAACTCGCGTCTTGAAAGAAAAAAAAGAGTCATTCTCGTAAATAAGGCATTCTGACTTACTGATGATTACAGTCATCTCTCAAAGAGTGAAGCCTTACCTACAGCCGCTCCAAAACCGGCAACATCGTGATCGCAAGTGGGAGCTCATTGGGTTTGGATGGGCTACGGAAACGCCTATGCTCCTTCACAATATACGTCGCTTCATGCTCCAGAGACATCCCCAAGACTCGCGCCTCGCAACCTATGGGTATCAAGTCAGTTAGCAATAAGAAAACAACAGGACTGATGATGAAATTCCAATCACTCACCTTGCACAAAAACCCCTGCAACTGTCACATCGTAACCGGCCTCGAGCAAGGAGTCTAAGGCACCCTTCATCATGTTCATCAATTTCACTTCGTCCTCAGTGACCAACTGCTTAGGCGCTCCCAATGGCTTCACCTCCATGAGGAGGAGATAAGCCTCTCAGGTGCCTAAGCTGAAGCTCACTGAGAAGTCAGGGAATTCACTCGGGCCGTCAATGCAGATCTTCGTTCCAGGGACGAACTGGTCCCCCCTCCACCGGTAGACAAGATGGTCTACCTGAGCAAAGGTCGCCAGGACCCAGGGCAGGACCACGTTCATTGTGAACGTGTCCTCATTGCCCTCCTTTTTGCCCTCATACACAGTAGACGATCAGAGCTGCCCCGACATCAAATGCGTTCTCAGAAAACGTCCTAAAATCGAATTCCTTAGAATCATCTCCGCGTCCAGAGCCGACAATGGCTGTGAGATGGCCGCAAAGCAGAAGGTCAAGAATTCTGGCGGGATTACCGACTCCTGTAGCGTCGCCGCACGTAGACAGGCGATGACGTGTGAGGGCAAGCATTGTGCCAGGGCCCCCTGAGTGAAGACGAAGTTGAGTTGGCTGTATGTATATGAAGATATCTTAACATTAGAAACGGAGCGATGATAGCAAATGTCAATGCCACATTGGTTCTGCACAAATACATGTCAACTTACAGGATCTCATCGCTTAACTTCAATGAGGCTTGATTTTGAACCATGGCCCGGCGCTGCTTCATCAGGATGGCTGAGATATTGAAGTCGTCTAGACGCCAGTGCTCACAGAAGAGCGTAGAAGACTTACAGCCTGGGCCAACCAGGCGGTCCAATTGGACCCCTACTGAAAGGAACTCCTCCGTCGTCTCCGCCGGCGTCTCCCCCGGCGAGTAAGAGCTGTCGCTCGAGGGAGGCGGAGGGTCGAAGGGGCCGAGCTGTTGGCGGGACGTCCTGACCGGGACTTTCATCCTCCCTTTGCTGTCGACGGCGACGTTGAGGGGCTCGTCATCGCTCTTCTCGGTCTCCTCTGCCCCCGCCGCCTCTGCCGTATCCTCTGTTGTGTCATCGGCCTCGTCGTTGTCAGCTGAGCCCATTCCTGAGCTCTCCTCGCCTTCGTAAAAATCTTTCACTGTCTTTCGTTTCTCTCGGACTTGATCCTGGATACCCTCTGTCTCCACAAGATCATTGAGGTCTGTATGGGAATCGACCTCCCAGAGGTCGTGTTCTGCTCTCCGAAAAGCCCTCTGAAGAACTGTTCGCCGCATTTGACGTAGCTCGTTGGATACATTGCTGATATCTTTGGGGACATCGGGTGAGCGTGCAATTACTCCAATGCACTTGTGATACTCAGAGGCAGCACTCTTCCCATTATATGAGCGAGTTGGTGAGGAAAGCAGCGCTTGCGAGTACAATCGTATGTCTCCCCAGACCGACGAATCATTTTCATAAAAGAACGCGTGCACTTTGTGCCGGTTGTGGCTCGCGAGATGATTTCTCTCCAGACGTGGCATGATGTCCTGATGTCCTGAAGCGCTGAAGAGTGGGTGTGGCAGGCGGAAGTGAAATTTCATCATAAGTCCCCAAGCTTTTTCCTCCATGATGACGCAGCACCATCTTTTCTCATTGCTAACCTTTGACCCTGTCCCCTTTGAAATCCCTGACAACCTCAACATCGCCAAGCATAAACTGATCGCCTGTGGGCTGTTGGGGTTCAAAGCTCGGAGCGATACCTTTTTCTTATTCCAACATCTCTTGATCGTGTCGGTCAATGCGCACAGATAATTCTAAAATTCCAAGCCACACAGGAATGAAAAAGATTTTGTGCGCGAAAATAACCCCATCTTCCTTTCATTAAGTAAGTACATTGCCAAGTGTTGATTGATTCTCACAGACACTGGAAGAGCTGCCTCGAGGTTTTGCTGGTTGGTCCTGTGCCATATGCTCAAAGTGATTAGAGGCACAGGACATGCGCTGAAACGCGGGTCCTCTAGCTTACTCGACGCCAAGTCATCGAGCCATGGATTGCGCTTAATACTACCCTATCACCTCGGCGTACCAGAACCATGATGCTCGCTTCATCGATGCCTGGTTCAACACCTGCTCGGATCGAGAATCCTCTGGTTGGAGATCCTGGGCGTGCGAGGCATCCCGTCTTCAACGAACGTGGATGGCCGTATTACCATAATGCCTCTGGCCCCGTAGGACCAGCATACTTGTGCAGTTTCTGTACAGCATGCTACCAGTCCTTTGGCTCCATGGTGCCGACTCCTTGAAACAACATTCCGAGCGTGCGTGATGACACAAGCTAACAATTTCCATCCTTCCAAGCGTGTGTAGGTCGGCCCTCCTCTTGGGGCCTCATTCTGTATTTTTCGCCTTGTGCGATAGTTGACAGAACGAGGTGTCAAGGGTTGAGGAGGGTCATCAATTTCAAGCATCAACAAGGCTGGTTCGTCACAGAATCATACGAACGATACTGGTTGGATGGGTCCTAGAGAGCTCTCCACCGATTGGCGATATGGACTCGCGCTATTTAAGGAAGTTGGAAGGACGCCCACGACTCTCTAGCAAATACGGAATAAAGGATAGAAAAACGACGTATATACATGTTTTTGCGCAATAACTGATTGACTGAGAACAGGTGCTCACGCGTGCATACTTGCCTGCTCTGGCATGAATGAAAAAGAGTGCTTTGACGTGTGCATGTATGCGCGTGGTTTTCATGGCACACTCGCGTCCTATTCCCAACTTCCAGCAACGGTGTAATCGTGGTCATTCTATTGCTTGCGCCGAAGGGCTTGTCAATCTATCCGAACGTGGGTGTTTTAAATGCTTGTGTCGGGAAAGGAAGAAAGAGAGATGGTCAACTCGATCGTCGACGGTTCTCAATAACTCATAGCATCACGCGTCTACAGCTCCTTTCAATCGTCTTCCAGACAAATTTCTACCGATCACGCCTTCGCACTCACTCTGGATCTCCAACAGACATGGTAACTAGGTTAACCAACCCGTTGTACTTTTCGTACACTGTATAATCAAACGTCCGAACTCGCTATCTGGTATGCTTCCGCGGCATGTTTGCACTCGCCGTCACTGCTACCCATCAACGTTAGAGTCAGAAGCTGGGGCAAATAACGGGGCCCGGTGTTCCATTAGCTCCAGTAGCGAGGAAGGTAATGACGCATCGCTTTCAATATGCATTAGGCAACGATTCAACATGGCCAATACCAGTCTTCAACATCCATTCAACAAGCGATAAACAAGAAAGGGGTAGGGCCTTATGTAGATCCTCATCCATCCTGCCCCATTGAGCCCTCAGCACAGGCTGTAAAGAAGCGCACGAATGCGTGCCATGTTTGGTCAGGCTCCAATGTGCACAGCCCTGCGATTTGCTGCGGGAGAACGAAGAACATTGCTGACTGGGCGTGGTTTCATCGACGCCAGGCGCGGGTTGGTTACCGAGTAGACGGGGTATGTTCCGTACCTGTCACCCGCCAGGCTTTAGAAACCGGCTCCGAAGCCAGAGGGGGTCTCAGAGAGGCGGTAGCTTCGGCTCTCTCCAATAGGGTTGGAGACTGGTCAGGCATCCACCCAAGAAGGAGCCAAGCCATTCTTGGACTGGACATATGGGCTAATTTCGATCCGAATAAGCGCATGGTGCTGCCTGTTAGACTGCAGCAGGCGATTTGTCCTCCTATCAACGGTCAATGCGGGGAAGGGTGTGGTCACCGTCTTGCGCCTGGCGACTATTTTTTATCTCTGCCTATCACTTATTCGCACTTCCTTCTTCACTGTTTTCTCCCGCCACCGCTTTCTTCTCCACTCCTTCTCACACCCCCATTTTTCTCCGTTCCACAACCATGAACGATCTCTTCATCGACCGCCACCCCTCGTGTGTGCACTCAACCATCCACCACAACATCATCTCCACGTCCAACCTCTCCTCCGCCGTCGGGTCCTCCTCCTGCTCCTGCGAGGAGTGTGCTCGCTACAAGCTACCTCCTCACTCCGAGCAGACCCCTGCCATCTCTGACCAGCTCCTCCAGCAGCAACAGCAGCGGACCATGAGCAGCACTGCCGAACAGGACGGGGACAGGACTGGCACCTCGGCCACCTCGCCTCCTTTGACCTATCTCATCAGACGATCCTCGGTCGTGAACACAACCGCATCACCAAAGATGCAGCCTGCGGGATTCGGGTTGGGAGGGTCGTCGTCCGGCTCTCAGAGGGCGAAGATGCAGCACCAGAGACGAGCCTCGGTCGATTTCCATAACCAAGAGAGGTCGTTCCAGCAGCACTCAACTGCGTGTGATTGTCGGGGATCGGGAGTTGGATGCGAATGTTCCTACACCTGCGACTGTTAAAATATGCATGCAAGGACCTCGAGGATCCCAATACCGCGTCAAAGGATGGGAGGAAGAGCCAATGTATCCTGTGGACCGCTCTTTCCCTCTCTTAATCTCTCTTTTCTTCTCCTTTCTGTTCCCGCCAAACTTTTTTTCTGTAACAGACAGTATGTCAGTGCGTTTTTTACATTTCTTTTTGCTTCCGTGTATATATCCCACTCTGCCCCGTCAGTTCACTTCTGTAAATATTCGACCGACAAATAAATCAAAAAGCTGTCTTATGACATTTTGCCCAGTTTCAGATGGGGTACCGCTTTCATAAGCAGCTACCTTACCACTGTCTCTCACCCTGCAGCGATTTTTCGCATGATGAGTAAAAGATTCAGGCTATGTTCTCAAAGCTGACTTCAAAAACAAGTAGGCTGGCAGAAAAAAAAACCATTATTTACTATGTGTTGGATATTGGCCTGACTATGCAAGAGTAGTTCTTTGACCGAGTTCATGGCTTCCTGTTCCATTCGACATCTCACCAGTGCGGTCACCCATAAATTCCTTATAGCTATGTAGCCAGCCAGAAGAAAGACATTTGCAGTTCGTCAGCAATCAAACATAGGCCAAGCTAAATATTCTAATAGTGAATAGGCACAAAGCACTTACATGAGGTCAAGTCGCTGGCTCTCCTCGGGAGTGATCGATGACCGCGTGTTGGTAAGGGACACCTCCAGGTGCTCGTGCGTGATAATGGGCCGAGACCCCTTAGGAGCCTTGTCAGCCACTCCATCTCCAGAGACAGAGTCACCTGCTGCGGTCGACGCGACTTCCCTGGCTGCGCTCATACCCTTGGCAATCAGTCCCAACTAATTACGATCCAATGAGGATTAACAAAGACACTTGTCAGTCAATGCAAAGTTACTCAGACGTCAAGAATAGCATGAGTAGCATAACTAGACTCACCCGTTGTGAGATATGGCCACGTTCGGCCAAGGTTAAGTTTGTCTTTTGACCAGATTTGTCACTGCCACCAAAGCCTTTTCCGCCCAGGCTAACAAACCGCATCATCTTGCTGTCTGCTCTCGATTCTGTTCCACTGGCCGCAGAGGAAGAAGCACCTGGTCCGCCATTGCTGTTTTGGCCCTCCTTCTTGACCGCCTCGTCCTTCTCGATAGCGATGCGAATCGCCTCCAAATGCGCATTGTACAGCACTGCCTGCAAATCTGCTCCTGTCAATCCCTCCGTGCGACGAGCGCATTCCATCAAATCCACATCTTCAGCGACTTCCATCTTGCGAGAAAGACATGTCAAGATCTCAAAGCGTTCCTGGAGGTTTGGCATGCCGCAGAGCAGAGACTTATCGAGACGACCTGGACGAAGCAGTGCTGGGTCGATCAGATCAGGACGAGAAGTAGCTGCAAGTACATAGACGCCATCCAGACCTTCAGCACCGTCCATCTGGGTCAGCATCTGGTTGACCACACGATCCGTCACTCCTGTGCTGTCATGTCCTCTGTTTTAACAAGACGTAGGTAAAAAAGTATGTCAAAGAGTGTTCCTTCATCTCCTACTCGAAGAATACCGCAGAATGATCATTCACTGTGCTTACCTCTTGGGCGCAATACTGTCAAACTCGTCAAAGAATAGGACGCAGGGCTTGGCCGCTTGAGCTCGTTCAAACAGATCGCGGACAGATTTCTCAGAGGCACCGATATACTTGTTCAGCAACTCGGGTCCCTTGACAGAGATAAAGTTCAGTCCGCACTCCTTCGCCACCGCTGATGCCAACAGCGTTTTTCCGCATCCAGGATGGCCAAACAGCAAAAGACCAGATCGCAATCGCAATGGGCACTGCGAAAAGATCGAGGCATACTTTGTAGGCCATTCCAGTGTCTCAAGTAAGATCTTTCGGGTCTCATTCAGTCCTCCAATATCTAACCAGCTTGTTGCTGAACTCTGCAGCTTCACACCACGTAGGCTGCTGGGTACAAAGCCCTCCTGAGCCTTCAAAAAGTCTGCCTGCGTCAGCATAAAATCGTCCTCCGAAGACGATCCAGGTACGCCATTGAGATCTGAGACTGCCTCAATGGCCTTGGCACTGCCATTAGGCAAAGAATGAGAGGCTTCTGCAGCCTCCTCCTTGCTTCTCGCGACCTGGGCAGCAATATTGCGAACGGCTCCTTCGTGGACGGTCCTCTCCAGGAACGCCTTCAGATCGGCCGCCAGATAGCCCTCGGTCTTTGATGCGACAGAAACCAGGTCAATCTGAGGCAAAGAACGCTGCAGAATGGCCGGACCTGTCTCCATTAAACTTTGCAGCATTTCCTTGCGTTCTGTCTTTCCTGGTGGCGTTAGGCGGATAATCTCGCTCAAAAGGTGAGAAGTAATTAGCGAAGGGTGAACCGAGACCTGCTGCTGAGCCGTCGCCACAATTGTGATCCGATCGAAACGCTTGCACATTCTCGAAGCAATCTGCAAAAATACTTCAGCGATTTGTCGTGAGCGGAACGAGTCTGCGTGCTCAACTTCGGCTGGAATGAGGCGATCCAGATCTTCAAGAAAGAGGATACTAGGCGAGTGGAATGCAGCAGTATCGAACCATTGCTGGAATTTTGTCATCAAGACCGGCAATCGGTCCTCTGCAAACTCTGCGCAGTTGATCTCTACGCAGTCTAGAAAACAATAGAGTGTTAATTACATTGTATGCTGATACTGCTATTGTTCCTAAACACCTTCGCGTCAAGAAGTTCGACCTACAAGCAAGAGTATCGATGTTTTGAGATAGTTTGCGGATGATCGACCTCGCAACGACTGTTTTGCCCGATCCATGAGGTCCACACAACAGAAATCCACCCAGGCTGGGAACCGCAAAGGCATCACGCAATTCGATTTTTGAGAGACAAGTCAAAAGGTATTTTTCAGCTTTTGTGTACACCTGAGTAACGCCTCCTAGTGCTGCAGGAGTGTCCGCGATATGATTGATAGTTCTATGGGACATAATGAAAGCGTTCGGTCAATGATTCTTCGCGTTTCCATTGTAGCACTTCCATAAAAATAGTATCTCCGCCTCTTACTTTTTGTAGACATGACTGATTCCTTGTGCCTGACCAATCTCAACTTTGAGCTGGACCAACTGGATCCTGGTCAAAACGCTGTACGCCTCTGGTTCGGATTGATGCTTAGTCTCTTCCTGATGTGAATGGCTCTGTGTTGGCGGCAAGGACTTTGTAGGGAAGACAACCGCAAATGATTGCATAGTGTCGCCGTGTGGAATAACAAGCAGAGAGCCGTGGCTGAGGATGACAGCTTGGTTATCGGGTAATGACTCGATCCACTCTTTGAAAACTGAGATCAGATTCGTTGCCACGGCTGTCTTCTCAGAACTGTGGTTCGCCGACTTTGGCTGGAGTTTCAGTGGTGCAGGTGTGGCAGATGTTGCTCCTGTAGTAGAAATTGGCCGAAGAGTGACGCTTGGAATCTGCACCGAATGAATATGCGCTTCTGACAATCTATCAGACAGTACGATAAAAAATCTGCTGTTAGAATATGGGCTGCTGGTGAACTTGCGTGTTCAAATATAACGCAAAAGATTTTGATTTGTACCTAACAATAGAAAAGTTCTCTGCGTCAAGAGCGTCCTGGACCTGCTTCGAGATGGCGACGTGACCGATAGGGACGTTGTACGACGAAATCGCCTTGACATAAATAGCCGATGAACCCACTAAGAGATCCTCAGGATCTCTCGTCTCATCATCAGTAGCCTTTTCCGCATGAGGCGGGATGACTTTGGAGATACGGAGTGCTGGTTGGCTAGTCAAATCTGCTTCGATCCAGCTGTCTGGATGGATCAGCACCATAAACGGTCCTTCCTCGGGAATACTCTCGATCAGCTCATCTGAACACTCGTCCAGCGCCAAGGCACGCAAACATTGTGCCTGTGTGACCTTCTGAACATGTGTCGACAGATCTTGGTTGTCGGAAGGTTTTGCATTGCTATTGGCCTTGCGGACCATGGGTGCTACAATGACTTCGGCATTGGCGCCCAATTTCACACATGGTGCCGCAGGGTTGGTATCGACTAGATAATCCATAGAGCATATTCAGTAAGTTTGTGTGACTAACGGCTCCGCTCGTATGATATGCATGATAAATTAGCTCTATAGAGACTTACGAACGCGAAGACGGACCAACGTCCGTCCGTTGACCCACATAGTAAAGACCTGGTTTGGATACAGGATCCTAATCTGGTTCAACATCTGGTCTTCCACATATCCTGCGTGCAATTCCTAAGATGTCATTACGGCCGGTTAGAAAGTGATTCACACGCTCGATTAACAAGCGGCTCAATCATCCGATACCAAGGCAAACAGGAGGAATCGGCTGACTCTTACCAAGATCTCCCAGTCATCCTCTGAATATGGTGCAACATTCACGGAGACACCGTCCTGAACTGAATTCACAAAGTCAATGTTCACCTGGTGTAGTAAAAGAACACGGTTTTCCTGTTAGTCCAGATTGACGGTCATGACAGTGATCAAATCGGCACATGTTCCTGAAAGAATAAAAATATTTCCACGGATTCGGGAGACACCAGCCGTGGTCGTTATTGCTACTCGGCTAATATACCTTCTGTCCGGCTCTCAAGCCCATTGCCTGTCCGAACTGCGGATCCATCTCGATCGTGTCTCCAGTGTTCCCACCCGGTCTTGGTGGTGCTGGAACTGCCGAACCTGAAGCTGTCCCTCCTGTGGAAGCTCCACCACTCCATCCTACATACGACTTTTTTTCTGTGGATCCGTCCTGCCATGATAGCTCTAATACGACATTTTGAGAGAGCTGATCGGGGACAGAGAGGCGGAGTTAGTGTTCAGGGCAAGGCACTGTAAGCTGCAATGCGATTGAAGACAGGCACGATCGAGGAGCAGCAAATGTGAATAATTACTTTGCCCTGGTCCAGCAGCGCGTTTGTCCAGGCGCTCGGCAGGTTTATGAGGCAATGTCGCAGGGGTAGGAAGGCGACCGTGACGGACTTGACCATTGTTCAGGCTGGCGAGTAATGAGAGAGGAGCAAGAAGAGTCAAGGTGCGTAGTTCGGGTCGTGAGGTGTGAAGCGAAATGAAGAATGAATATGCGTGATGAGGGTTTGTTGGTTTTCTGGATCGAAGCGGAATGACGAGAGGTGAGGAAGAGAGGAAGGGAAGCAGAGGAATGGAGGAAGCAGACAAAACCGAAGAAGAGATGTCTTTTCTGGGTGGACGGTAAAGCGAACAAGTTCGTCTGTGGCCGGGTGGGGTGGGTGGAAAGCGTGTTGCCCGTCCGTCTCTTTCGGCCCCGGTCGATTGGAACATTTATTCGATTTGGCCGCTCTGTGGGGTGAGTGGGCCAAAGTCAGATCGACGGGTCAAAACTTTACTTCGCGCGGGGAAAGCACATGAAATTCGCTTTCAAAGTAAATGCATGGAGATGTGGTCTACTCATACCCATCTCAAGCCGAACTCGTCTCCCAACAGGCCGCTATCATCAGATATTTGTTCTCTCTCTTTCTTGTTCATTGATACTACTTTACATGGTACAAGGTGCTGATGCTGATGCTATTTCAGACTCTCTCTCCTGCTTTATGACGACGACGCTGCTAAAAGCGCCCTTGCCTTCGCTGCTGCATCCTGGTTACCCGCCATTCTCGATCTCATCTCCGCGTCTTCATGTTCCATGTTCTGATCCTCTTCTTCCTGGCCCGGTAGCCCCAGTTCCCAGTCATCGTGGGGTACTCCTTGGATCTCATTCAACGCACCTTGGACAATGTAGGTGTATGGTCCCCCCTTTAGCTGAGATGTTGTCTCGTATGCGATCAATAAGTTACATCTTGGACAGTGCAAACGGTATTGTTTCTCGAATTTGTCGCCCCTGGAAAGTTCATGTTACAATCCAAAAGTAATTATGTTAATAAGATTGTGCAGAAAAAAGGGTCATTGTACTGAATAAAGACGAACGAACATAGCCAGACTTGCCTCTTGATGATCTTGGTTTCTGTGGGTGTTGCGTGCAATCTATACATGCGTGTCGCGTTCTCAACGATCACAGCGTTATCAGTCTCCCGTCTAGGTAGCTGTCCTAGCTCGATATCTACAACAAGTCAATATTAAAAGCAATTGGCATGTATCTGGTTAGAGTCATCCCATCATCGCTAGTGGTCGTTTTCACTGGCTCCTTCCAGATCCTATCCTCATCGATTCCTACCGATGACAAGAATGAACTCGCTGCAAAGACAGTAGTATGAATGCAGGCCCTGCGCCTCCTCCCGATTGTCGGACGAAGAGATGATGCTGTTGCTGATGATCTTTGGCATGGTCGAGAGAGTTGGCTATAGCTTGTCCGCTGTTGTTTGTCCTGGCGCTGTTTAAAGCAAACCAAAGACTTTATACCTGCTCACTTGTTTCAAGGCTAAAGTATCAGCTGACCAGTCCGATCAGTCTTGAAGAAATTGGTGGCAAACGGAGGCTGTCATATATGATTCTTTTTCGGTGCAATTTAAGGCGCGCTTATGAGTACGTTAAGGGCAATATGCGCTGCCACACCTCGCCCTCGATGCCAAGCACAATAAATTCTTATTTCCCTTGGATGTGGATTAGTCGTTGCTTTCCTTCCTATCCAACCTCGTCAGAAGAAATTCTTTCAAAACATGCCAAAAACTAGGCCCCAAGGGCATCCTCAGGTGTTTCGCGCTGTCCACAGAGGCAACTCATCAATGATTTCTGCTCCATTGTCAGACACAGTCAGCATTACTCCTCGCCTTGACAGCAGTACTAGGGAGTATATCATTCTTTGGAACGACGTCTTAACGGTTTTTAAGAACGCCTTGTACATACGAAACGGAAGCACACTTGTTTCCTTTCTTACAGACAAGAACTTTGAATTGTAATTTACCATTGAACTAAGTAACGCACGCCTTCTACTGTATTTATAAGACCACACCACAACTTCATCTTATCCTCCACTGCTAACACTTCCTACATATAATCAAAATGTAGCCGTAATCCGCTTCGAATCTGTACCTACCCAGACATTGTCCTGGATGTAGTGCTTGAAACCCAAGGGAATGACTTAGGCGCGGAGTCTTCAAGGATTATAAATCCAGCACCCTCAGCATCATCTACAATTCTGGGTAACTCACAATCTTCGCCAGTCAGAGACATGGAGCTGTATCTGAAGGCCGCCGACCAGGGAGAAGTCAGTGCCCAGTACAACGTAGGCACCATATACTATTATGGCACACATGTTCCACAGGACTATTCCAGGGCCATGGAGTGGTTTCTGGAGGCCGCCAATCAGGGACACGCCGGTGCCCAGTATAACATAGGTCGCATGTACTACTTTGCCGAAGGTGTTTCACAGGACTATTCCAGGGCCATGGAGTGATATCTGAAGGCCGCCATCCAGGGAGAAGCCGGTGCCCAGTACAATCTAAGTACCATGTACAATTATGGCAAGGGCGTTCTCCAGGACTATTCCAAAGCCATGGAGTGGTATCTGAAGGCCGCCAACCGAGGACACGCTGATGCCCAGTTCATCCTAGGTACCATGTACAATTGTGGCATGGGTGTTCCGCGTGACCATTCCAAAGCCAGAGAGTGGTGTCTTAAGGCTGCCGACCAGGGACATGTTGATGCCCAATACAGCCTATGAACTATGTATGATATTGGCAAGGATGTTCCCAGGACCGTTCCGAAGCCAGGGAGTGGCATCTGAAGGTCGCCAACCGGGAAGACACCCTAGGTGCCATGTAGGATCATGTCAAAGATAGTCTCAGGACTGTTTTAAGGCGGCAATATTGGACTGCAGCGAAATTTGGATATGCTATTCATTAACATGTTTCATAGACCTCAATGCGATTCTGAACGGTACTGTTGAGAACCTCTAGCTCACTATTAGATTTTATACAAATAAATACCCAATCGGTGTGGTGTGTATGTGATGTTTTATGTACCTGAGTATGAGTTTTGTTTATTATGCTCTCGGTAGGGGTTTTTATAGCCCCGATCTAGGGCTTGGAGTATTAGGAAGTGACCTAAATGTGAAGGTTCACTCCCAGTACGGTCCCAGTACGATCCCAATTTGGGGTCTGGACGGAACTAAAGAATGAAAACATGCAGAAAAGCTTACGACCGCAGCTTGAGCTTACGGAGAGCTAGAGCTTTCTGGATCTACGTCCATGTTGCTACCACCTCGACTTTGTTCATGCCCCTGGATGGCTGTTCAAGACATCTATAGACATAAAGTATAAGGTAATGTTATTACTGCAACGGGCTATCACCAACAAGAAATCCAAATCATTTTTCTTCATGACTTCACGTTCCTACATTCGGTTGCTCCAGAACCTCAGAGGATTATACCTCGGTGTTATGTCCACAACTATGCACGTTTCGAGAAGGATCTGATGACTCTATGGATTTCTATGAGATTCTAAAGTCTCATGTCCATGTGAGTTATTTTTTGC